TCAACTGACTTACCTCTTCTCCCAAAAACTCTACACCTGACTTCTGCATTACTCACATGGTGACACCACGGAATACGGTGGCCTATACTACGAAGGCAACGGTGGTCAAATACCTGAAGCCTTCTCATGTCTTCCACTTTCAATGGCCATGTTTCACAGCCATAGAGTAGAACAGAGTGGACTGCTTCGCAGTACATGCGACCCTTAATAGACAAACGGATATCATGGCGGCGCCATAGGTGGCGCAAATTGACGAAAGCCAATCGAGTCTTTTGTATATGTGCAGGGAGTTCATCGGCAACTGACCCACCAAGGTTGATCCTACTTCCCACGTAAGTGAAGTGGTCAATACACTCAAACACTTCACTCTCTATTGTTAGCCGCGGTGGGGCACCGCCGAAGACCAGTCGTGGAGCAAAAATTTGCATTTGGGTGGTAAAAATCGCATCCCAAACATTCTCAAATTCCCACTCAAAGTGTTCAGAAGACTGTGCATCTCATCAGTCAGCGTCTTCACCTAACAGGGCTATGTCATCTACATATTCTAGATCTAAAACAATTCACCTGTGATTGGGTCAACGCCTGTGTAATTAGGCGACGAAAGTGAAACCTCCATAAATATATTTATGATAAAATTAAATAAGAATGGAGATAGTGGGCATCCTTGACGGACACCACTTGATGAGTATAGCCCGCTGGACAACTCGCCATAGGCCCTAACATGCCCATAAGCGTTCGAGTAGAGAGCTTTCAATAAGATGATGTAGTTACTCGGCACGCCTTTCAGTGACAGACATTGCCATAAGACTTCTCGATCAACGGAGTCAAATGCCGCTTTCAGGTCGAGAAATACAGCTATTGCCAGGCGTCTGTAAGCATGCCCATGTTCCAGGACCTGGCGCAGCGTGAATGTTTTCTCGATACACCCACGGCCAGGTCATTTTTCTTGAAGACTGGGATGATGAGTGACTTAGACCAGTCGGAGGGGATCGTATTTGATTCCCATATACTGGCTAACACTTCCGTTAGCCTGACTAAGAGAACTCTACCACCATTCTTGTATACCTCAGCAGGTAGTCCGTCTGGTCCTGCTGCCCTTCCCCGTTTCAGGCTACCTACCGCTTTCTCAACTTCTAGTGTTGGGGGACCTGTCTCTATGTCCCATTCAGGGTCCGACTGGATAGCGGGCAGCGCAATGGTGGCTGGAGGCCAGTTAAACTGTTCCTCAAAGTGTTCTGCCCATCGTCCCAGTCGCCTTCCCTGCGAGTGAATCGCCGATCCGTCCTTCTCCGCTATAACCTCACTAACTGTTGTTGACCATTTCCCCCCAGTCTCCTTAATAAGTCTAAATAACTGTCTACTGTTACCGATCGCCGCTGCCTTTTCCATCTCTTTAGCCTTTGCTGCCCACCACTGTTCACGATCGTTGCGCAGACTTTTCGTCAGTTATTTTTAAGTTGCGCTCGCTCTTCATTGTACTCAGAGCCTGCAGGGATGCATTCACGTGCATCCATTAGTTTGGAAGAAGCTGCTGATATCCACTGGCTCTTTTTAGCCATTATCTTGGAGTCGGCTACAGTCTCCAGTGCTGCTTTTACAGTAGACTGAAGATGGCACCAAGCTTCTTCTGGATGAGTGACAGTCTTTTGTTCCGATAACTGCCTAGCCAACTTCTCACTGAACACGGCTTTGGTGTTTTCGTTGTCCAGCAGAACTCGTAGTGGTTTTGTTGCCAAATTTTTTCTACGTCCATTGAGACGCAGGCATATACGTGCTCGGACCAACGCATGATCGCTGTCCAAACACGTACTCCAGAAGGAGCGGCAGTCTTCCACCGATCCTCTCCAGCGATGACTAATAGCAATGTGGTCTATCTGTGTCCATCGCTGAGTCGAGCTCGGTGGACGCCAGGTCAGACAGTGCCTTTCTTTATGTCTGAAATTTGTGCTGGCTAAAAATAGGCGGTTATCTGAGCATAGTTGTAATAGGCGATCACCGTTATCTGTACGTTCAGCTGGGATTCCGAAAGTGCCACCTAAGTGCCTTTCTGCCTCACTCAGTCTACCCACCTGTGCGTTGAGGTCACCTGCAACAACCACTACGTCCGAACGTTTGGCTTTCGAGAGGAGGTTAGACAGTTTATGGTAGAACTCGTCCTTCACTTCATCCGAACTACAGTCAGTGGGTGCGTAAGCAGAGATTACAAAGAGACAACGGCGAGTCTCACTATTCCTTTTAGTTCTCACTGTGCCGTTCAGCCTCATAGCGCAGAGGCGACTATCAACTGGGATCCAGTCTAGTAGTGAGTTTTCTGCCCTGGTGCTTAATGCTATACCTACACCTGCAAGACCACGAGAGCTAGCTATCGAATCTCCAGAAACTCGAAGGGTGAATTTTGCAGATTCACCAGATTGGTCAGGAGAGGTCAGGTGAATAACCACACTTGGGTCCTGTATGCGTGTCTCACAAACACAGCACACATCCATGCCCGAGTTGCTAGAGTCTTTGCCAACGAAGCCTGTTGGCCAATTTGACGGAGGGTGCGGACATTGAAGGCTCCAATATGTAATTTGGAGCGTGGTTTAAGGAGACCAGGGATACTGTTCTGTGGACTCAGATCGTTGTCGAAGGCTGCAGAGGTAGGAGAAATTGAAGATGATGCAGCATCATTAATTAAGAGACGTGAAGGAAGATTAGAAGGTAATGATGGAGGAGGAGGATAGCAGTCAGAAGAAACTTGGGTGCTGACAGAGTTGTGAGGGCGGTTGACACTTCCCGGCTGCCCACACCGTGGAAGGCTATTTCTTCTTAAGGTACCTGAAAGAGATTTGTGTGACCGCAGAGCCCATCGGACATCTGCTTGAGGCCTGTCACACCCAGCCTTTTGAGTATGATTATTTTGAATTTTTGTATTTTTGGGGCCGGATGAGCGAAAGGAAACGACAAGTGAACCAACACCGCCGGCCCGGCAGACCGTGGGGCGTGGTGGAGTGTGTTATTTTTGGGGCCGACCTTTTCTAACCCCCCCTTCCACTGAGAAGGCAGCATCAGCTTGGCACTGCTGGTCATCCAAGGGAAACACCTTACTGCTGTCACACCCCATCCAGCTAGCAGCAGTACGACTTCGCCCTCAGACCCCCATCATAGTGTAGCAATTTACACTATAACGGTAACTGCTTTTCGTCTAACCACTACCCAACAGACCTTTCTGGTATGGTAGGACCTCGAGGGAACAAGCGTTCCACCAGCATAGCTCGTTGGGTCATTGTGATATGCAAGCCCGACCACCACGTCAAGGTAGCAGCTATCGGTCGGGGCATACATCTAATAGCTGTCTGTTTAACCACACTATATAGAACAGATCTTAAACTTACGATTCAATCGTTGTAATCTGTAGGCTTCAATCGCTGAACCACATATCGACATAGATTGCCATTGCTTAACCATGTATACATTTACACTTAAAATCGATTTTAGCCTAAACAGTCATATGGTAATGTATAACTCGCATTGAATCCACCTTATGTATTGGTTTATTTGTCATTAAAATTAAGACATTACTTATTGGCACCAGTTTTCAAATCTTTAACAATTGTATCTTGGCATCTAACGCATTCACTTTATGAACCTGATGCCTTTATTTACTTCTTAAACTACAATTCTTAAATCTTTCTACAAGGGTTCATAAAAATAGTCTAGAGGCGATAGGGAACCGCTTGAAGGCTCATTTACGGACATATAACAGTTCAGGCGGTTTAATGTTATGCAGTCACATGAATGGATATCATTATAGTAACTAATTTTACTTTAAACAGTAAGTAGCAGTTTAAAATATGTCTACATTGAATAGATTGAATTTCTGAATATAAAACTAAAAAGAAACAATCGTTTTTCCATTGGTGCATTCAAGGTCGTTTCATGATCACTCAAGGACGTTAAAATTCCACGTTTCTACTAACAGAATTTGCCATCCTCAATTTGTTTCATGACTGTTGAGTAATAAGCATATAAAATGAGCTATTAGAAATTATCTTACATGTATTGGCTAAGAGGGAACGGAAGAAGGGAGATTGTAAGCATCAAATGATGCTGATATTATTATTCCTGTGTGTTCCTAGTCAAACACATGGCTTCACTGGCACGTCTCCATTGCACTCTGTTCTCTGCAGTCTCCGTAACCTCACTCCACGACTGACCACAAGCTTTCATTTCTTCCTCACATCATCTCCTCAACGTCACCCTCCCCTCAGACACCCAACTCGTCGTTTCCCATACGGGTTCCACTCAATTGCCTGACTGGTCTAGAGCGTGATGTCTCCGAATGGTCTTCTCAGTGTATGCTATGCTATGCCCAGTCCAATCCATCTCCACTCCCTTCCACTGCATATTTGTTGGGTGATGGGTTGTTGGTTGGTTGGTTGGTTACCAGCCAACCAGGCAGAATGAGTTCCTTGTTGCTTATCCTTATTATTCTAGCCATCCATCTGATCTTTAGTGTCAGTATCGAGTGAGTGTAGACGGCAGATGTTGATGATGTACGTGTGTAGATTGTTGTAAGTGGTTTTGTTGACTTGTCAAGTTTCTGAACCATATAGAAGCACTGACTTGACTGACGTTGGTGTTGAAAATCCGGATGTTGTTGACGCTTTATGCTGAGTGCAGTGCATTGCATTGCAGTGCAGTCGATCTGCACACTGATGCTTCACGAAGAGCATAATAAATTAACAATACAGTAATAACTCTAATGAGGGCAACTCAATTAACCATGGAAACCAAACTGTGAAGCGTAGGACTTTTGCAAGTGAACTAGTTACCAGTAAATTTTATTTCAGATTCATTTATTTAGAAAATGGCTATTGGAGATTGTCAAGTGAATGACCTTTTTTCATCTATGTGTTACGCAATCCATTATTATAAGCTGTGTAACACATAAGTGAAAAAACGCTTGTCATACTTTTGACTAAATAACTAGTCTTATTTTCCTGTCATCTTTTTTTCAGGCGAACCTGGTGATATTGGGGATGTGGGACTTCAAGGTATTATTGGTCCCATCGGAGAAAAAGGTGAACCTGGTGGTGTAGGAGATATAGGTGAAAAAGGTTCTACTGGTTCAGAAGGTGAAGTAGGAGACACAGGTCCACAAGGTAAAGTCATGTCAAGTGTAAGCCTTTTTATTTTCATCATTTTTAAAAATCTCTTCGGTAAACTGCATTCTTTGAACTAACAGCTAGTTAGTGACAAGAACAGTTAGGATAGTTGTTCGGACTACTGTCATTGGTCAGTTTTTTTTCAAGTTCATCCATTAGTCTCAAACTAAGATGACATAACTCTTCCACCATGTTCATGTTACGAGTACATCGTGAGTATTGTTTCAAATCTAGTGAGCAAATTGAACAACTAAACTAATAGTTTTCTGGTTCCAATTACATCATGACTAAGGTTTTCACGTGGTTCCTATCATTCTTATGATAATGATTCATTTAGTATAACTTTTCACATCACATATTGAGATGGTGGTTAATGGTGGAATTCAGGACTCATGTTTGCTCCTGTATGAAACTTGTCAGTTAGATGTACTTTCCTTCTAGTCAGTTCTCTTCCACATATGAACCTATATAACAACAAAAGTTGATCACTTCTATTCAGAATCAAAGTGAGAAATTACAAGTGTCAGTAAATAATGTTCACATCATAGTTTCTAATAACCAGTTTAATGGTAACTATAGGATGGTATTGAACAGATTAAAGGCATGGATTCATGTAATAACTCTGTTAAAAATTATTCACTTATTGGATCGCCTTCTTCATATGAATCAATAGTGGATTACAATTAATAATAAAATATGTTTGCTTTTTAATGTACGCTGTTGATGAGGACAGAATATAATGATTTTAATCTGATCTAACGGTTTTTAAACAATGTGAAGGTTTGTGGGGATTTATTTATTGATTTCAGGTAAGTATTCATCATGGACTGAGATTAGTGGAACATGAGGACAGTGACTCAATGACGGCATGGATGGAGGTCGCACTATATCGTGAACTAACAGAAGTAGGAAATATAGATTGCTAAATTCCGACCGAGTGGTTCAGTGCTAACGTGTTGGCGGTAGAACCTGAAGGTCTTTGGTTCGATCCATGGTGGGGTGGGGTCATGGGTGTACACTGCTAAGGAGTCCTATGATAAGACAAAACAGCTGTCCAGTCCCCCTCAGGTTTCCAATATTCTTCTAACTGATGTCAGTCCACAATGAGTACCAACCTGATATTTTAAAACAGTTTTTTAGAAACCTTATCCAGAGAACCACAATTGTTTCATATGACTTCAATCCAAAGTTATGAAAGGTGATAGACGCACTTTGAATAGTAGTAGTATTCATCATGAACTGACATCGGTTGGGGAACCGTTGGAAATCTGCGACTCCTCAGCAGTACGCACCCACCACCCGGCTGGGGGTCGAACTCAGGACCTTCGGGTTTCATGGCGTACACGTTAATCATTCAGCCACTGGGTCGGTTTCCAGTAGTTCACAATTTCCAACTTTGTTGATTCATGATATATCTCGACTATAGTGCTCATTGATGACTTGCTTCCAGATGGATATCATGAAGTTCTAATGACAAGTCGTGACCTGTGGGTCAACCAGTCATAAGTGAAGCGGATGTTAACTGAAGACCTTGGGTTATAGTCGTGCTATGTCGGGAATTGACAGAAGTTGGAAATTGTGAACCACCGAAAACCGACCCAGTGGCTGGATGGTTAACACGTTCGCCGTGAAACCTGAAGGTCGTGGGTTCGATTCCTAGTCGGGTTGTGGGTGCGTCCTGCTGAGGATTCCCACGCAAGGACGAAACAGCTGTCCAGTGCTTCCAGATTTTCAATGGTTCCCCAACTGATGTCAGTCCATGATGAATAATACTTCTAAATAATTTATGATTGTAAATCATGTCAGTTATTATGCGATTGTATTCCACTGTGAGACACTTTACCATGGGACCAGAGAGATTTTTTCCATGACTTATCAGTTACATCATTCCATGACCAGTTCACCTTTTATGATATTTTTTTGTACCAAAGAAGTCTGAAGAATCATGAGACTCAAACAATAACCATATTAAATTTAACTCGGGGGGTTTTGGGCATTTAGTGGTTTTACAAGTTGGAGCGGAGATTGAAGGTTTTCGGTTCGAACCCTGGTTGGGTCATCGGTGCTCACTCCTGAGAAGTCACATACTAGGACAAAACAACTGTCCAGTACTTCCAGGTTTTCAATGTTCCTCCAACTGATGTCAGTCCATGATGAATGCTGGCATACTGAATTTATGTCCTATACATTCATACAGCTAAGCGACTAACTTGGAGTTGTATATTTTGTGTGACCAATGAAGGAGTGGACTGTCAGAAGATTATATGGTTAGTCTCCACTTTACTATTAGCTAGTGAGTAATTCGATAAAATACAGGTCCTTGAATGTTTGCTTTATTCTTCAATAAACTATTTTACCTTCAGTTTGAGGAGGTCATTAATGAAATGAACATTTAGCTTTTGTCCAGGACTATTAATTACAGTTCGTCGACCGCCGAGGGGAGTGTTATCAACAATCTTAAAGAGACGTCACTTTCAGTAACAACAGCTGAGTATCCTTCATATAGTTCTTACCATTTTCAAGATTGAATAGTTAAGCGGATAATAAGTATGTAACTTGCATTTGAGTTGTTCAAACCGAATATCCTATACAATGAAGCAATCCCTTAGCCACTTTTGTATGATTACAGATTTTATCTGTAGGTGGTTGGTTTATCTACTGTTGATTACACTGAAAAATTGTCACCAGCTTCGAAAGTATGCCTAATCAATGATTATCCGGAAGATTTATACTTCTTGCTATATCGATTTTCCTATATTCTATCATGCTAACAACGTTAAACCTGTATGTTTTAGGTCCTCAGGGTTCAGATGGAACTGAGGGAGCAGTTGGTGATGTTGGGCTATCCGGGCAGTCTTTAGAAGGGGAACAAGGAGATGTTGGTCCAGAAGGAGTTCAAGGAGAGCTAGGTGAGAAAGGTGAAAAAGGTCCATATGGAGAAGATGGTGAACCAGGTCCTACGGCTGAAGATCTTCCAGGAATAAAAGGTGAGACTGGAGAACCCGGGAAAGACGGTGAACTAGGTGAGATTGGACCAGATGGTGCTGATGGGGAACCTGGACCAAAAGGTGATGAAGGTGCTATAGGAGAACCTGGACCTAAGGTAAACACTTCCTTCTTCTTCCAATAAAACTCGACAGCATAGTGCTCGAATTAACACAAGGCAAATATGTGTAAATTTTAGGCAAACTCTTCAATATCTATTTTATTTCTCAAGCTTACTTTAAATGTTATCTAAAATATAGTTAACTATGAAATAATAATCAACAATCAGCAGTAAAACTGTAAAGTTTACCCACAATGGACAGATTTACTATAAGATGAGATTTATTTCTTTTCAGGGCTCACAAGGATCACGTGGTAAAATTGGACCAGTTGGCGAAGAAGGTCGTCAAGGAAATCAAGGAAATATTGGAGGAGAAGGTGAAATTGGTCCAGATGGAGAAAAAGGAGACAAAGGAGAGCTGGGTGAGGTTGGTCCACCAAGCAATACAACTGCTGGTCTCAAGGGCAGGGAAGGATTAGTAGGACCTCAAGGAATGGAAGGTGAAGTTGGTGAAGAGGGGGAACAGGGAGAAAAAGGTTTGTAAACGTACAAATGACTAAATCTTATTTTCTTGGACATTTAGTTATAAATTGTGAAGAATAATGTTTCTTAGAAAAAAAATGAGGGATATAAAACTGAGAATCTGTAAAACTCCTATATTCAATGTAATTATTTAAGGAACTGTTTATCTGAACATCTCGTGAATCCAAATTCTCTGATGACATCATGTTCATGGTTACTTCCAGACTAGTTAGCATATCATCTCATTTCTAAACAGATGCTTAGCATTCATACTAGACTAGTTTATATTATACAGGACACAGTGATATGGAAATATTCACGGTAAGGCATTTGAAGCACAAGCTATTATGAGGAGTCCGAACGTAATACTCAGTGAAGTGACTCTAATCGCCAATCAGAATGCGAACCACTATACAACGACAATACTATAAACACGCGAAGACAAGAAGAGAAGACCTTTACCTTTACTGTCTCAACAACAGTCAAAATTAGTTGAGACTGATGCTGAATATATACATTTCTGAACGACCTTGACAACATCAAATCCGCATTTAGGCTAAAATAGTTAACAACCAATGAGCGTTCAGCCTTCAGAACAGTGAGAAAACAAGAGCTAGCAACTGTGTAAAAACAGCTTGGTAATTTATTTTAAGGTCAGAGCTGAAGTGAAGACAAAACTTTAACTTTTCAAGGTGTTCGTAAGAGACTTTTGATTACTTATTCATCAGTTTGAAAGTTGCTTTGTCTGCTGACATTCAATTAGTCAGGTAGTACTCATATAACTTTTTACAGTTTTCACCGTGAATATCTTTGTAAAAATTATTCTCCTCGTTTGTACACTTACATCTAAGTGAAAAATAAGTTTGATCGTAAATTTTGAAGGCTTTTTTAAAGACGTTATTATAGACTATTACAACGGAAATGTTCTATCAAGGAAGTATCAATCGACATATACTGTCTCCTCGGATTATCTACTTTCAAAAAGAACCATCCTACCTAGTAAACCTTAATTTGTTAATATACAATTGACCGTAGAATCTTTGCAATTGGTGAAAATAAAACGAATTATCTTAAAAATGGTACATGTTGACATGCTAGTTATGAAAAACATTAAAAAAAACAGAAACTGATTGTATCACCTTATTACTAGACTAAATTATTAGGAGTGTTGATACCCAAAGGCTTGAAAAAAATGTGTTTAGATAGTTGGTGATTTTCCTTAGCTTGCTGATAGGTGTTATATGTCCTTAGTTTTACTAGATATTTATCTATAACATTAAAATAACTTCATTATTGCTGTTTTCGCGCCGCTGTAAGCTTTTATTCCTCTAACTGCTCTGAAGGCTGAACGCTAACTGGTTGTTAAATCTTTTAACCGAAATATGAATTAGGTGTTGTTCAATTATTATTATTATTACTACTTGTCCCTCGGGTTCCTAGTGGAACATATGGCTTCACTAGCACTCTGTTTACCGCAGTCTCCGTAACCTCACTCCACGACTGACCACAAGCTTTCATTTCTTCCTCACATCATCTCCTCAACGTCACCCTCCCCTCAGACACCCAACTCGTCGTTTCCCATGCAAGTTCCACTCGATTGCCTGACTGACCTAGAGCGTGATGTCTCCGAATGGTCTTCTCAGTGTATGCTATGCTATACCCAGTCCAATCTATCTCCACTCCCTTCCACTGCATATTTGTTGATTGGTTGGCTGGTTACCAGTCAACCGGGCAGAATGAGTTCCTTGTTGCTTATCCTTATTATTCTGGCCATCCATCTGATCGTTAGTGTCAGTATCGAGTGAGTGTAGACGGCAGGTGTTGATGATGTATGTCTGTAGATTGTTGTAAGTGGTTTTGTTGACTTGTCAAGTTTCTGAACCATATAGAAGCACTGACTTGACTGGCGTTGGTGTTGAAAATCCGGATGTTGTTGATGCTTTATGCTGAGTGCAATGCAGTGCAGTGCAGTGCATTGCAGTGCAGTCTATCTCCACACTGATCTCAGATTAATCAAGGAAGGCCTGTCTTGCTGCCTTTCTGATCCTGGTTTTGACATCCTCGTCTGTGCCGCCGTCTGTAGTCGAAACGATGGTGTCTGCCACCTAGGTAGGTGAAGGAGACTACTTCCTTTAGGTTTCTCCCGTCCATGTTGATTGGTGCTTCTTCTTCTTTTTCTTCTTCTTGTTGATTGGGTATCTTCATCACCTCTACCTCTGTCTTCTCTACATTCACTTGAAGTCCCATCTTCCTTCGCTGTCTCGCCTCTCCTGTCAACTTGTTGGTTTTCGCCTGTAGATATTCGAGTTTGTGCGATAAGACATTAGACATAAATCGTCATCGTTGGCGAAATCCAAATCTTCTAGGGTCCTTTCATCGATCCAGCCAGCCCATCCCCCTCACACTTGTCTGTTGCATGACTCGGTCGACCGCAATGAGGAAGATGATCAATTATAGTAGGCGGCTACCTTATCTTACTCCTGTCTCCTGTCTCCACTTCAAAGTTGTCACTGACCTTTGCATTGTGGGTCATTTGGCATGTGGCGTTTTCACATAGCTGTTGAATGAGGTTGTTAAAGGTTTGTGGCATTTAGACCGTAGTGTTGAGGGAGCTGTCGGCCAAATTACTTCTCAATCGATGCCTCGATAGAAGACCTTCTCAAAATCGATAAAGTTGAGGTTGAGTTGAGTTGAGTTGACTGCCACTCTACGCTCTCTTCTTTGCTGATGCGTAGCTTTGGAATTTGGTCTGCGCATGAGTTTTACACTCTGATTTCAGCCAACCAGCCTTTTTCGGTCGTAATTTCGAATCCGGCACATCTTGTAGTCTTTCCAGGATGATGGGGCTTAATATTTTGCTTGGGGTAGACAGGGGCAGGGGCATGATCCCACACCATCTATTGTTCGTGTAGAGACTCAGGTCTCCCTTGTTTGGGAGTTTGACAAGGTAGCCCTCCCTGCAATCAATGGGTAGGTACATTTACTTCCTTCCCTCCAAACCTTCTGCAGTAGTGGTGTGAGCGTGTCCACTGTTGTCTCAGTGTCTGTTTTCAGTGCTTCTAGCGGAATTCCATTTGGTCCTCCTTCTTTCCTGGATTTCACCAACTTTATGGCGTTCAGGAATTCACTTCTGCTTTTCTCGGAGGCCTTGCGTTTACTAATACGTCTGTCGTTGCTGGTGGTATTTCTGGACGAGTTGCAGTAGGTGGTGGTGGTCGACTGAAGGGTTTTTCGAAGTAGTCAGCCCACTGTTTCCTTTGTTTCTCCTCCTCTCTGCTATCTACATTTCCTTCACTATCTCTCATTGGTTTCATCTGTGTTGATCTCTTCCCTCGCAGATACTAACCCGGTTATTTGATATATTTTTGTCAGATGTCTGTCTCTTCTACTGTCAGCATGTTCTGCTTCACTTGCCAGTGTGTTGTGGAAGTGTCTTTTGTCTTTGCGTGGACTCTTCTTCACTTCTTTATCCAGTGCAGTGTTTATAGGTTGTGTTCAGTTCCTCTTTTCGTTGTTCATCCTTGTACTGGTTCGTCTTCTGCTTCACCATCACCATCTTCCTTTCCCTCCTCTATCAGCTTCCATGTGTCCATCGAGATCCATTCCATTCTGTGTCTTGTTTCTTCTTCCTTCCTAACATGGTTATGCAGGTTTCCGTCCACATCTCTTTCACGCAGTTCCAGTCTTCTTCCACACAGGTTTCTTCAGGAATGTTGCCTAATATCTCCCATTTTGTCCTGATGACTGACTGACTGACTGACTGACTGACTGACTGACTGACTGACTAACGTGAAGATGTCCTTTGTAGTTTCGTCTTTCAGTTGATTTTCTGTTCTGGGTGTTCAACTTGAACTGTGTTCTGTCACCAGCTTCTTTTAATTGAAGGCTTTCAAGTTTATTTATTTGGAATGTAGGTTGCTTGTAGTGGATATTGAGTGGTGTGAACCTATCTATATCTGTTCCTCTTCTTGATCTGATCTTGTGTTCAGTAGGCTGCGTCTCCGTCTTCACTTTCTTGAGATTGAGATGAATTCGACGTGATTAGTAGTGTGTCCATCTGGTGAAATGAAATCCATATTACTTTGTGAATATATTTGGTTTTGTAAACACTGCTTCTTTTTACTATATAGAAAACTGCGCAGAATTCTGTAAATAGTTCTCCATTCTCGTGTATTTCAGCGAATGCTTTTTGACTCATGGTGACTTGTCTACCTGTGTAGTCCGCTCCCTGTTTGGCATTGATTTCACGCATTAGAATTTTGATGTTGCTAACTGTAGTCTTGTCCAATACTAGTTGTAGTTGTCTGTAGAACTCCTCCTCCTTCTCTTGATCTATATTATTTGTAGGTGTGTAGCGTAGCATTGTATGATTGCAACTTTCTCCCCTTTTGAGTTGAATCTTGATGTCATGATCCTGATGCGAAAGGAGGAGATTGGTTCCCACTGCATGAGAGAGAGCCTTCGATGGTCTTGGCGACACCATGATAGCGACTCCGTCAGTGTGCTCGTGGATGTCATCTGGGTGACAATATTCGAGTCAATTATTAACTCCTCTTCAGTTGACCGTGTAGAGAGTCCACTTTCATTCCATCTGCTTTCACAGATTCCTAGCGCAGCTCTTCTATGGCGTATTTTCTCGTCTCTTTTACAATCTGGGAAACCTTGCTGAGTTCAAACATGGTGCTGACACTAGTGTTGTTAAGGTCATTCTGCAATGTATCTATTCAGCATCACTCTCAAACGCTTCTGACTTTAGTTGATGCGGTAAAAATTGTTTCGATAACGCTATTAAATGATGAAAATTATCTGAAAAATGTGATGTATTTTTGGAAAACATTTTGAACAAACTAACCACACACTTACTTGTCAAGTCAGTTTATATATGAAAGTGAAAGGAAAAACTAAGGGTCAAAGATAATGAATATGAAAAGGTTGTGACACTAGTCTTGGTTACATAATCAGATAAAGATTACCAAGGGAGACTAAGTAAAACAACGAATTGCTTTTGTACACACGACTAGGGTTTAATTTTGCAAATAACTAACGCATCGGCTATAGATGAAGATGGATATCTGTCACCTACATTCATCAAAGTTTGTGTATTAAACTGTTTTTCAACCCACTTAGGTTATATCCTTACCCACCTTAGTCTACACCGATGCTTATTGAATAGGATCCATTGTATTTCTACCTTTGATACAATGGATGGTGATTTTAATCTCTGTTTCAATATACTACTCGTTTCCCTTCTGTGTGGTACTTTAAAAAATGTATCCTTCTTCAGGACTAAGGAAATCATAGGCTTTGAGGTTAGCTGTTTTCTACAGTAGTTCACAAACTGTAATGGATATCCATTTTCCATTGGTGTATCTGTCAGAAATTTTCTCCCTTCATTCCTTATATCAGATGAACAAATAAGTAGGTTCCTGTTGGATAGGCATTTCACTAAGACTGTCTCATATTTCAGTGGACAAAAGCTGTAGAAACTCGAGTGCTATCCTATCCAAGTAGGCTTTCTGTTGACAAATCATTCTTCCCTGCGACACAAGAATATATCAAGAAATGCAAGTTGATGGTCATTTTCTTCCTCACATGCCATGCTAATAGGATGTTGTACGGTATTAAGCCTTTTTAACAAACCCTCAGCATCCTCATCTGTCATATATCACAATGATATCATCAAATGCCATCTATAGAATGTGACATTAATGATCTAATCTTGAGCCATTGGTCCAATATGTGACATATATATATCAGCTGATAACGGTTCTAATGGTCTCCCTGTAGCAACACCAAATCCAACAAGTAAATGTCTGATCGGATTGTTCGAAATGTATTGCGAAAATACACCACATTTTTCAGGTAATCTTCGTCTCCTAACAACGTTATCAACGATCTGTCTTCTCTTCTTGTCTTTTGCTTGCTTGTGGTACTGTTGTGGTTGACGTTTGTGTGTTAGGTTTATATCGGTGGGCTGCATTCCCTCTCATATCAATAGGATATTATTATTATTATTATTAGCCCCTTGGGTTCCTAGTGGAACATAGGGCTTCAGTAGCACGCCTCCAGTGACCTCTGTTCTCTGAGATCTTTTGAACCTGGTCCCACGACAGCCCACAAGCTCTCATTTCCTCCTCACACGATCTCCTCCATGTCACCCTCGGACGTCCAACTCGTCGCTTCCCATGGGGATTCCACTCGAGCAACTGGCCTGATGCGTGATGTCCTCAGTCGGCCTCCTCAGTGCATGGCCAATCCATCTCCACTTCCTCCTGCATATTTGTTGGGTGATAGGTTCTTGGTTGGTTCGTTCCCAGAGTTCCTTGTTGCTTATTTTTTCTGGCCATCTGATCTTCAGCAGCGAGCGTAAGCAGTTGTTGATGAATGTCTGTAGTTTATTGGAAATGCCTTTCGTGACGCGCCAAGTCTCTGAGCCATACAAGAGCACTGACTTGACGTTGGTGTTGAAAATCCGTATCTTGTTCCACATGCTGAGTGGAGTGCAGAAGATCTCCACACTGGTTTCAGGCTAATGAACGCCTGTCTTGCTTTTCCGATTCTGACTTTGACGTCCTCGTCCGTCCCGCCTGTAGTTGAAACAGTGCTTCCTAGATAAGTGAAGGAGGTTACTTCCTTCAAGTTTCTCCCGTTGACGGTGATTGGAGTTTGTTGTTGTTGTTGATGGTGGTGGTGCGGTATCTTCATCACTTCTGTCTTCTCTATATTCACCTGAAGTCCCGTCTTCGCTGCCTGCCTCTTCTGTCAACTTGTTAGTTTTTGCCTGCAGATCTTCAAGTTTATGTGACATTAGGCATAAGTCATCGGCGAAATCCAAGTCTTCTAGGTTCTTTTCCTCAGTCCAGCAGCGTATCCCCCTCTTCTCGCTGCCTACTGTTTGCTGCATGATCCAGTCGACCACAATCAGGAATATCATAGGGGATAGTAGGCAACCTTATTTCACACCTATCTTCACTTCAAAAGCATCACTGAGCTTCCCATTGTGAATTACTTGGCATGTGGCATCTTCATATAGTTGTTGAATGAGGCGGATAAAGGTTTGCGGTACTCCGTAGTATTGAAGCAGTTTCCAAATTACTTCTCGGTCGACGCTGTCAAAGGCCTTCTCAAAGTCGATGAAGTTGAGGTAGAGAGCTGATTGCCATTCTACGCTCTGTTCTATGATGATACGAAGCGTTGCAATTTGGTCTGCACATGATTTGTACTTCCTGAAGCCTGCCTGTTCCGGTCGCAGTTTTGAATCCAGTGCGTCTTTAAGCCTCTCCAGGATGATGCGGCTTAATATTTTACTTGGGGTGGACAGGAGAGTGATTCCGCGCCAGTTCTTGCAAGCACTGAGGTCTCCCTTCTTCGGCAGTTTGACAAGGTAACCCTTCTTCCAATCGTCAGGTACCTTCTCTTCCTTCCACACCTTCTGCAATAGTGGTGTGAGCATGTCCGCTGTTGTCTCTGCATCTGTTCTCAGTGCTTCTGGTGGGATTCCATCTGGTCCTGCTGCTTTCCCGCATTTCAGTAGCTTTATGGCATTCAGGACTTCCATTTTCGTTGGGGGATTAATGTTCACTTGTAATTCAGCGGCTGCAGGTGGTATTTCTGGACGAAGTGCAGGTGGTGGTGTCGATTCAAGAGCTTCTTGAAGTGGTCGGCCCATCGTTTCCTCTGTTTCTCTTCTTTTGTAATTAAATTTCCTTCTTCATCTTTTATTGGTTTCATCTGTGTTGGTCTCTTCCCTGATAGCAACCTGGTTATTTGATACAATGTCGTCAGGTCTCTCTTACCTGCAGCCTGTTCTGCTTCACTTGCCAGTGTGTCGTAGAAGTGTCTTTTGTCTTTGCGTGCACTCTTCTTCACTTCTTTATCCAGTGTTTTATACATTGTGCTCAGTTCCTCTTGTCGTTGAGCATCCTTGCACTGGTTTATCTTCTGCTTCACCATCCTCCTCTCCTCTATCAGCTTCCAGGTATCCGTCGAGATCCATTCCTTGTCTTCTTTCTTCTTCCTTCCTAATACTGTTGTGCAGGTTTCTTTCCACATAGCTTTCAAAGACTTCCAGTGTTCTTCCACACAGGTTTCTTCAGGGATGTTGCTCGATGTCTCCCATTTTGTCTTGATGGCTGACGTGAAGATCTCCTTTGTAGTTTCATCCTTCAGTTTCCGAGTGTTGTACTTGAATTGAGGTCTATCACCAGCTTCCTTGAAGGCTTTTAACTTGATTTGGAAGGTTCCTTGCACTAGATAGTGGTCTGAACCTACATCTGCTCCTCTTCTTGACCTTGTGTTAAGTAGACTGCGTCTCCATTTTCTTGAGATTGAGATAAAGTCGATTTGATTTTTAGTGTGTCCATCTGGTGAAGTCCATGTCGCTTTGTGGATATCTTTGTGCCTGAACACACTGCCTCCAATCACCAAATCGTTGAATGCGCAGAATTCTGCAAACAATTCTCCATTCTCGTTCATTACCTCACCTAGCGCCTCTCGACCCATGGTTAGTTCTCTTCCCGTGTTGTCCCCTCCCAGTTTGGCATTCATGTCGCCCATTAGAATTTTGATATCGCCAACTGACGTCTTGTCCAGTGTTGATTGAAGTTGTCTGTAGACATCCTCCTTTTTCTCTTGTTCTGCATTATTTGTAGGTGCATAACATTGTATGATTGTGACCTTTCTTCCTTTTGAGTTGAATCTTGCTGTCATGATCCTGGAGGAGATTGGTTCCCACTGCATGAGAGCCTTCGATGCTCTTGAGGACATCATGATAGCCACTCCATAACTCAGTGTGCTCGTGGTTGTCGTCTGGGTGACAATATCGGAGTAGATTATTGATTCTCCAGTTGACAGTTTGGAGAGTCCACTCCCATTCCATCTGCTTTCGCAAATCCCAAGCACTTCGATGTTATACCTTCTCATCTCCTTTGCAATCTGGGCTGCCTTACTGGGTTCAAACATCGTGCGGACATTCCATGTCCCCACGTTTACTTTCGCTTTCATCGAGAGAAGACACATCGGCCAATTGGCTTCCCGAAGGCTTTCACCAACTGGCGTCATTTCGCCTCTCCGATTCCAGCGGGGAATAAGTTTGTTTTCATTTTTTATATTTTGTTTGTGCTTTGAAGTTTGTTTAGCGGTTAGATTTGTTTTACGGGGTAGGGTTGCTAGCCCTATGCCCAACCTTCCCTCTTTACCCGGGCTTAGGACCGGCTAGTAACTAGTAAACTAGTTAACCAGGCGAGGTTATCAATAGGATATTATTTCCTCAATGTCCAAAATCAAACCTATCATCTTGTTAGATTTCTTATTTTTGTGGTTACCGCAATAAACAGAGGTCTGAATTCAATTCACCAAATGATACGATAGTGTTTCGGTGAAGTCATATGCTCTCATTAGTTAAACGTGGTCCAAGAACATGAATTTTTCTGTCAAGATCTGGTTTATTATTTTTAATTTACATCATTCGTTTAAATATAGTATATCTTGAACGTTGATTAACATTGTAACTATTATATTGAGATTCTAAAAAGCAAGATAAGTAGTTATGAATTCTTGAAATGCATTCTCATGTGAATTTTTTCAGGTTTATCAGGGGAAGAGGGTGATCAAGGTGATGATGGACTACTTGGAGAAATCGGTGAAGTAGGAGAAACTGGTATACAAGGTGATATGGGACCTCAAGGTAATGAAGGTAAGTAAATTCGACTAAACTTTTCAGTCAGCTGAATATAAGAAAGTATATTTTAACAATAGTAAAAATGAGTAAATGATAAAAATGATCGAATGTTTTAATTTTTTGTACTTAAGGTCCATTGGGAGATCAAGGCCCTGAAGGTGATGTTGGAGAGAGAGGTGCATATGGAACATACGGTGAGAAAGGTGAACCAGGTCTTCAGGGAGATCCAGGTGTGCCAGCTAAAGACTGTCCTGATGGTAAGAAAGGTGAACAAGGTCGATTTGGTCCACCAGGGTTGCCTGGACTACAAGGACCTTCAGGAGATCAAGGTTAGTTCACTTTCTAAAGTATGTGTGATTATTATATCATAGTGTTCATTGCTAACAGTTAACTTACCTAATAATGTTCATTACCTAAAAGTAGATGGTAGTTATACTTTCTGCTTTTTCAATACTAGTCGCTTTATCCCAAACGTGTGTAATACATTAAAACATGGGCACTGTGGTAGATTGTAATTCCATTACAATCTGTTTATTAGAAATGTCACACAATGAAACAGTTTCGAACACAATTTTTTGTCCATATTCATATCAGGTAACTCCACAACTTTGAGACAGCGTTTATATAGTCCAAATTTTTTTCCCTTCTTTGTGATACCAAGGGTAGTAGAATTCTCCACATATCTGGAACATGTACAGAATCATTTCGATTGCATGTATTTGGTGTTGAATCGATAAACAGAGATTCGGTTATCAATCTCTCCCTTCACACAACTACCTTAGTTCCCAATACTGTCACGCTATCTCACCACCCTACTGTGTGATTGTGGGTAACTGAGTACAGAGCTATAGTATAGCTCTTCTCTAGGTAGAATCTACTAATCTTGATTTGGCTAGGTTTTTGTGCTCTGTTATTTGAATCAACTCTGGTCGACTACTTTGACTAACCTATGTATTTGACCTGACAATCATTGCAAGGGATTTGATAAACTAGATTATTTTCCGGAATTGCATCGATAAGATCTTTTAACCTACAAAGCTTGTTTCTAATTGAGTTTCTAATTGGTTTCGATGCCACTTTAATCTCAGCCTTATTTAGAATTCTTCGTAATGCTTGTGAGATGTCTTCCTTGTATGATAACACAGCAGAGGCTTCGGATTCTCTCTTAACCCTGTCATCATTATTACCATTACCAGTAAAATTACTATTAATAACGCATGTATTACTACTAATACCACTGCTTATATTTTTCTTTCGATTATTTATGAATTTATTTACAAATGTAGGTGGGTAATTACTGAGACGCAAGGCATTCTTGATGCGTCTAGTTCCTTGTCGTAGATTTTCCGGTCTACTAGTGTTTTTTTCGCCCCATCACTTAGGCGTTTAACTAAGCCTACTTTAACTGAAATAGGGTGGAAAGATTCGAAGTCTAAGTAGCGATTCGAATGGGTAGGCTCCCTATAGACACTAGTCTCTAAACTTCTTGCAATCCAACATTCCTAGCTCACCTTCTTCACTTTCTAAGTCACTGGTGAATTGGATTGCATTCACTACTAAATTTATATGTGACAAGAACTTGGGGATAAATACAAAATCGGGTGTAATTATGGTAGTGTTAGTACAGTCAGCTAGTACAAAAATTTGTAGTTCAAAATAGGTATCCTAGGTATAGTACTCTGATGTATTCTTGAGCATCAACAGGAGAAACTTAAAGCAAGTAACCTTTTTCACCTACCTAGGCAGCACTGTTTCAACTACAGGTGGCACAGACCAGGACGTAAAATCAGCCAGGATCAGAAAGACAGCAACACGGGCCCTGCCTTCATTAACCTAAAACCAGTGTGGAGATCTTCTGCACTCAGCACAAAGCGTGAACATGATCCGAATTTTCAACACCAATCCAGTCACATCAGTGCTTCTGTATGGCTCAGAGACTTGACGGCACGTTACGAAAGGGATTTCCAACAAATAACTGCGGACATTCATGAACAACTGCCACCTACGCTGTCTCGTTACTGAAGCTCATATGGCCAGAAAGAATAAGCAACAAGGAACTCTGGCTGGCTGGCTGTTAACGAACAAACCAACAACCTATCACTCAACAAATATGCAGTGGAAGGAATTGGAGATGGAATGGATTGGGCATACACTGAGAAGGCTGACTGAGGATATCACGCACCAGGCCAGCCAGGCACTCGAGTGGAACCCAGATGGGAAGTGACGAGTTGGGTGTCCGAGGCATGGGTGACATGGAGAAGATCGTGCGAGGAGGAAATGAGAGCTTGTGGGCTGTCGTGGTGTTGTGACCGAGTGGTGGGGTTGCGTGCGTGGGTATGATGAATGCTGAGACTCAATAGACACCTCAACCTAATACCTTTACGACTGACCTCCCTCAGTACCTTCTGGTTCACTGAGCCGAGGAAAAATCAGAAGACAAAGACAGCCTGTGACTGCAAGAACAGCGACAACTTTTATTAGGCAAATATATGACATATGTGTATTTTTGAGATGTATTTACAAAATTCTCAGAAAGTGAAGCCACAAATGAACCAGTCAGATTTCTTGTTTGAGGTCGAATTCCTCCAATCAGGTCATGTCAGGGCATGCATAAATCATGACCTGAACATGATCTAATCACGACTTGAAAACTCCCCTATTTTCTGCCTTCTTGTCGCTACGTAACACGTGGAACCAGATTCAAAAGTTTACAGAGAAGAGAGTGGAATGGAGACGTGCTACTGAAGCCCTATGTTCCACTAGGAACCCGAGGGACAAATGATAATATAACAATAATAATAATAATATGTCCATTTCTATCCGGTGTAACTTAATTTTTTAGTCTCATTCTTAGCTTGAGAAACAACAGTTTGAAAACAAGTACGAGAGTATATGATACATTTACAAGACATATTTAAAAGATTAAAACAAACTGAGAGGGAAGAATCTTGTGAAATATGTTTGATGAGAAACTTTTGGTGGCCTAAGGTTTAAGCATGCCGCTTATTTTGATTTGTCTAGTAGCTCCAAGGATAGTTCCTTGTTCATTTGTATCCAGTGTAGAATTTTCCATGGATTAGCTCATATGCATAAAAAGATATCAAATGTTATAACTGACAAAACACGTTTTCAGCAAACCTGCATTTGTACCCAATATCACTAGTCCTCCATAATGCTAAATTTGAACAGACCATACTATTTCCCATAGAAAACTCAATTAAACAGTGTAATTACCATGTTTTGTGCATTGTAACCCCTCCATCTGAGATATCCTTTTTCCTGATTTCATATTGTCCACATATGAAATTGTACTTGTGTGATTCAGAGAAAGTATCACCGAATTTGGGGGAAAAAAAAATCGAACCCATGATAAGATTCTGTTTCCCTACTCCTTTCAGTACCACCTATCATTCCAGTATAAAAAACTGGAATACTTCTGAACATTAACTTACTGTAAGTCAGTAGAAGGAATGAGTATATCAACGGTACAAATTACGTTTTACCAACTTCATACTGAAGTTAGTGCTGATGATGTCGTCTAGCAAGGCGATGAAAGCTTCACGATTAAACAACCCAGCTCAGAGAACATTAAACAACCAAGACCATCCACTTGAGCTACAAATATTCTCCATTATTTCTTTTCAGTACCACCTATCATTCTAGTATAAAAAATGGAATAATTCTGAACATTGACTTATTGTAGGTCAGTAAAAGGAATGAGTATATCAACGGTACATATTACGTTTAGTTTTTTAATATGCTATATATATTTCAACGGAAGTAATCACAGGGAATTTATTTCTTTCATTCTCGAACGTAACCAATTGTTTTGCAGTACTAAAGGAATCTGGTGGAAGTATTCCTTTTGGTATGCCTTTAATACATGATGTTTGAATTATACGAATACCTATCGAAACTGTTCTCCTGTGGGCCTATGGGAACTGACCTTTTTGACTTGAATATGTCAAATAACTTTTTACATCTTCGATCACTGTTGTTTCCTTAGGAATGATGACATCTGATGGAAACATCAGGTGAAGTCACCCGTGTCTAGGAGTGATGAAAATTGAGTGTCTTCGCATCGGCTTTCATATCGTTTACTATTCTTTTGCTCTGAAACTGACTGAAAGAGGAGAATATATGGTCAGTGCATCTCATGATGTTGTGCATCAAGTTGGCCTCTGCTTTCTAACCCTCTGGATGGGGTCTGAGAGATCATGAAACTCAGTGGGTTGAAATAGTAGTAGACATGTATGAGATTAACACCAGTGGTTTTCATACAACAGATTTCCTCTTTCTTCTACTTCACAAACTGAATACGAATATCTTAATCAAGGTTTATGATATTATTTCATAGCGAACGAAAGGTTTTAGCATTTAATTTAACTAACTACTTTGAGTAAATCTATGCATTCATATCTTAGTTTAATCAAATTAACAAACGTTTGACCATTCGCAACAGAATAACTACATTCTCTTTATTTTGAAGGATTACCTGGACTACGTGGAAAAGATGGTCCACCAGGCGTTGGAGTAATCGGTGCACCAGGAGAGCCCGGTGATATTGGACATGTCGGCTTACCTGGAGAAGCAGGTATTCAATAATCAATTTTTGTAATAATCCCTATATATATATATATATATATATATATATATATATAAGAATAATCTTTTTTCATCCTGCAAAGAAATGTTCACTTTGAACGTCAGGAAAGTCAGATTTGAAAAAGAAGTTTATAAGGCTTACTAAAAGTCACTTAAAATGGCATAGTTAATGCTATGCATATGTGGCTCTCTTTGCCATAAGCAGATAATCGTTACAACAGTTTCTTACTGGGTGATGATTGAAGGTGAAACGAAAATCAGTGTCACGACATAATTCGAACCAGCGGACCTTAGAAGTCAGCTACTATTTGTCAACACTTTCTTGGTATTTTTAAGAATGCTTATCTACTAAATATTCTATATGAATATTGTATACTTTATGATAAGTTTCCGATCAAATCTAGACGTCATTCCTACTTAAACAATAAGTTACATAATTTCTGCCGTCACTTATATTTCTAATCTGAATGAATACTTTGATATGCACTAGTGACAAAAGAAAAAATTATTTATTTACCTGCTTTCAGGAGAACCCGGTGACCAAGGCCCTGAAGGACCTTCTGGTTTAGCTGCACTAACTGGAGAACAGGGAACAAAGGGGGAGAGAGGACTGCCTGGTGATGTTGGTGACCAAGGACCAGATGGTCTTCAAGGTCCTCCTGGTTTTGATGGAGAAAAGGGAATCCAGGGACCACAGGGTGCAGTGGGCATAGATGGTATAGATGGTATTGCTGGAGAGAAAGGATTTACTGGGAATCAAGGTTTATTCGGTGATCGTGGACAAACCGGTGATCAAGGTGAAACCGGTGAAGATGGTATCACAGGACCGAAGGGAACCCCAGGAATTGCCGTGACAGGGGAACTAGGAGAAACGGGTGATCCTGGAGAGTCCGGGATTCCAGGAGACGAAGGAGATCAAGGGGTTGATGGAGAGGTAGGAGAAGATGGTGAGACAGGTGAGAAAGGAGAAAAAGGTCAACCTGGACTAGTAGAAGGTGAAAGAGGTGAGCTGGGAGATGAAGGAGAACGAGGCGAGATTGGAGAAGTAGGACCTCCAGGGCCAATTGGTGAAGTTGGACCTAAGGGAAGAAGTGGGGAAAAGGGGCAACCAGGTCAAACAAATTACTCCTCTGTGCTTTTTGCTCGCCACTATCAGACACCGTTTGTTGAAGAACTTACATGTCCGACTGGAACAAGCAAACTGTTTACCGGTTACAGCTACGTTATGGGTGGTGGTGTTGACGATCTAGTCAGCATGGATTTGGGTAAGCTAATTCAGTTATATATATGCAGAAAACGGTTTATCATACTATTTTCACAAACATCTTATTTCAGCGTTATCTATCACACATGTAAGACTTCTTACATATATATATGTAGAGGCGGTAACCTCTGAAAGATGTGAGGAAATGAAATGGCTAAGATCTATCTGCTCTTAAGCATTACAATTTATTTTACCAGACTACAAAATCCATATCTCAGAAATCATCTGTGACTGGGATGCATAAATATCACAGGTTTCCGACCGATGGACAGAATGCAACCCTTAAGATGCATTCGGCTTGGATATAAACTGTTTTCATTCGAAAACCATTCATCGAAGGTTGAGAGTCAGTAAGACTATCACCGTCGAGATGATTGAAACTGTAAGTGAAGGTTTGTATGGTTGCCAACTAAACTTTGCTTCCTCTTTATCTTCAGTCTGAAAAGAACAATCAGATCTTGTCTCCAACTTTGTCTGCAGACGTTTTCAGAGATAGTGAACAAAAATCTTGAGTTAGACTAAATAAGATACCAGTGGACGTGTTAGAAACAGATATAACACGAATGGGATAAAATCTCACTTTAACTTCAAAGGAACTTGGTTACGGATACCAAAACTAAATCGATTTGGAGGTTTTATGGAAATTTATTGACTTCAGGTTGGTGTTATTCATGGACTGGCATCAGTAGGAGAAACACTGGAAACCTGGAAGCACTGAACAGCTGTTTCGTTCCAGCATAGAAATCCTCAGCAGTGCGCATACATGCCCTCTGGCCCAACTAGGGATCAGCCAGTTACCACTGGGCCACTGGATTGATCCTTAGTGGGGTCATGGGTAGGCACTACTGAAGTAGTCCCATGCCGTTCAGTGCAGCCAGGTTCCTAATGTTCCTCCAACTAATATCAATTCATGATGAATACCAGCCTGAAACCGAAACTAAGAATGCTTAACTCACCAACAATGCCTACAGCTTCTGTGAAATACAAAATACAATACAAATATGCAGTTATAAGACATGTTCACAGGTGTGTTAGCTAAACGTGAGTCAGACCCTAGAATATAGGTATACAAAATTATTGGCACTGGACATATTCAATTCCTTCACTTAATTCAAACGTCTTCATTATAACAAAATTGGTTGCAATCACAGCTGAAATCCAGCTGTTCGCTTAGATAGATCTCATCATCAAGTAGGTTTGTATGAAAGTTTATTTTCTCCATTTTTTATTTAACTTTGGTATAAATATGACCAGGATCATCTTTCTTTCTCGTCTGAATATTCAATTAAAATTCTTTAGTCGAATCAGAGTATGCAGATAATACCAGTCTTGTTAAATGTAGATGTTGACAAGAAACGTAAAGACGTTTGAACACATTGAATGGAAATATGAGAAGATTTAGAATGGATTTTCCAAATTCTAATTGCAAGATATTACTTTATAATTGGTCTTCATAGATGCCGTTTTTGATATAAAGTAGTGAATTGATTGAAAGTAATGAGTAGTTGATGCAATTAAGAAGCCAAACCAGTCCTACTATGCTTACATGGATAAGGAAGCTACTTTCGACTCATGTCAACTTCAGTTATATATATAGCAATAGTGAGATATCCATGTAGATATTATGAACAGTGTGTGCTGTACTATATCATATAATAAACCTGTGGAAGCATAACCAATGAAAGTGGTAGATTTGTGAAAGTTCCTGACATTTGATCACCACCATTCTTGTGGCCTTTGGTACAATCGATTAGTGGGAATCTCAGTTCAAAGTAGTAGAGTACATCAGTTGATAATATTGTGAACTCCTACCGATTAAAGATATTAGAATATACGGTACATGCGGCCTGTCTCAAGATAGTATTTTGTTGAGAGCAGGAACATAATGAGTCTTGAAGAAGGTCAAGTCGAAATATGGCACTCTTCCATAAAGCTTACAACTTTCTTTCTGAGCTGCACATGAATTCTGCCTAACGCTTGTATAATAATTAAAATCTATTGTAATGTAATTTCATAGAGACGACTAAAAATCCAAAGGTACTTTATGATATTCCTAAGAACCTTTCTATCGAATATCTTTCATTCCTTTTTGTCACTGAGTCCTTTTTTTGTCTCTTGGTGCTTCTACAGTTGGCTTTTTTAACGGTTACATAAAGGAGAACTACTTTTTAAATCCCAATGAATTAGAAGAATAATTTTTTGACCTTTTTGTGACTGTAATAGAGGTGGGAACAGTAATCGCCGATCCAATTAGTAAATTATCCAATTCTACAGGATTATTTGCGGGTCGTTTTGTATAGCTAATAAATATTTATTTAGAGTTAGTATTCCTCAAGGACTGACATCAGGTGGACAACCAATGTAAATCCAAGGACACTGGACACCTGTTTCCTCTTAGCTCGGGACTCCTTGGGATTACGCACCCACGACCCGACTAGGAATCGGACTCAGAACCTTCAGGTTTCAATTCAAACGCGCTGACCGCTCACCTGCTAGGTCAGCTTCCAGTGGTTCACAGTTTCCAACTTCTGTCAATTCATGATATAGCGTGACTACCACCCAAGGTCTTCAGTTAGCATCCGCTTCTCTTCCGACTGACTGACCCCACAGGTCACGGCTTCTCATAAAAACCTCGTGATATACAGCTGGAAGCATGTCATTAATGAGCACTATACAGTAATGTATTTTTGAGGTTTATATGGATTTTGTTCATTCATCTATAAGCGGATGTTAACTTAAAACCTTGGGTGATAGTCGCGCTATATCGTGAATCGACAGAAGTTGGAAACCGAACCAGTGGCTGAATGGTTAACGCGTTTGCTGTGAAACCCAAAGGTCCCGGGTTCGACCCCAGCCAAGTCGTGGGTGTGTACTGCTAAGGAGTTCGATACTAGGACGAAACAGTTGTCCAGTGCTGTCAAATTTTCAGTGGTTCCCCAACTGATGTCAATCCATGATGAATACTACTTCTAAATTAAAAATCCTTATTCATCTCAAAAATATTTATTTCCTTTATAATCCATTTACCCAATGCTCAACCTATTCAACTCTATCAGGTCAATTATAGACCCTGAAGTTTATAGAATACAAAACGTTGTCCAAGATCTGGGACCAAATTGAGGGAATGTATCTGCTGATAACCTTCTGTGGACCTTCTGAATGAACCTTTTCTAAGATTAGTTAAAAAAGTGTATCAATAAATGGGATAAAAGATGAAAAGTTTAGTATAAATCAAACTTCTATCATCATATCTTTTGATTAGATGAAGGTTGACAAACGGATCTTTTTCGTAAATAAGGCACTAGATGAGATGATATAATGACTTTGCCATCTGTATTTATCTCCCTCAAAGCAGGTAGGTGTATATACAGGTCCCACATAGTTTCTAAAATCATTGAATTTTGCCAGCTTACATACGTTTAGGAAATAGGATATAATAAAATATTAATCTGTGGGTTTTGAAATTATTATCATATTTATTTGTCCCTTGGGTTCATGATGGAACATGGTGCTTCAGTAGCACGCCTCCATTCCACTCTCTTCCCTGCAATCTTTTCAACCTGGCTCCACGACAGCGCACAAGCTCTCATTTCCTCCTCACACGATCCTCTCCATGTCACCCATGCCTCGGACGCCTAACTCGTCGTTTCCCATTTGGCTTCCACTCGACGACCTGGCCTAGTCTGTCGTGTGATGCCCCCGAATAGTGTTCTCAGTGCATGCTCAATCCCATCCATCTCCACTTCCTTCCACTGCATATTTGTTGAGTGATAGTTTGTTGGTTGGTTCGTTGCCAGCCAGCCAGCCAGCCAGCCAGCCAGCCAGCCAGCCAGCCAGCCAGCCAGCCAGCCAGCCAGCCAGCCAGCCAGCCAGCCAGCCAGCCAGAGTTCCTTGTTGCTTATTTTTTCTGGCCATCTGATTTTCAGTAACGAGCGTAGGCAGTTGTCGGGTCTTGAAGTTAGTGCTGATGATGTCGTCTAGAAGGATGATGAAAGCTCCACGATTAAACAATCCAGATCGGAGGATACAATATAATCAAGATAATCTGTGGGTTGTTGTGCCCAGTTTGTACAGAGAGAAGTCTTAAGTTTATAGTACTCTACTTTCATTATTGCTAAACGGTATGCTAACCTGTGTACGACCTTCGCTTATACATATTCCTAGGCACTGAATGTAACGAACCACAGGTAGAATTATCCTGTTGACAAATTGATTTGCATTCATTATGAGGACATGTAAAAAAGCAAATGAAATACATTGGACTATAGTGCACAGTTTTACTCGGTAGCTGTGACGAGTTTATTAGCATTGATAAGTAAAAAAATCAAAGAACTATATTACAAGAAAAAGCATAATTCAAAGTAGTTTCATTTAGACAGACAACAAGTGTTCTCTTCTAATAACCTGAATTTTACACAGTACTACAAACCGAGATTTAACCGCATCTATTTGACTAGCTAAGTAATAAGTAGGTCAGTACAATACATTGATTGGTCACTGGAGGTTAACCAACTTCATATTGTCTATTCCTACGTGCTGATGCAATTCGGCCACCTGACCAGGCAGCTCAGCATCGCAGTGCACTTCAACAGATATTCTTTGGATGGAAGCAGTCTTCAGGAAGCCTTGAACCTAGGTTTCATGCTTGTTGGTACTCGTCAGCAAGGCGTATCTGAAACCATGACGGAACTGATGTCCCGCTTGAGATTCGGACCCGCATCATCCAGTATTGTAGTCAGCGACGTTACCACTGTGGTATTCAGGCCCTATAGTGGCTAATCAACGTGTCTAATCCAGTCCTACAAGGGGTGGAGGGGGTTCCAATCTCAGGGAAGGGGGTCAGTTACGTCGAGGTTGCAGATACGCCTTGCTGACAAATACCCACAATACGAAACCTAGGTCTAGGCCTTCCTGCCGATCGATTCTATCCAACCTAAGTCAGTACAATCTCCAGGTACCTGTTTGTACTTCTAGGGAATATTATGCTAGGATGTAAGTTCTTCTAACTGTTCAACTCAATTGAAATAAGCAGTTACGCTTGCCGGTATAATCCATTTCCTTTGTGGCACAGATTTCGCTTTTACTCTAATCCCTGAATGTATTCTTCTTTTTGTATTCGAAGGCAGAAACTAGCCTAAACAACTTAACATACGTGTAGTATCTTTCAACTTGATAGGGATTTTCAAGCTTAACAGTGTGTAACTTCATATTGGCTGAAAACTATGACTGATAAGAAGCTGTTATACCCAAGGTCACATGTGAATCTAAGATTTGTTTCTTTATCCAGTTATTTCTGTCACAATTTTTAAGTGAATACAAAATAGATCGTCCCCCACTGTGTCAAATAGCTGGGTCTTAGTAACTTAAATGAAACACTGATAATCTGATTGATTATGAGGTGCTTTTGTATAGTGTAAATTAAATAGCCTAGTGGTAGACAACATTACTGTAAATATCATATTGACTTACTTTTAGGTACACCAAGCTCATGTTTATCCAAGTTCAGTTCACTCCCTATGACTCAGTGTGAAAGGGATACCACCTGTCAATCAAGTATGCGACATGAAAGATCCTATTGGTTAGCTACATTGGTACCACGTTCTGAACAGCCGATCCCAGTAGATCAAACAGCAGATCAAATAGCTAGATGTGTAGTCTGTGAAGCTCCAGCGCATGTATTCGCTTTCCATAGTCAAGGGGAAACACTACAACCATGTCCAAGCACTTGGACTGAATTGTGGACAGGTGTCAGTTTGATACTAGTAAGTCTTATTTTTGGGGGTAAATTGTAACTCGCAGTTTTGAAAGTAGGAACAGACATTCTTAATCAATTTTGAGTGTTTTTTGTCGACATATCACCCAAAATCTTGTCAATAGCAACAAGTAAGCAGTTTTAATTAAACAGATTCTCTTCAGCTTCTGACCAGCTATGCCATAAAACATTCCCATCGAATGATGAAGGAAGGAAGGGATAATTCAGCGAAGAAAATTTACCTTTCTGGACGATGTCATTTTCTTAAGTTGTACAGTCGTATTTATAAATATCACAAATACATAACAGTCTCTTATTACACAATAGAGTATAGTTGCATCATTAAGCTAGTGCTATCACTAATGGAAAATGGTTACTCAATTATCTTTTAGACAATGGGAATAGTGAGGAAGGCAAGGAGTTTGACAAAGTGAAAAAAATATTGTTGGTTGATGTGAAATGCGAAGATTGGATGTCCGCTTGATAGACGATATAAAGAAGATGAAAGAAACAAGGGCGATAATGGTGATAACAGTAAACTAATTATAAAGAAAGTGTTAAGACCATCGGTAAGGCAAGAGACTGAACGTACTTCATATGCACACAGAGATCTGGTTCGAATTGGTGAATAACCACTGCTTCCGTTATTTACAACTGTTGAAGGTATACTCCTTTAGAAACTATTCACGTTGACTCTATAAATGACAATAAACGAGGACCATGGTTGAGTTATGTGTCCAGAATTGACCAAATGTTCAAGAATTGAACTGTTAATTGATTTACATTCTATCCTCGACAACCATACAGTATAGTGCTAAGGAGTATGTTTCTAAAGTACGAGGTTCTTGCAGCCAATATAACTAGCTCCACATGAGCAAGTAAATTTATAGACATACACTAAGGTGGCCCAAAGCGTCAACTTGTCTTTAATTTATCCTGGAACGAGAGCCAACTAGAGAAGCTAATTTGTAGCTTCACAGAGAAGAATATCTACTTCAGCGATTTGGATAGCCGATTCTTCAGGATCTCTGCTGTCTTATCACCTTTGAAACCAACTTTCATTACAAAGTATTATTCGGAGCCTTGAATGCTTCGTACGTATTCTGCTTTAATTTCAATATTTTAACAATAAATTTGGATGAATATCCATTTTGCAAGTGAACACTGAATCTTCCACATCCACCAGTAACAATTTTCACCTTGCCTTCCTCATTATTTCGATTGTCTAAAAGATAAGTAAGCAACTACTTTCCATCATTGATTTGAGGTTCTGGCACTAGCCTAATGATGCAACTATACCCTATTGTCTACTAATAGACTGTTACACGTCTGTAATATGTATCACTAAAATTGTGCAGCTCTAGAAAATGACATGAAATTACACATGGAAACAGGAAGTAACGTGGATTAAGAATGATCCAGATGAGTTACAGGACAGTAAATTACAAAAAATTGAATGTGGGTTTACTATTTATGCAACGACCGGTAGTGCAACCTCACAGTCTACAAGCGATATGAGCCTAGCAGTCTACGAACGTTACGAACCTAACGCGAAACAGAACGTCAACCACAACAAAAGTAATACTACCGGCATGTGCAGATAAGGAGAGAAGATGGGCTGTCGATAGAGAACTTTTAATTTCTCAACAACAGTTAAAACAGTTGAGAGCGGTGCTGAATACATACATTTCTAAATGACCTTGACGACACCAAATCCACATTTAGGCTAAAATAGTTAACAACCAATGAGCGTTCAGCCTTCAGAGCAGTGGGAAAACAAAAGCTATCAATGGCGTGAAAACAGGATCATAAGTTATTTTAAGGTTACATGCAAACATCAGGCAAAAGTTATGCAAAACTAGAGGGTTTTTAGCAGTAGATGAATATTCTTAAAGAAGAATAAGAGGACGATGGAAACAAACAATAATCAGACATGTGAAGTTTATATAATGGATCCAAATTTAAGAATCTGATGAATCCATAGTACTTAGGAGAGTATGACGAACAATCTTCAGATAACAGTAGTGTTATTTGTAGTGAAAAAATGTAGAAAATGATAGAATCAAGATTTTCGAAGCATTTCTGATAACCAGGACAAAGAGAAACTGAAAAATGTGACCTTCAATGTATGAATTAGGCCTTAACTTCCTTCATGACAATGGTTTCATCAAATCATTACATGTTTAGGCTACATTTTGTCCACAATTCAGCAGGTGCTGAGCGCTTATGAACCTCTCAATCTCTAGTTCTTAAGGAAACGGTTAGGAATCCAAACAAAAAGTCTTTCCTATTTCCTTGCGATATATGTGTGTTTTATCACCTACACATAAACTTGTAGACACAGATGTGAACTTCTTAACTTTCAATCACCGTAACAAGTAGTTTGTCTCATATAAACAAACCAGCTTAACTGTGGGTTATGTCCTTTTCAAAGTACCATTAATATGCGAAGTTGCAGAAAGACAGGTTTTTTCTCTGCTTTGGTACGCTCGACTCACTTCCTACTTGATTTTTGGCATCCGTTGATAAATTTCCGCGGATAACTATTAGTACGCAAGTATTGTCAGATTACCATCCTGCTCATACTACATTGCAAATCTTATCTAATGTGACATATACTTTTCTGTATCACCTGATATTTCAATGTTTATCTAAGGCCAAAACCTTTAACTTGGTTTAAGGAAGGTAGGTTGGTGATATATACCCCTAATATTGCTTAACGTTTGAGTGATATTCGCCTATAACCTTAAAATAACTTTATCATTGGTGTTTTCACGCCCTTGCTAGCTTTCGTTTTCCCAACTGCTTATGAGGGCTGGACTCTTAGTAGTTGTCAGTGGTTGTCAAGGTCGTCTGATATATATATATATATATATATATATATATATATATATATATATATATATATGCATTCAGTATTACTCTCAAATGCTTTTAACTGTTGAGACAGTAAACATTCTCTGTCAACGGTTCGTCTTGTCTTTTTGTCTTCGCTTGTCGGTGATATTGTTGTGGCTGTTGTTGTGACTGAGGTTCCGATTAGCGATTAAAGTCAATTCGTCTGCGCATTACGTTCGTATAACTGGTAAACTGCTAGACTGGAGAGTGTATCGAGTAGTACAAAATCCTTAAATTGACCATTTGTAGAAGGAAGATGCATTTATCAAATGTCATACCCAACCGTGAACTTCAACAAAAGAAACTCCAGTGTTGTAACCGTAGGCATTCCAAGACATCTAGTTTAATCATTAAGTGAACAATAAAGAAGCTGGGAAACAAAGTAAGTATAACTGTGACATGAATTGCTCCGAAGCCCTATGTTCTACTAGGAACCCAAACGACAAATAATAAATGAATTACTCCTACTCATCTTCGTATGATTTTGCTTGTAAAGATGGCTGAGATCTACAGATTGTGATTGGTTAGAGGATAAATGTCCAAAATTTTTCGCTGCCAGTTTCTACTAGGTGATGATTGAAGGTGAAACGAAGATTTGGACCGCAGCCTGATTCAAACAAGTTACCACTGAGTTTCCGGCCCGATGCTCTACCAACCGAGCTACAAGATCCGACTACTGACCACATTTTTATTTGACTTCAATTATCAAAGGTTTTGCCCGACTACCATGTGAATTCGTGACGCCTTACTAGAGCTTGATCATATTCACACTGGCTGCCTAGTCAAGACTTTTCATCCCAATCGATATCTAACTGAATCAGAGAAGTGACTGAAGTGAAATAAAGATGTGGTCAGCAGTTGGACCTTGCAGCTCAGTTGGTAGATCATCGAGCCAGAAACCCGGTGGTAGCTGGTTCGAATCCGGCCGCGGTCGAAATCTCCATTTCACCTTCAATCACTCACCCAGTATAAATACTAGTCTGCCAAACTACGTCTATCCCAGATAGCCAAATGATAATCAATACTTAAAATTATTGTTTAGGTCGGTTGAATGATTGGAATCGATTAAACGTTCAAGGATAGAACTTCTGATGGATTTCCTTACACCCTGATAAAACCAGGTAGGAATATGTTTCTGTAAACGTATTGACAACAATTTCTGACTACGGCCGATGTAGTTAGCTGCACCAAAGCAAGTTAAATCTCCCTCATGGATTACAGTCTTTAAATATCATATATATATATATGCGGATGTACAGGTTGAGAATGAATTCGTTGAAAAGACTCCTCTTTGCTGAATATCTTGTTTCCGATTATTATTATTACTATTATTGAATTCTGAGGGAGTTGTGGAGATTTGGAAATATTTTAAGTTGTTATTCATCGTAGATTGACATCAGTTGGAGTAACAAAGGAAACCTGGGAGCACTGGACAGCTGTTTCGTCCTAGTATGGGGCTCCTCAGTAGTGCGCACCCACGACCCCACCAGGAATCGAACCCGCGACCTTCAGGTTCCGTGGCCAGCGCGTTACCATTCAGCCACTGGGTGAGCTAACAGAAGTTGGAAATATGGACGACTGGATTGTGACCCAATGGCCCATTGGCAACGTGCTGGCCTCGGAACCTGAAGGTCGCGGGTTCGATCCCTGGTGGGGTCGTGAGTGCTCACTGCTGAGGAGTCCTATACAAATGGGACGAAACAGCTGTCCAGTGCTTCCAGGTTCCCTTTGTTCCTCTCTAACTGATGTCAGTCTACGATGAATAACAACCTGAAGTTATTATTATGATGATGATTCGGTCTATTTTCTTTCTTTTATGTTGTCCTAGCATACTTCCGGTGCTCATGGTGGTGGTCAACAATTATCTTCACCTGGTAGTTGTATGGAGCATTTTCGTTATTCTCCAGTTATTGAATGTAATAACAATGTAGGCATGTGTCATTATTGGTCAGATGCAAAAGTTTATTATTTAAGAGCATTAAATCCAAATATTACACAATTTGAAAAACCAGTAGGTTTTGTTATGAAAGCTGCTGAAGGACCAGTGTTGAATAATGTTAGCAAGTGTAGAGTTTGCATGAAAATCCCTGCTTAAATTAGGTAGAATACACACACACACACACATTTATGGCGTATATATATATATATATATATACTTTGTGTTCTATATCATGGAAAAACAGCATAGAAACGAAACAGAAATATTGTCTCAATGGATACACTTTTATCCTCTTCTTTTATTTTCTTGTTTTCTATTGCTTCTTATCACTGTTTTCCTGAAAATTATTTGTTTTTTTAAGCATAGTAAATTGAAACAATTTTCTTTTCTTCAATACATATATTGTATCGTTTAATTAAGTAGGTAAATAATAATAATAATAATAATAATAATAATAATAATAATAATAATCCCTTTTAACTCCTGTGAATTGTTCAATACTAATTTACCTAGCAAAAAAGAGACTCTATATTCTTGTTGCTTTTTGCTTAATTGTTTTAATGTTTATTGTTAAGAGAGAGAAAACGAAGAGAAAAAAAATAGTCTAAAGCGCCATATTCAGTCTAAATAATGTGACCTATGAAAATCTTTTAATCCTTTTTGTAGTATTTCTAAACACATCTATACAGATTCTTTATATTATGAAAGAGATGTTGAAAAATTCATGTTTTATTACCAATAAAAAACTTTTTATTTAAGCAGACAAGCTTGTTTTAATCATTCAAGAATGTGTGTGTGTGTGTGTGCGTATGTTGATTACTGATTTAACTGTGTAATATTCACTCAATTTATAACCTTTTTGAAAGTCAGGCTAAAATATGTTTACAAAGGTTGTATTCATCATAAACTGACATCAACTGGAGAAATATTGAAGACATGGTAGTACTGAATAGTTGTTTCATCCTAACATGGAACCATTTAGGAGTCCTCGCTAAGCTATGACCCCCGATAGGGATTGAACTCAACACCTTTAGGTTCCATGGCCAGTCCATGATGAATTTCAATCTGAAATCAATTATTAAATCTCCAGATAGAATTAATCTAGCGTTTGTTGGCCACTGGCTTTAACAGGTGATTCCTCAAGTCGTGACCAGTGGATGTAGGTCACGCTATTATCATGAACTGACAGAAGCTGAAAATATGGATCATTAGATTTTAGTCCAGTGGTTCAATGGTGACATGGTGGTCGCAGAACCTGAATGTCATGTCACGGGGTCGCGGGTGCCCACTGCTGAGGAGTCCCATATTGTTTGATGCTTCCAGGTTCCCAATGTTCATGATGAGTTCTAACTGAAATTCAATTTAGATTTTAAACCAATTAGAAAGTATCCAGCAGTAGACTTTACTAACATAGTTTCAATATGGAAACAAAATTCAGTCAAAATGCTTTGAAGACTAAAATAGAATAGAATATATCTGAGTCTTAGTTTCGAATTTCAGAATGGAGCTTCATCTTATGTCTTTCTTTGATAGAATAGATGATTGTTAGTTCTATCTACCTTCAGCATATGTTACAATGCGTTTTAAATTTTACTAAATACAATCTGTACTAATTATTGTTACAACTGATCATAAGTCATGCTATTAGATTCAATTATGAAAATGGTCCCGAGAATTAGTGATTTTACTTACGTTCGCTTTAAAATAACCGGTGGATATATATCATAGCGTAGGATACTTTTGTCTAAATGTCACAAGGAGACCTGAAAGATATTAAAAACTCATAACTAATCAGCTAACACCCAGTTTTCGAGAAAAATCAGATAACTATCCTACAAATATAAGATAAGTAAGTGCAATGGAATCAATGATGAATTATCTTCTAGAAATATCTATGAATGACCAAGATTACTGTATACATAAACATCCTAGGTAATACAGATAATGGAGTTAAGAATGTGTGAGGAAGACCAGCAACACACAACATTTGCTTTGTATTTTGCTTTCATACTTTAGTAAACTTTGGATCCATTCATGGGCCCTTATACTAAGTGACAGCGGATGCCTCGATATTACCTATGTTCTAATTATGGTAATGATGGATAGTAGCTAGCAGTGGAATCTAGGATGCATATTTCATCCTATTTGGGACACGTCAGCTGGATGTACCTGCCTCCCACTGAGTAATGTTCCCAAACAGAGCAATTATATTAAAACTATACCCACCACACAGGAAATGACTCAGTGGTCTAGTGGATAACGCCCTGATGTTTGAAGTTGGTCAGTCCCGGGTTCGAACCCCGGCAAGGGTAATACCCACTGAGAGGCAGGTACATTCCGCTGACGACTATCAGTCCCGTTATCACTTTTAGCAATTTTAGTAGCTATTATCTTTCATTTTTTTCAGAATATCATTGCTATTAGAATACTATAAAGTATATTTTAGTAACTCAATAAAGTTCAGATGACTGGTACAAGAATTACAAAGAAGTTACTTATTACTTATCATATCTTTTTATATATCAATTTTCATTTTTAGAATATCGAAAATCTGTTTAATACCAATGTATATATCATTGCTGCCTGGAAGCAGACAGGCAGACAATCTTGGTAATCAGTATTATGGAAATCAAAAGATTATAACATTTCTGTAAGTTAACTTATTATAAAATAATTCCTAATCATATTTGTTTATTTACAATAGAACCTCAATATTTCTTATACTCTTTGTCATAATTAATGGAGTACCTGAAACAGAATCCGTAAGTTTTTAATCCATGAAAGAATATCTCATAATTCATTTCAGCAATTTCGTAGAGATATCGACTGTTCAGTAAGATGTGATTACAATTTCTGCAGATGTTTTGGACCACAAGGACCAATGGTAAGTAAATTTTAACAACTTATAACTGTTTTGTTCAGTTAGTAATATTTATTATTTATTACTACTTATTATTTGTCCCTTGAGTTCCTAGTGGAACATAGGGCTTCACTGACACGTCTCCATTCCACTGTCTTCTCTGCAATCTTCTTAATCTGGCCTCACGACTGCTCACAAGCTTTCATTTCTTCTTCACATAATCTCTTCAGTGTCACTCTCGCTTCAGACGCTTAACTCATCGTTTCCCATTTGGATTCCACTTGAGGGCTTGACGCATGATGTCTCCGAATGGTCTTCTCAGTGTATGCCCAATTTATCTCCACTTTGTTCTGCATATTTGTTGAGCGATAGGTTCTTGGTTGGTTTGTTCCTTGTTGCTTATTCTTATTATTCTGGTCATCTAATCTTCAGTATCGAGTGAGCGCAGGCAGCAGCTGTTGATGAATGTCTGTAGTTTATTGGATTTAATTTTTGTAACGCACCGCCAAGTCTCTCAACCATCACATAGAAGCACTGACTTGACTTGATATTAATGTTGAAAATCCGGACCTAGTTCACGCTTTATGCTGCGTGCAGTGAAAGTTCACACTGGTCTCAAATCGATGCACGCCTGTGTTGCTGTCTTTCCGATCCTGGTTTTGACATCCTCGTCTATGCCACCACCTGTAGTCGAAACGATGGTGTCTGCCGCCTAGGTAGGTGAAGGAGACTACTTCCTTAAGGATTCTCCATGTTCATGGTGATTGGTGCTTGTTGTCACTGTTGTTGTTGGTTGGGTATTTTCATCACCTCTACCTCTGTCTTCTCTAAATTCACTTGGAGTCCCGTCTTCCTTCGCTGTCTCGCCTCTCCTGTCAACTTGTTGGCTTTCGCCTGTAGATCTTCGAGTTTGCGCGATAAGACAATAGACATAACTCATCATTGCCGGCGTAATCCAAATCTTCTAGGGTCTTTCCATCGATTCAGCCAGCGTATGCTCATCTTTTCACAGCTCCTCACTGTTTGCTGCATGGTCTAGTCTAATCGACCACAATGAGGAAGATCGTCGGTGACAGTAGGCGGCAGCCTTGTCTTACTCCTGTCTCCTGTCTTCACTTCAAAGGCATCACTGAGCTTTTCATTGTGATTCACTTGGCATGTAGCATCATCATATAGCATATGGCTGTTGAATGGTGTTGATAAAGGTTTGTGGTAACTAGATAACTAGTTCACTAGTTACTAGCCAGATAAAAATCAGATATATACCACTATATATATATATAAACTTACATATTCTGGTGAATTATTCATTTTTAGGGGGATCCAGGTCCTCGAGGTCCACCTGGTTCTATTGGTCCTAAAGGTTATCCAGGTGAACAAGGACCACCTGGACCGAGAGGTATGAAAGGTGATCCTGGACGTGACGGAGCTGATGGTCCTGTTGGCGAAAGAGTAAGTATTTAGTTCATAACTTATTTACTCATCTTAGTGCTTTACTAAGCTTGTAACCATTCAGACAACCGTACGAAGTGCATTATAATCACGAACTTGCTACACCTAATAATAAGGCTAAAAGCTACTTTGTAAGGTTTTCCCTAAGTCAGTATAATGTGTAAATAGAAATAATATGGGTAGAGAACTCAATCATGGCTACTATAGCCTTGTCCGTTACGATATAGTGGTAATGATTATGTGCAACACATTCCAATTGTAATCTGATACTTTAATCATTGTCACAGCTATAGCTTAGTCCTACTTAATATGCATAATGGTAATATGTGAAACAAATAGATAGTTTTCAGGTTAAAATCTTATACTAAGCTTATGAAAACCGTATAACTAAGATATGCAATGGAAAAAATGAAGCTTAGGAACTGTACTGTAAGTGAGCATCTCACCAAATGATCGTGATCCATTCATCATGGATTCAAAAACATTAGGCAGAATTCAGTAAGTGAGACTTTTAGTAGGTTTATACTTCCTGGAGTTGAAGAGATGAGAAATGAGAAATACACACTGAATTCTGATTTATTTAGTAATACGATGTATACGCTCATGCTTAACTCATAAGACTAACTTCACACCCCCAAAGTCTTAAGCCATTGGATTCTAACCCAGTGGCTCAATGGTAACGTGCTGGCCACGGAACCTCAAGGTTGACGTTTATTGCACAGACACTTCTCCCCCCCCCCTAATTTATTTAGGGCAGAAGAAACAAATTTGAAGTGAGAAATGATTGGCTGGTTCCTCCATTTAGAAGTCAATACGTTTGTGTGGCCAAGATACTTTCCTATTGGACTAGCACACTTTCTCATAGGAATCTGATTAGTTGAGCTTAGATAAGCTATCTGTATTCAGATTGAAGAATTTAATTGTGTAGTGATAATGGTGTGTAGTATTTCAGGGAGCCTGTTTCAAAATGAATTTAGTGTAATTGTTGCTATGATGATTGCAATTTGCTGTTGTTATACTGGGCTGAATCGCTCGACCTCTGTTGGTATATGGGCTCCTATGCAGATACCTTGATACTACTGTTGATTCATGATCTAGCGTTGACTAACAGAGGACTCCAAGACTGGTGTTTTGTTCTATTCAGTACTAGGCTTAGTGAATAAGGCTCTGCGTGTTTAAGCGATGGTTATTGAGTTTGATCCTCCGTGGTAACCACATCACTGACTGGGGTCCTGTTACATCCAGCTAACGAGTCCGAGTAGGACGAAATGCGCGTCATGGTAGTCGTCGAGATCAGTATGCATTGAGTGTAATTTAATACTGTAAATGAGGTTTGCAGATAAATCTACATATAAAATGTATTAATCGAAAGTCTGTACATAGTGTTAATTTTTTATTTTGGTATTAATAGAACAGAATTACTGCCCTTGTTCACATCAACAGTCGGAATATTTTCTTAATAATTTACTTAAATGAAAGCCTACCATTGTTTTTAAACTTTTCATCTGAATGTACTTATAATATATTGCTCCATTCGGCACTATACAATCTTTTCATCGATATATTTCAATCCTTGTAGGAATACACTGCTATATTGCATATGGTGCATTTTTACGTGTATAATCCCGGCGTAGTATACTGGTACAAATAACAAAGTAAACAAATATTTTGTATTAATGCTCAGCGTTTCGATCTTGCTAGGAAGATCCTTTTCAAGAATATGAATCTGACATTGACAGGGATTACACAAGTAAAAATACACCCTATACAATGAATCATACTAACTTGGTGCCTAAGTTTTTTGCAAACCATCTAGTCCATTGTTGGTCAGGATACCTTCAATACACTGCTAGCTGTAATTTTGAGAATAATCTTGGTGAAAAACTGATTACTCTGACTTGGTAATTCTGATCAACATTAAGGTGGTCTTCGAAAACAAGTTCTATCTGAGTAATCACGTTCATATAGATCAACCTTACAAAGTATCTCTGTATTTGCCTAGAAATTGCTACCATGTACTCTGCACTACGAAACTTTTTATTATAATATAATATAATATTTCAGAAATGAATGCAAATAAAACATTTCGTGGTATTAGGAGACGTAAAAAAAAATAGTTGCTAAGACTACTGAGCGTCGCCTACTACAACTTCTCTTGTTTAATGGGTGGGTGGGTATATACGCTTCGACTTTTCAATTATTCTAACCATAGCTACATATTAGACAGTTATCATTCTCTGATCTGCACTTTTTAACTATCTAATATTATGTAATGCATTCATTCGGTCGATAAGTGAAGCATTCAGGTGTGAATAATCACTTCCTATTGATTTAAAACTCATTGAAATCACATTTTGAATGGCCCTGAGAAGGGCTTTCGTTCATCCACTTCCCATCATGAAGTAAAAATTCACTTCTGGTGCAGTTTGTCTTCACCTGAAATATAAAAGTGAAGTGGGTACAGCTGTGGGAGTCAAGGATGCAAATTAACTTTTTGTACACAAATCCCTCTAATTATCATCGATATTACCTTCCTGCCAGGGATTACCTCCATATGCAGGGCATTCTAAACAAAAGCTGCTTGGGTGTGGATTCCATGCGCAGAATATATGGAATGTTGCATGACAATGGCATGCTATCCATGTGCCGCCACGTTGCGAATGATGTGCACACAACACAGGAGATGTGAGTACGGAAAAACTTCGCATAAAGCAGACGAAATTGCAGGAGAGTCATCTGTTATGAAAGCACCCACTCTGCGGCTTCGAATAATATTATTAAAAAACCTCAGAAATGCACCAATCAGTTCTGATATCTCACTGATTATGAAAGCAAAAGCTATGGGATAGCCATGAAGTTGATGTCGATGCCTACCAGCTCGTAGAGAAAAAAGTTCTCATTATTAGTCTTGTAAGTGCCATCGAGACCCAGTAGATCAAGACAGTTTTCAGCTGATCAGCTGTAGCGAAAAAGAATGATTTCAGATCTCCACCCTCTGTGACAGAGAAGGATGCCGATCCACCTTGACTGATTATATGCGCCTGCAACTTTTCATAACTGCTTACAACAACATCATTACAAGGGAAATTTCAATTACCGGTTATTACACCTAGCGAAGAGGCGATAGTACATACTGAACACATCTTGACTATTCAATCGTTTACCATAATGTGCATAAAGGAAATCAACATTAAATACAACCGTTCCGGATATCAGCAATAGCCTTATGCTCTCCAATTCAGCTCCTGTCAACTTCCGCTCCCACGAACTATTTGTCATAAAGCAGTGAACTGCAGGGATGATTGCGAGTTAACACCGAGTAACTGTCCAGAAACCTTCTAAGAACTTCGCAAGAGCGAACATCCGACAAGAACATTTCAGGGATATTCTATGAAGTAAATAATGAAAACAAACAGAACTGACCTTCTCATCACTATACTACCTATTTACCGGCGTCCACTAGCCTTATAGCAGACAAACTTAACGTAAGCTCTTCGGTCACCTTGCAAATGTGAATCTTGCACAACGTAGTGTGTGTACGTCTGTTTCTCATACTCCTTCAGGGCGACCTTCAAAGACTCTACGGACAAAAACGCTCCATAAAAATCGACTCGTTTTCGTTTACAACACTTTGGACGGTTTCGTCGCTCATCATGAAACGAAGCAACTCGTCCTCAGTTTGCTCCTTTTGATAGTACTTTTCGATTTCTTGCAACCAATAAGATAGGATATTTCATCGTCTATTTTAATTGGACAACAGGCGACACAGGGAGTGAGGGGGAAAGGGTAGAAAATAATAGTTTGAAAAAAAATTATTACCATGGCCCAAATGTATTTCGAACGTCAAGGTCGCGGGGTCATGGATCTGCACTGCTGAGGAGTCCCATACTAGGTCGAAACAGCTGTCCAGTGCTCCCAGGTTTCCTTTGTTCCTCCAACTGATGTCAGTTTACGATGAATAACAACTTGAAATCTAATTTTACTACCTTTTTTCTTTCTAGGGTCCACCAGGTGACTTTGGACCTCCAGGAATGCATGGTGAACATGTAAGTATATGACTACTAAAACATTATATCCTTTTTTAAGGAGAAATTCATGTATTTAATATCTACTGACGTTGTTTTTTAAAAATTATTTTCATTTCAGGGTGAAAGTGGTGAAACAGGTGATAAGGGAGCTAAAGGTATTGCTGGATGCCCTGGAGGCAAAGTAAGTGCACACATATGTTTGGTTAAACTCTCATACCACTTCAGACCTATAATAAAGTGAAAAAATTATTATCTTTTAATCTGAGATAATGTTTAGACTATATCTTATCTAATGTTTATTTATCTTACTTGCTCTTAAGGGTGATCTAGGCGATAAAGGTGAACCTGGAAGACAAGGTATGGATGGTGAAAGAGGAATGCCTGGTATCGATGGTGAACGAGGCGATCCTGGTGAATCTGGACTAGGAATACGTGGACCACCTGTTAGTTCTTTTTTTAAACAGTTCTGATTGTATTAAACACGAATTATTGTGATAATTAAATTCTTTTACAAAGAAATCTCAATCTCCCATTTTAACATATATATATATATATATATATATATATATATATATATATATATATATATATATATATATATATATAACCCAATAGGCTATTCCGCTTGTTTCAAGGGTGACCTTAAGAGCCACTCCATTTCATGCTGAGGTACCTAATAGCATAATCAGTTTGAAGGACATTGATATATACCTCTGGTTTTTTTTTCATGCATGATTTCGAGGTATTATATACAATACCTTATTACAGTAAGTGTACTGTGATATTGATCATTTCAAATGTCCCCTATTCCTTTCAGTAAATCATTACAAAATGCCACCTTAAATTTTATTCTTTTTTCGTCTTTCTTTTTTTCAGGGCCCTAAAGGGGAATTCGGTGATGTTGGACCAAAAGTGAGTCATCAATGTGTTTTGCATTTGTATAACCTCAGTCTGCTTTCTGTACATTTATTTAACAAAATATTAATTCTACAAGATAAACTTAAAGCTCAAATGAAGTGTTTTGAGATATTTCCACTCACACCTACTAAACTAAGTAACAAATGACAAGAGAGGTGACTCCTGTGCCCCAATGGCCTAATGCATAACGCTTTGACATTTGTACCCACTGGTTCTGAGTTCAAGCCCCGGCGGAGACAACATCACTTACTGGCACGCAAGTGCATCTAGTTGACTAGTCTCAAATAGAACGAAGCGTGCGCACTGGGTTTCACCGCTAGACACCAAGCAGACTATGACAAATGATATATTTTTGTAAATTTTCATTCCTCTCTGTTTGGTTATTATTTTAATAATATCCAACTGAATAGTAATGATGGGCAGTGGCTAGCAGTGGAATCCAGGATGGGCATTTCGTCCTATTTGGGACTCATCAGCTGGATGTACCTGCTTCCCAGTGAGTGATGTTGTTGCTGGAGGGACTCGGACTCGCGAGAGACCGCTTCAAACGCGAGAGCGTTATCCACTACACCGCCAGCCACGATGACCACTTCTTGTGAGACGGGTATATATGTAGTGTTATTGCTTGTATGACACCGTCGTTGACTTAACCGAATTGATCAGTCTCTGTTAGCATACGGGCTCCTGTGCGGATGCAGTGGAATCCAGGATGCGCACTTCGTCCTATTTGGGACTGATTAATTTGGTCCAATCAACGATGGTGTCATACAAGCAATAACACTAATATCCAACTGAAGTTTATAAAGAAGAGAAATAAAACTCAGCAGTTATACATAAGATTGTATACTCGACTTTCGGTCACATCTACATTATAGTAATAGGCTTACTGTCTAACTGTTAAACTTCGATACGCGTGATCGAATTCAAATCAATTGACTGTTAGGTGCAAATACTTTGTGGTAATCAGACCTTAGTAATAGATCAGACGCAATGTGATAAGAGCAAGCTAGTTAAATGCTGAGAGACTGAATTTTTTGTTGGTTACATGAAGTTGGCGAGTATTTATCATCCCATAACTTAGTAGACCAGTTTCGTCGTAACAGTTATTATAGTAGCCAGTTTTTATTGTAAATATTTCTTATTGTTTTCTGAATTTGCAGAAAGTAGTAAAATTTCCTACCTATCTTAAGTCTGTTTTTAACTATGCAGTAATCCTTGTGTAGAATATGAAGAAATAAACATTTCATTACCAGCCGTCTCTCACCAGAACATTTTGAACGAATATGAAAGTCGTATAGTAGTTTTTGAAACTGAAGAAAGTTAGTGTTATTGGTTGTGTTATACCGTTGTTGATTGGACGGAATCGATCGGTCTCGATTACTCTATGGGTTCCAGTACGGATGCCTCGATATTGCCTGTGTTTTAATCATATATACTATTGATGGATAGTGGCTAAGAGTGGAATACAGCACGTGGGTTCCATCCTATTTGGGACTCGTCAGCTGGACGTACCTACCTCCCAGTGAGGGGTTCGAACTCGGGACCAGTCGGTTCGATCCAGTCAGCGACAGCAAAGCATAAGCAATAACACTAAAACTACACATAAGAAGTGGTTATCGTGGCTCGGTGGTCCAGTGGATAACGTTATGGCGCTTGAGTTTGAGTCCCATCGGGAACAACACTCACTGGGAGGCAGATACATCCAGCCGATGAGTCTCAAATAGAACGAATCGGACGTGATGAACTCCACTGCCAGCCACTACCCACCATTAATATAAAAATAAGTTTTATGGAAATGGCAGATTAAAAACCATACAATTTAGAAGTTTGTAGGAATTTACCCAGGACTGAAATCACCCGGAGAACCAATAAAAACCAGATAGCTGTTTTTTCCAAGTATAGGACTCCTTGGTGGAGCACACCCATGATCCCGTCAAGGGTCAAAACTAGGACCTTTAAGTTTCACGGTAAGCGAGAGAAAAAAAATTGAACTACTGGATCCCACCCAGTGGCTAAATGGTAACGCGCTTGCCGCGCAAGTTTCTGCTGATGATGTTGTCTAGAATGACAATGAAAGCTCCACGGTTAAATAATCCAGCTTAGAGAACACAACACCATCAAAACATAGTTTTAGTACTCAGATTAACACCATAAGTGCAATCAATTAACTCAAATGTATCTTTGAATTGTGTCTTTCTTTATCTTACTATAAATATTTCTAGGGCGATGATGGAATTCATGGAGAACGTGGAGATCCTGGATTTCCTGGATTAGAAGGAGACAGAGTAAGAATATGTTATTACAGATAATTTAATCTCTTTGATCAAAAATAGATTGGTCACATTTAACTTTAGGGGATATCTTATTTCATTCTATGCACAAGTTTGTTTACTATACAGTTACGTATTATTATTTCTAATTTACTAGACACAGACACGTCACTGAGAGAAAGATGTCCACTGAACACCAATGACACCAGCAAGGCCCTAAAATTCTGCTTAGGGACTACTTACTTCACATATAAAGGAAAACTATACAGGCAAACTGACGGTGTTACTATGGGTTCACCTGTTTTACCCATATTACCTAACCTATTTATGAGTAAATTCGAAGAAAATGTCTTCACTCACTTACTAATGCCAAAATTTTGGCTGAGATATGTTGATGAAATATTCGTAATTTTTAAACGCGACTTATACCAGGGATTCTTAGACCAGTTGAACTCTAGATCTCCCCTTGTCAAGTTTAGCTCAGAAAAAGAAACGGATAAGAGGGAATTACCTTTCCTTAATTGTCTTGTTAAGCGGAAATAAAACAGACATTTAATTATAACCATTTTCAGTAAAGCAACACATTCGAATAAATATTTAGCTTTCAACTCATCACATCCAATCAGTGTGAAAGTTTTTGTTGCCACCAGGCTCCAAAGTAGAGCACACACTCTAGTAACGGATGAAATAAATGAGTTAAGGAACTAAAATATGTCAGCAAGGTATTTAGAATGAATAATTATCCGGTAAAACTCATTTGAAAGGTAGGAAATAACATTAAATTAGATCGTAGAACTACTCCTAAATCATGGACCTCAACAATAGTTGTTCTTTACAGATCACACACATCTGATGAAATTAGTAGAGTGCTAAACAAATCCAATATCAGAGTGTTCTACAGAACATCAAACACATTGTAGAGCACCTTAGTGCATTCGAAGGACGAGATCCATCTAGATTCACAATCTACTTGCGTTTATAAAATAAAATGCTCAGACTTTGATGTAATATCAATAGGACAAACCTACCGTGAAATAGAAATTAGGAAAAATGAATACGAAGATCTTCCACCCGACCCCTAGAAATTCAGTGGGAGTGAAAAAAAACTTGAAAACATATCAGACAGCTCTACACATCCTACAATTTCAGGTCACAATGTCCATTTTGACAATATTGAAAATGAATCTTGAGGGAGTTGTAGGGACTTGGGAATATTTCAAGTTGTTATTCATCGTAGACTGACATCAGTTGGAGGGACAAAGGAAACCCGAGAGCACTGGACAGCTGTTTCGTCCTAGTATGGGGCTCCTCAGCAGTGCGCACCCACGACCCAGCCAACTCAGTGATGGCATTGGGTGGCGGTCGCGCTATATCGTGAGCTAACAGAAGTTGGAAATATGGACCATTGGATTCTGATCAAGTGACTCAATGGGAACGTGCTGGTCACGGAACCTGAAGGTCCTGGGAATCCCATACTAGGATGAAACAACTGTCCAGTGCTCTCAGGTTTCCAATGTCTCTCCAACTGATGTCAGTCCATGATGAATACCAACTTGAAGCTAATAAATCCCCGCAAACCCCATAACTGGATCAGATCATCAGCCTAATCTTCAATGTATGATATCATGAGGGAGCCTTCCACAGCTACACCATCAACTTGTCGAAAGCGTTCACCTTCAAATGTGAAATGAACTTTGTCGGTACATAGCAACAATATTTCCCTAAGAAAAGTTGGAGTAATACGGAATAGGAAGTTTTTAGAAGATACCTAGTCGCTGAGAGCATTAATAGACACTGGTACGTTAATGAATAAAGAATTTACATCAAAATAGCATATGGTCTTGTTTTGGATACTTATGTCAATAAGTTCAAAAGTACCTTTGATTGAAAACTCATATAATTCACTATGAATGATATTTAACATTTTCGCCAACCGTTTCGCCGGTTTATGTAGCAAAACAAAACAGACAATATAGGATATAATGGATTATTAATGTTATGAATCTTATGCAATCGGTATAAATTCCAAAACTCAGATCATATAGGTTCCAATGAATTAAATTCCTCTTTACTAATAAGCATCCACTTTCAAAGGTTTCATTAAATCAGATATTACATTTCATTCCCAACTTTCTACTGTCATTTGATAGGATATCTGATGTGAATTTGTTTTCATTATTGATCTGTTCATCACAATCAAACATGATCCTTCATCGGGTTTGAAAATGATTACACCAGATCTAATTCGAAATTCTTTCAAAGATTTGAAATGTCAGGAGTTCCAAATGTCCTGAACTATGAGGATTATCGACTAAATTTAACTGTTAACCAACTTTGATTATCTGAGGACGTTTGAACAGCACAATTTGACTGATCATAAACATTTGTAAATTGAGCATCCGATTCCAAATGAGAAATTTTTGTGTGTGTAACCGAAAAAAATTAAATCCAAGAAAAGTGCCTCTCTCTGATGCAATAAAAGTATGAGAGAGGACGAATCAACTGCATATTATTGATCTAGGTCAACTGGAAATGAATTTTTATGAGTATCAGCAGTATAAGATGTAGAAAGTTTTTATCTTGTTCTCTCCTTCATTTTACTGATGATATCAGTGAAAAAAATTGACAAATTTTAACGCAGCTAATACGGAAAAATATCTGACAGCATAAATGGAGTGTAAGCATGCATTTTAATTAAGCTGCATAACTTGTTATAGCAATTATCCATGGTGGATTTCGTAAATCCAACAAGATAATAAGACTTGACAGGACTGCAAAGCTTGGTGACTCCACAGCTGAGCAAATGAGAAACCATTAAGTTGTGAGAAATATCAACATTGTCGACCTTGAATTCTGAATGTCCTACTCCTCTAATAGGCTCATGTTTGTCCGTAGTTCACTAGTCTACTCAACTGGAGTTTGATTAGTCAGCCTGACGTGTCTGTCTTGTGATTGAATTCCAATGCTAGTTTCTGATTGGCTGTGTATATTCAACCTTGTTCTTTCTTCCCTCTGACATTGGTTGAACAAAAAAGAAAATGCCTTAGAGCTGTCACCTGACATACTGAGTTAATTTACGCCTGTCAAGGGTGTTTTTCTCTTATTGATCGGTTAGGTCCTTTCGGACAAGGAATTGAACTAGTTGTTGATGTTTGTTGCGTCAAAAAATTACTATAATAAGCGAGTTTGAATTCTTAATATTTTCATCCGCGATATCTTCAGAATTTTCAGCAAAGTATTTTCGATCTTTATTAAAGGGTGAAGATGGTGATCCAGGTATACCTGGTGAGGCGGGTGAACCGGGAGAAACTATAATTGATGCTTACACACCGGTAAAAGGTTCTCCAGGCGAACCTGGGGATCCTGGGGATCCAGGAAGGAATTGTTCAGTTTCTACACTAGAACAAGGACGACAAGCGCTTATTGGACCTGCTGGTGATCGGGTATGTACAATATTTAGCTGTCGTTCAGCAGTACCTATATTCTGGAGGTTTTAATTCAGTTGTTGTTGTATTTTGATTTAAACAGGGTTTCATATGACATTTCTTACTTGTATGGGAGTTGTAGTGTTCGATACCAGTTATAAGACGGACAGTTTTATCGAAGTTATTTCTCCTTTATTTTATCCTTCCTTACACTTTTTGACTGGTATTAACCTGTATAACTGTATATGCGTGAAGAATCATGTTACCTTGAACCGCTGTTACCAATAATGAGACACTGGGCTTAATACTGTTCCCTGAAAATAATAGTAAGTTCCAGAAAAAGACGTATATGAACCTAATCGCAAACAAATGTATACCAAGAAACACAACGGCTGATCAAGTAAATGAACTATTCGTGATGTTAATTATCGAGCTAACCGGTGTTGAGAAGACGTGAATCATTAACTCTGAACTCGATGAATAGACTGTATTGCTAGTATGATCTCTATGGAACTTGGTGTTTAACTTTGTTACCGGTGTGCTAATGGAAATAACTCTAGGAACATCTAATTTACAGTGACTGACTTACTCCAAAGAGGGACCGTTGTTCACTTGGAGTTCGCAGAAGACATAAGTCTGTTAACCGAAGACTCCGATAGAATAGAATCCACTGAACTCCTCGTACAGAAATCTGAGTATTTTTGACGTGTTTTTCACACCTGACAAATATGAAATGATGTTCCAGGATTAGTTTACACTAATTCCTGGTTTAAAGATGACAAAATTGTTGACAAAATCTTCGCTGGGATACTAAAGTCTCACGTGGTATTCGACAACCTACAATATCTCAGATATCAGTGAAGTATTAAAAGAGGGGTTTACTGTGCTGCAGTTTGCTCTGTCCTGTTTTACAGCCGTCAGATTTGTCTGTTGAAGGCGTGAAGTACTGAGAAGTCAGAGGTGTCTTCTCAGCATTGCTCGCTTATTGGGGAATGACCGTACAAGTAATGCTGTAATTGAGTGTAGGATATCAGACTAAAAGGGCGAGTCTATCCATCAAGTTATGAATGCTCACTAAATTTTCACTGCCTCCCTCATCGTGTGGTGTTAGACGAAGTTGGAATGAATTAGAAAAAGACTTATCGTAGCCAGACCGAACCACGTCACCCATCCATGAAATCTCTGACTGCTTGTCTGAGCCATGTATGGAGGTGCAGACTGCCCAGCTGCAGTTCTGGAAATAATGAGAATCAGTGTTTGAAGACTCTTAGTGGGATGGCTGGAAATTGGTCACAGTGGTGCAAATATACTCACTCTTTGAAGTCTTCGAAGGCTTGGACATTTCCATCAACATTCTTTTTGTGTAGTTCTCTATTTTCATATACACTTTTGTCTACTTTAATATCACTTTTTCTCTGCATTCTACCGTGATATATGATAACTTGAAGGAATGCACTTCTGTGACAGGTTCAACCTTGATTTCTCTCTTTCTCTCTCTTTGGTTCTGCAAACAGAATTGTTAATGCGCACTGCTGATGCATCCTTAACTTTAAAAAAAGTAACTGCTCCAATTTCCAGTGAATTGCTAATCGATATCAGTTCATGACTGAATCAGTTTGAGGAAGAAAGTTTCCAAGCATTCACTAACATTACATTCTTGACTGTCATGCCATCAACTCCACCAGTGATAATTTTAACACCTTCATCATCATCAGATTTCTTTCTTTATCCTTTCACAAACATCCCTTGTATTTTGGATTAATAGGAGTCTAACAGAATCAAATAGAACTTAAGATTTTTTCAGGTTGGAATTCATCATGGACTGACATCAGTTTAAGAAACATTGGAAACCTTGGAGCACTGGACAGTTGTTTCGTCCTAGTAATTTGTCAGCTGCTACGACACCACAAACCTCTATCAACTTCATTCGACAGCTATTGATATGCTATATGATGAGTCTACACGCCAAGTGACTCACAATGGAAAGCTCAGTGATGCCTTTGAAGTGAAGACAGGAGTAAGACAAGGCTGCCGCCTACTATCACCTATCATCTTCCTTATTGTGGTCGATTAGACTAGACCATTCAGCAAACTATGAGAATTGGGAAGATGGGCATACACTATCTGGACCGATGGAAAGACCTTAGAATATTTGGATTACGCCGGCAATCATGAGTTTTGTCTATTGTCTTATCGCACAAACTCGAAGATCTACAGGCGAAAACCAACAAGTTGACAGAAGAGGCTAGGCAGCGAAGACAGGACTTCAGGTGAAAGTAGAGAACAACAACAAGCAGCAATCACCATGGACGGGAGAAACCTAAAGGAAGCAGTCTCCTTCAACTACCTAGGCAGGGCAGCATCGTTTCAACTACAATAGCAGCCAGGATCGGAAAGACATCAAGACAGGCCTTCATTAATCTGAAATCAGTGTAGACATCTACTGGAATGCACTGCACTGCACTCAGCATAAAGCGTGAACAAGCTGCGAATTTTCATTATTGATATTAGTCAAGTCAGTCCTTCTATATGATGGTTGAGAGAATTGGCGGTGCGTTACAAAATGTATTTCCAACAAACTGAAGACCTACATCATCAACAGCTGCTGCCTAAACTTGATACTGAAGATAAGATGGCAGGAAAGAATGAGCAACACGGAACTCACTCTGGATGGCAACGAACCAACCAAGAAATTATCGCTCAGCAATTATGCAGAGGAAAGTGAAGATGGATTGAATTTGACTGGACATACACTGAGAAGACCGTTTGGGGACATCACACATCAGGTCAGGACAGGTCTTCGAGTGGAACGCAAATGGGAAACAACTAGTTGGGCGTGTGAATGTGACATAGAGGAGGTCATGTGAGGAAGAAATGAAAGCTTTTGAAGAGTGGTGGAGCCAGGTTGAGAAAACTGTAGAGAACAGAGTGAGATGGTGACGTACTAGTGCAGCTCTATGTTCCATTAGGAACCCAAGGGAGAAATAGCATGGTGATAACGAAACTCCTCCGCAGTGCACACCCATGACACGGCCCGGCAAGGGATCAAACCTAGGACCTTTACTCTCGTCGCCAGCAGTTTACCACTGAGCCACCGGGTCGGAATACAGTGGTCCACATTTTCTACTTCTGTCAGTTCACGATGTAGCGCATGACTGTGGATGTGACAAATAATATCTTCTACTATAATCTGCAGTCAGTAATACAAGATTTTAGAAATAAACATTAACTTCTAATTACTTCTATGTTCAGTGACTCGTCATTAAAAAGAAACCATCCTCATGTTCATATTTGTAAAGTATTTGATTTCTTTCTTTATAGGGTGACACTGGTTTAAAGGGATACCCTGGACCCAAAGGTGTGAAAGGGATTAGAGTAAGTTAATAAGCATTTTATATCTACTATGTTTTTACCTAAATAATTTTAAAATATTGATTTGATAACTATTCTATGGCGGAATAAACAGATATCATAAGATCCTGAAGAACAATTGAGTTACTTCACTTGAATGGTAACGAATATCTGGATGTAAACATTCATAAAGAAAGGCTATTTCAGAGGTACTTTTGAATTTCTGTTGAACATTATCAAGATTCTTAGGATTTTTCATGAGGAGAGTTAACTGTATCTAAATGCAATATCTATGAAGCTTTTTTCTCCCAGTTTTTAGACAGAGTTTTAAGTAAAAAGTATGCATTTGTGTCAGAATACTTCGTTTATAAGTTGCAAAACAGTCATAATTTTGGTCATACAAGAAAATAAACGTTATCGGAAAAAGTTTAGCTTGAGGAAAACCAGTTTTGAAATAATGCAGAATATTTGTTGCTCAAGTGGATGGTCTTGGTTTTATTGTGTTCTCTGAGATGGGTTATAAATCGTGAAGCTTTCATCGTTTTGCTAGATGACATCATCAGCACTGTAGTCAACACTACATTGGACAAACTGGTCGCCCTCTTCACCTTCGTCTACATGAACACCAATTAGCTATTAAACACCACGACATTTCATCACTCATTTCAATGTACGTGGATAACAACTATGGATATGAATTCAATTTCGACAATGTACAAATCTTGGAGGGAGAAAGGAAACTCAAAGATCATCAGAGAATTCCTAGAAGCTTGGCATTCAGGTCAGTCAGTCAGTCAGTTAGCAATCAATAGATGTATAGACATAGACCCGATCTATCAACCAATAAGAAAATTGATAAACGACAGAATGGTCAGAGATCAGGTCAAACATAGGAACAGCCAACAGGAAAGTCTATACAATCAGTCAATGACGAAACAATCGAAGGAAACAACCAATCACAGACCACATCGTCATATCAAGCTACTAAATCATTGACGGAGAGATATTGACAGCTCACTTCATGGTGAAGTTAGTGCTGATGATGTCGTTGTCTAGCAAGGCAATGAAAGCTTCACGATTAAATAACCCATCTGAGAGAACACAATACAATTAAGAAAAACAGTTTTTTGTTGTTGAAAAACTCTAGCCGAATCTTATCATTTATACACTCAGAAGTTGAATAAGATATCACAGAAATAGGTAAATAGTTTGTCCAAAAGTGTTTCTCATAATATCAAACTTTATTTTACTTCTTCCGATTGTTGATGTTTGTTACTAGTATATTATTCACATTTCAAATAATGTTGTACAGAAACCTGTAATAAATCTGTTTTTTTTTTAAATTAGGGTATAGATGGAACTATTGGTCTACCTGGTTTGAAAGGACTTCCCGGTCCAGATGGTCCTCCAGTAAGTGAAAATTAGATGAGGTATAAAATCAAATCTATTCCTACTTTTATGATAACGTTACATGCAATAATTGTTGTTCATGATAGTGCTTATATATGACAGGAGTCCCTGAGCTAATTACACGTAATTTGGATACACTTAAAGGCAAGTAAAACAATCTATCCCCTAACTGAAGCTACCGTTGGGAACTTGAGCGGTTTCTCTGATTTCAGTCATATTCCATGCCCAACCTTACAATATCATATGTAACTGCAGTATGTGAGTATAAAAAAAAGAGCTATATTTTCAAGGTATTATACATTATGAACTTTTATCAGTTTGGGAAACATTGGAAACCTAGGGGAGTTGGACGACTGTTTTGTCCTGTTATGGGACTCCTTAGCAGTACTCCCACAGCCCTCCACGGACCGGACTAAGGACCTACAGCCTTTACAGTGAACGTGTTAACCACCCAGCCACTGCGTTGGAGTTCAATAGTTCACAGTTTCCTGCCCCTATCAATTCTGGATATAGCGTGACTATCCACTAAGGTCTTTAGTTGACATCCGCTGCACTTCTTACTGGTTGACCCCACTGGTGACGGCTCCTCATAAGAAATTCAATAGACATATGCTTGTTGGACTAACCTATACTACTTAATAAGAATAAACTAAAAACTGGAGAGGAATCATGCTTCACTCCTGTTCACCCCAAGGAAAATATTATGCCGCGTCATCCTGGAGAGATTAACGGATGCGCTTGATTCAAAACTAAGACCCGAACAGGCTGGATTCAGGAAGAACGAATCATGTGCGGATCAAGTTACAACGCAACGCATCATCATAAAACAGAGCCTAGAATGGCAATCAACTCACCTCAACCTCAGCTTCATCGACTTTGAAAAGGCCTTTGACAGCGTCGATCAAGAAGTAATTTGGCACCCGCTTCAACACTATGCAGTACCGCAAACCTTTATCAATCTCATTCAACAACTAAGTGAAGACGCCACATGCCAAGTAATTCATAGTTGGAAGCTCAGTGATGTCTTTGAAGTGAATACAGGAGACAGGAGTAAGACAAGGCTGTCTACTATCACACATGATATTCCTGATTGTGGTCGACTGGATCATGCAACAAACAGTGAGGAGCGAGAAGAGGAGGATACGCTGGACAGATGAAAACATCCTAGGAGATTTGGATTTTGCCGTCGACGACTTGTGTCTAATGTCATACAAACTTGAAGATGTACAGGCGAAAACTAACAAGTTGACGGAAGAGATGAGGCAGCGAAGACAGGACTTCAAGTGAATGTAGAGAAGACGGAGGTGGTGATGATACCCAACCGACAACAGCCACCTGCCTAGGCAGGGCAGCATCGTTTTAACTACAGGTGGCGGCACAGATGAGGACGTCAAATCAGCCTTCCTTCATTAACCTGAAACCAGTGTGGAGATCTTCTGCACTCAACATAAAGTCTGAACAACATTCGGATTTTCAACACCAATCAGTCAAGATAGTGCTTCTATATGGATAAGAGACCAGGCGCGTTACGAAAAACATTTCCAACAAACTACAGATATTCATCAACAACTGTCACCTACGCTGCCTCGTTACTGACACTAGAGATCAGATGGATTGCCAGAATAATAAGAATAAGCAACAAGGAACTCTGGCTGGCTGGCAACGAACCAACCAACCAACAACCTATCACTCAACAAATATGCAGTGGAAGGAAGTTGAGATGGATGGGAATGGGCATGCACTGAGAACACCATTCGGAGGCATCACGCGCCAGACCAGGCCAGGGTGTCGAGTTGAACCCAGATGAGAAACGACGAGTTGGGCGTCCGAGGCATGGGTGACATTGAGGAGATCGTGTGAGGAAGGAATGAGAGCTCCTGTGCTGTCGTGGAGTCAGGTTGAAAAGATTTCAGAGAAAAGAGTTTAATGGAGACGTGCTGATGAAGCCGTATGTTTCACTGGGAACCCAAGGGACAAATAAAATAAGTCGAATAGCTGCAGCTTTCGCTCTTTGAAGTAATCCATATCGGTTACCTTTCGATAGGTTAATGGAGATATTGTAAATCTTGCAAAATGATGGATTCATACCTGATTGATAGTCTGTTTTCCACTCTACTTAAATGGGCGCGTAGAAAACGCCTGCTGCAATTTCTTCCCAGTAGTGGTTAGCTGGATATATCTTGGGATCATCTTAATTGGGATCTAGCATGGCGCTCCCCCTCTAAATTGTATTTTCGTGTAAAGCTGTTTTTGCCCACGGTTGGTGTCCATTTCTTTTCTACTTTCCTACTTATCTGGGTAGCTATCTTGAGATAGTGTACTGTGTAGGATTTTTAACTCTTCAATGATTATATCCTCCTCTGTAACTAAGGCTCTTTGGCAGATTTCGTCTACATTGGAGGTTAACTAAGCTAGGGATGTGGGTATATTAGGCCATACCTGTGCTTTCCTGATATAAGTTTCTGTTCAGGGATCCATTTGATCTTCTTGAAAGGTGTTTCAAAAAGGTTATTTCATTCCGTGATCCCTCTTCATATGTGAATTTTACGGATGGGTGTACTTCACTAAGCATTTCAGAATTATTGTAACCGCAAAATATAAGCTTCTGCTGGTGAGATCGACTGCAGTAACTTTGTATGTAATATCATATTTTACTTGTCATATTAACATCAAAGTGAATGTGGAATAAATTATTAATCATCATCATTGTTTATACATATTTTCTTACTACTTATTATTAGTAAGTAGCTTGGTCAAATATTTAGTTATTATAACACATTACTTTTTCCTAGGGCCCTAAAGGTATCAAAGGAAGCGCAGGACAACCTGGTGCAAAAGTAAGTTAACCTGTTGAATCAAAAAGTAAAATATTATTGACCTTATTCGGGTCTGTCATTCTATATTTGGCTAAATTCCTATGTTCGGCTATTCCATTTGACCCCTACCGTCTAGTTTGACCAATGTACTTGACCTCGCAGTCATCATATGAAATTTGATAGATTAGATTATTTTTCTGAATTGGTTCTATCAGATCCTTAAGCCAAACGATGAAGCTCATCTCTGAGTAAGTCTGTAGGTTTGAAGGCCATCCTAATTCCATCTTTGTTGAGGATCATACGTAATGTTTCTGATGTACCTTCCTTATAAGGTAACACAGTGGAGGCTGTGAACACATTTTTACCTTTGTTGTCATTATTATTCCTACTCGTGTTACTGTCATCTTTTTGTTTTTCGTGTGTTCGTACGAATTCCTTGATAAAATGCGGAGGATAATTATTAACTACTAGCGCTTCCTTTAAGTGTTTCGGTTCTTTGTTTAGGTCCCTGCACTGACTAGTCAGTTTTCTAGCTCTATCATTTAGACATCCACCACCATCAACAACAACAACAAACTCCAATCACCGTCAACGGGAGAAACTTGAAGGAAGTAACCTCCTTCACTTATCTAGGAAGCACTGTTTCAACTACAGGCGGGACGGACGAGGACGTCAAAGTCAGAATCGGAAAAGCAAGACAGGCGTTCATTAGCCTGAAACCAGTGTGGAGATCTTCTGCACTCAGCATGTGGAACAAGATACGAATTTTCAACACCAACGTCAAGTCAGTGCTCTTGTATGGCTCAGAGACTTGGCGCGTCACGAAAGGCATTTCCAATAAACTACAGACATTCATCAACAACTGCTTACGCTCGCTGCTGAAGATCAGATGGCCAGAAAAAATAAGCAACAAGGAACTCTGGGAACGAACCAACCAAGAAGCTATCACGCAACAAATATGCTGGAGGAAGTGGAGATGGATTGGCCATGCACTGAGAAGGCCGACTGAGGACATCACGCGTCAGGCCCTCGAGTGGAATCCCCATGGGAAGCGACGAGTTGGACGTCCGAGGGTGACATGGAGGAGGTCATGCGAGGAGGAAATGAGAGGTTGTGGGCTGTCGTGGAACCAGGTTCAAAAGATCTCAGAGAACAGAGGTCACTGGAGGCGTGCTACTGAAGCCCTATGTTCCACTAGGAACCCAAGGGACTAATAGTAAAATAATAATAATAATCATTTAGACATTTGACTAAACCTGTCTCAAATGAAATTGGATATAATGACTTGGAGTCTGGGTACCTGTTAGGATGTGTCGTTTTTCTGTAGACGGTAGTATCAAAACCATCGTCTGTCCTTCGTTTTATCCTATATTCCAACATAGGTTATTCTCCTTGCTCATTTTCTACCTCGTAGGTGAATTGGATTGTGCCTACTACTGAGTTTATATGGGTGAGGCAATTGTCTATATGTTCCGATTTCAACAGAGTAAATGTGTCATCCATATATCGCCACTATATTTTTAGTGCAGGATTAAACATTTATAAAGGCATAGTTCCCAAACTATCTATAAATATATCTGCTACGATTGAGGGTATTGGCAATCCCATTGCCTTTTATACGTCAATGATTCTGTAAACATTTGCAGAATCCAATTAAAAGGACTGGAAGTTGTTTCTTCCTAAACATTTTGAAAAAAAGTGAAGTGTTACCATTCAGACAGTGATAATGATTGCAGGTTGAAGCAAGTCGTGTTTCAAGCAAATTAAAATTATTTTAATGGCATCCAATCTATAAAGTTTATCGTTTATAACTTCATAGCCACAACTAAATATTTTTGAACGCTAATATACCAAAACGAATGTAATACGCTTAGCTGACAGCTAACTTAATACGCAAGAGCCCCTGACTGCAACCGTGGGACGAATCGAGAGAAGATCGAAGATGGATGATGGGACAGTTACTACTCCCAGAACATAAATAATGTGATAATCTCAAAACAACTGAATGAGTACACACATGTAAAATGACCTTGTCCTCAATTCCAGTCACAGGCGTAGAAAGAGTGAGATCAACCAATCAGCGATTTACATTATGATGGGGTCAGGATATAGACTATTGGTCATACTGTAAAATAGTGTGAGAATGCGAAGTTAAAAATGTTCAGATCGATAACAATGTTTTATACAAAATCGGAGCATCATAACACTTCATGAAAATGATTCAGACTAAGAAATCATCTTCAAAATAGTTAAGACCCAGATTGTAAAATTGAATGGAGAGCAACAGTAATAACGGCTCACCTTATTAAAACTATATATGGTTCATTCTTAAACAAATAGATACTAATCAGAACTTGTGTATACCCTGTCAATCATACAACTGACTTAGAACTGTTCACTATAACTGTAGTTATCGTCTTCTACTTATGGAAAGGCATTTTTAAACTATGGTCGAAGTTATTTGCCTTCATGAGTTAACTAAAATGAAGAATTTCATAGACTTGTTCTATGAACTCAAAATGTAAGCACATCATTTAGAAATTAAATATTTAAAATGCATATGTATTTATTTAATTAAAATATCTTACTTCAATTAGGGTGGTCAAGGTCGTGATGGTTTGATTGGTGATCGTGGTATACTTGGACCTAAAGGTGTACCTGGAGATCCAGGAGCTGATGGATTACGTGGATTTGCTGGTGATCCTGGAGAACCTGGGGTATGTGGGAAAAATTCCAATTAATGTAACATGAATGTTGACTATCTTTGAGAATGGATTCCTATGAGATATAGGTACTTGGTGTTTGTTAGGTCGAGATAATAGAAAACGTCCAGTGATAAATACGTCCTAGTTTGGAAAAAATTAGTTCTTGAGGAATTAAATTGTAAGGGAAATATTCACATATTTACCATACAGGTTAGTTTGTATAGTGAATGATTTGTCATTATAGTTTTATTTACTAAAGGAAAGTAATACCAATCAAACGAAATACATTATGAACTGTTGGAACTCAATGTTTCTAATTGAAGCACTCATTTACTTTGAGTTACGGTTGAGAACACACCGGCGAGTGCAATTCAACAGTGTTCCTGGTAGTATTGGTTCTTATCTTCTGTAATAAGAATAGATTTTAGTATAATTGTTTTTATATCATATTGTCGTTGCTTGGACCCAATTGATCTGTCTCTATCCGCATATGGGCTACTATGTGGATACCTCGATGTTTCCTGCGTTCTAATTATATAAATGATGGATCGTGTCTAGCAGTGGAATCCAGGATACGCATTTCAGACTCCACGCGCTGGCGTTTGAAGCGATAGCTCCCGAGTCCGAATCCCGGTGGGAACAACACTCACTGGGGAGCAGGTACATCCAGCTAGCGAGTCCGAAATAGGCCGAAATGCGCATCCTGGATTCCACTGCTAGCCACGATCCATCATTAATAGAATAGACTTCGTTTATGTCGGGATCTGAGCATTTTTTATGATGACTGCAGTATTTCTACTTGCTTATCAAAACGTATATTTTCAAACTTAACTGGAAATCACTTTTTGACGCATCCTTTTAACTAATTTCAACGAATGATAACCGTTTTTTCGATAGTATAGGTGGATATCTCATTGAATAAAAATACTTTCATATACTTTAATTGTGTTTTAGGGCACAGCAGAGTGTACTGGTGTATTGCCTGGAAGACCTGGACAGCGTGGTATACCTGGAGAGCCTGGTGACAAGGGCTTTCCTGGAATTCCTGGATCAATCGGTGATAGAGGATTTAAAGGATTTATTGGACCACAAGGACCGGTTGGGGATCCTGGACCTGATTGTCCAATTGGACCTCCTGGTCTACCAGGACCTAAGGGGGCACCGGGTAAATTCAAAATTTTGAATCTATTCTCATCCAGCATGCGTTCATACTACAGAGTTACTACTTTTCTGTAGATAAGTAGTCATGTCAGTAGCTTTCAATAAGCACTGATACTATTTAGCCATATTTAGTAATATCCTGTCAACTAATTGTATGTTGAAAATCTTGCAGAATATTTCTTTTCTTGAAGAAAATTTCAAGAGTATTTTTATCCCTCGGATAACTTTATGTAAAACTGTTTTTTATGAAAACACTAAACTTACAGCTAAAAATACTGGTAGTTATTTGGTAGGTTAAATAAATCCAGTCCTCTTCAGACTTAGGCTGACATCAGCCATTAAGAAAACGTATTACGCGGCGAATCTTCCATTGTGGAGAAAACAAAACACATGCTTCACCAAAAACCTAAACACTGCACCAGTGATTACGTCACATCCCATTGTGTTTACCAATTTACATGTGTGTTTGCTTATACAATCATAGGGAGGAGTAATCGAGTTATGCAGTTGAGGGTGGGAGAACATGTGCCTAAATGGCTTCAAAAACAAATGGAGTGTGAAACAGTGATAAATGCTGATGGGAGGCGACCCTCTTCATCTATGGCTAAACATATCATAGAAACAAGTCATAAAGTTAATGTTCAAACAGCCTTCAAAGTTTTATATAGAAACAGTCAGTCAAGGACGTATTGTGAGATTTGCAGAAGCCATAGCCATACACAAATTTAAACCACCTTTATGTGTATAAAAACAGTCTGTTCTTACACCACACCTACTCCTTGGTAAACTTTGTTTTCTTACTAAGATTGGGATCGACTATGCTACTTCCTGTTTGTTCTCATCTTTCTTAATTTTAATCCCCTATTGTGTTAATTGTTGTATTTATCCCCCCCTCCCAGTCTTCGGTTGTATATATATTGACTTGAGACAAGTAAATGTGTGATGGATCAGATTATTCGAAATGTATTGCTCAAATACATCATATTGCTTAGATAAACTTCGTTTTCTAATTACGCTATCGAAATTCATAGAACGGACTAACTGTTTCAAATTATCATTAGTGTTTTGTTGCTCTGACTGAAAGTTATTTGTCTACATTTTATATTTTTTATCATTTTTTAGGTGATGATGGACGACCCGGTGCTCCTGGACTTCCAGGCACCCCCGGAGATGATGGATTACCAGGGGATAAAGGGGATGCAGGTATAGGCCATAGAGGTGCACCAGGAGATCCTGGTGATAGAGGTTATGATGGACCTCAAGGTGAGTTATAGATTTTGAAGTTTTTAGCTGATTTTTACACTTAATTAATAAATAACTTATTACTACCATTTCAAATATTTGTGATAAGAATTCTACTGGAACTTAACAAGTTGAAAAAACTTATTTCTATGCGTAACTTATTGCATAAAATCAAGTTGGTATTCATCCTGAAGTGATTTCAGTTGAAGAAACAATGAAAACCTGGGAGCCTTAGACAGCTACATCGTCCTGGTATGGGACTCCTTAACTAATCGTGAAGCTTTCATTGCCTTGCTAGACAACGACATCATCAGCACTAACTTCACCATGAAGTAAGCTGTCATTATCTCTCCGTCAGTGATTTAGTGTTGTGATCTGACGATGTGGTCTGTGATTGGTTGTTTCCTTCGATTGTTGTGTCATTGACTGACTGTATAGACTTTCCTGTTGGTTGTTCCTCTGCTTGACCTGATCTCTGACCATTTTGTCGTTTATCAATTTTCTTATTGGTTGATAGATCGGGTCTATGTCTATACATCTATTGATTGCTAACTGACTGACTGACTGACCTGAATGCCAAGCTTCTAGGAATTCTCTGATGATCTTTGAGTTTCCTTTCTCCCTCCAAGATTTGTACATTGTCGAAATTGAATTCATATCCATAGTTGTTATCCACGTACATTGAAATGAGTGATGAAATGTCGTAGTGTTTAATAGCTAATTGGTGTTCATGTAGACGAAGGTGAAGATGGCGACCAGTTTGTCCAATGTAGTGTCGACTACAGTTATTGTAGTTGATTTTGTAAATGTTATTCAGTTTATCTTCTTTGGTTGTTGCATCCTTTGGTCTGCATAATAGTGTTTGGAGGGAATTAGTTGGTTTATGAGCCACACCAATTCCATCAAGTGGTTTCCGTAATCTTGTTTTGATTTCTGATACATTCTTTATATATGGTAGGACGATGCATTTGAAATCATCTTGAAGTCATTTCAGTTGAAGAAATAATGAAAACCTGGGAGTCTTAGACAGCTGCTTCGTCCTGGTATGGGATTCCTTCACACCCATCACCTTCATCAGAGATTGAACCCAGCACATTCAGGTTCCGTGGCAAATACGTTAAGTCTAATGCTCAATAATAGCTTGCTTCGAGGTGAGATTTCTCAAATTTCTAATGAGAAGTCGTGATCCATGAGGAAAATCAAGTCGGAAATGAGAATAGGTACTCAACGACGACATTGGATGAAGGTAGTTCTATATCGTGAACTGACAGAATTAGGGAAATATGAATCTCTGAATTTTGATCTGGTGGCTCATTGGAAGAGAGCTCGCCACGGGAGCTGAATGTCTTGGGTTCGACCTACAGCAAGGTCATGTATGCGTGCTGTTGTCAACTACTCTTTATTATCATTGAGTTACATATCTGCTTTTTGTTACTGAATACTAAATACCTGAATGAGATAGAATCTCAATTTAGGCAAAGCTTTTTATTTGCTGAGATTACTGCTGGTATGAGCGTTTAAAGATGCTTGCTTGGTTAGTATCTAAATTCTAAATAATCCTTGTGGGTACAGAATTCACTAATGAACTGCATAAGTCTTTTTTCAGTTTAGTTCAAGATTCATCTTATCCATATCTGACTATGTAGAGTGGAGTAATACTATGATAATCTAAACGAAATTGCACTATGTTAGCGTCAACTCCAGGATACTGATGATCTATGTTGTGATTGAATGTACTTATGGACAATTTGTACTACTTCAACTTTGGCTTTTTATGAGATCATGTAAAGTCAGAACAAGGTTATTCTGAAGTAGCTTTTACAGAAATGACAGGATATTTCAATTACTATTTTCATTCACATAGATATCAGGTGTTAATCAATGTAAATAGTATTGAATCGAACTAATAGTGAGTTAGACGCATGCAAATTTTAGTATATCATATATATTACCTTTCTATCAAATTCTCATTTCAGGTCCAAAGGGTCCAAAAGGTTTAAAGGGTGAACGAGGATTACCCGGTACTAAGGGAGCTGGTCGTTCTGGTCCTCCTGGTGAAAAAGGTGAACGTGGATTAGATGGTCTTGCTGGAAAAGAGGGGAAACAAGGACCACCTGGACCCCAAGGTTGGTTACTTGAATTATTCATATATTTCATCATCAGTACCATTATTCAACATAGGACTAGGCATTATTGCGTAACGGTATAAGTTGTCACACCTCATATTAGCACATGAAGTAGCAAGGCAGTAAAATAGAAGATACAGAAGGAAAGAAAACTTGGTCAAAAAAGTAGAAAGTAATATAGCAGAGAAATTGGGAGTGAGAAAATGATAAGATTAAGTATGGCGGTCAAGATGAAGATAATGTGTGTATATATCTGTACCAATGACATCGGTTTCTAGCCATATTACCTACAGTGTCCAACCATTGGTTTATATTGTCACGTGGGCCCCAACCAGCTGGTTTGCATCTCCCTACATGGCTCAAACAAACAGTTCCGAGCCTTTTTCCAGCTTGGAAATAGTTCGAACAACATTTTGTGACGATGCAGACAGTGTTTAGGCAATCGTAAAACATCTCAGTTGATGAAGGTTCACAACCTCTCCTCCTTAAAACTCTACACCTGCTTTCTGCATTACTCACGTGGCTACGAAGGCAACGGTGGTCGAACACCTCAAGCCTTCCCATGTCTTCTACGCTTGATGTCCATATTTCACAGCCATGGAGTGGAATAGTGCGAACTGCAACACAGTACACTCAACTCTTAACAGACAGTCAGATATCACGGTGGCTCGACAGATGGCGTAAGTGTGCGATAGCCAACCGAGCTTTTTGTATCCGTGTAGAGATTTCATCGGCCACTGACCCACCAAGGTTGATCCAACTTCTGTGGTAAGTGAAGCGTTCAACGCACTCAATAGCTTCACTCTGTACTGTTAGCCAGAGTATCATTGGAGACCAGTCCTCGAACAGCAATTTACAATTGGGTGACAAGAAACGCATCCCAAACATTCTCATACTGTCACTCAAGGTGTTCAAATGATTTTGCATCTTATCAGCGTCTTCACCTAATAGGACATCTGAGTATTCTAGGTCTACTAAAAATTCTTTTGTGATTGGGTCTTCAACGCTGTTTTTGCAACATAATGGAGATGGCACCAAGCTTCTTCTGGTTGAGTGATAGTATTCTGTTCCGATTACTACCTAGTTCTCTCACTGTTAAGCTCTACTAGTAGTGGTCTTTTCGTCAAATGTTTCCCGAGTCCATTGAGATGCAGATATATACGTGCTCGAACCGACGAGTGGTCGCTAACCAGATACGGGTTCGAGAAGGAGCGGCGTTCTTCCACCAGTTCTCTCCAGAGATGACTGATCGCAATATGATCTATCTGTGTCCATCGCTGAGTTGAGCTGGCTGGAGGCCGCATCAGGAAGAGTCTTTCTTTATGTTTGAAGTTTGTGCTAGCTAGAAGTAAATGGTTATCTGAGCACAGTTGTAGTTGGCAATCACCGTTATCCGTTTTTTCACCCGGGATTCCGGGAGTGCCACCTAAGTGCCTTTCTGCTTGACTTATCCCACCTACTTGTGCATTAAAACCACCTGCAACAACAACAATATCTGAAGGTTTGGATTTCAGAAGAAGGCTAGACAGTTTTTGGTAGAACTTATCCTTCATTTCATCCGAACTGCAGTCAGTGGTTACGTAATGGAAAGATTGCAAAGAGATAACGACGAGTCTCACTACCCCTTTTAGTTCTCACTGTGCAGTTCAGCCGGACAGTGCATGGATAACTGTCAACTTGGATCTAGTCAAGTAGTGAGCTTTCTGTCCTAATACTTAATGCTATGTCTACACCTGCCAAACCACGAGAAGTAGCCATCGAATCTCCAAAAACTCCAATGGCGTATTTCGCGGACTCACTGTATTGGCCAGGAGAGGTTAAGTCAGTCGCGTATACATAAACATAAACACAGAACACACCCATGGCCCAGGTTGCTAGAGTTTCGGCCAGTGAAGCTTGCTGGCCAATTTGACGGAGGGTGTGGACATTTTAGGCTCGAGTGTGTAATCTGGAGCGTGGTTTGAAGAGACCAAGGATATTGTTCTATGGACTCAGATCATTTTCAAATGATGCAGAGCTAGAAGAAATTAAAGATGATTTAGGACTGTTAACTGAGAGATGTAAAGGAAGATTAGAAGGTAAGGATGAAAGAGGTGGATAGTGGTCTGAGGGAACTTGAGCGCTGATAGAGATGTGAGGGCTGTTGATACTTCCTAGCTGCCCACACCGCGGAAGGCTACATCTTCTTGAGGCACCTGAAAAAAGGACCTGGTGGATGATCGCAGAGCTCAAGGGGACATCTAGTTGAGGCCGGTCACATACGGCCCTTTTTGATGCCATTAACATTAGCCTATATTATGTAGTCGGACGTACGTTCTGTGGTTTTAGATCATCACTAACCACTGGTGAATGATCTAAGCCGTCATAATCCATCATCTCTTTGTTTAAGAGCATGTTAAAGAGTAACTGCTTCTTGTCTAACCACAATCCAGCAGAACTTTCTAATATAGTAGGACCTCGAGGGTACAAGTGTTCCACCAGCATAGCTCTTTGGGTCATCGTAATATACAAGATTGATCATCAAGTCAAGGTATCAGTTATCAAATGTTGCGCTACCCGTATAGTAGTTTAAGTCACCAAATCTTCAAGTATAGGATATTCATACAAAAATAACTTTGGTTACACATTTTCGTTTTCTATACATTTCACTTGGGACGTGATACTGCTTACAAAACGTGATACATATCATAGTAAAGCTTATGTTTTTAGTAGCACTGTAGTTAGTCAAGGCTGCTGCATTCAACCATTCGCAGGCTTAAAAGGTTTCATTTGTCTATCTAATGATTTTCTTGTGGATACATTATCGTAAAAAAGAGTCTTTATACACCATCTCCATTTATTATTGTTATTATTATTTGTCCCTTGATTTCTTTCCGAGTGGAACATAGGGTTTCAGTAGCACGTCTCCATTACACTCTCTTCTCTGCAATCTTTTCAACCTGGCTCCACGACAGCACAGAAGCTCTCATTTCTTCCTCACACTATCTCCTCCATGTCACCCATGCCTCGGACGCCCAACTCGTTCCCATTTGGCTTCCACTCGACGACCTGGCCTAGTCTGTCGTGTGATGTCCCCGGTCAGCCTTCTCAGTGCATACCCAATCCAATCCATATCCACTTCCTTCCACTGCATATTTGTTGAGTGATACCTTGTTGGTTGGTTCGTTGCCAGCCAGCCAGCCAGCCAGCCAGCCAGCCAGCCAGCCAGCCAGCCAGCCAGCCAGCCAGCCAGCCAGCCAGCCAGCCAGCCAGCCAGCCAGCCAGCCAGCCAGCCAGCCAGCCAGCCAGCCAGCCAGCCAGCCAGCCAGCCAGCCAGCCAGCCAGCCAGCCAGCCAGCCAGCCAGCCAGCCAGCCAGCCAGCCAGAGTTCCTTGTTGCTTATTCTTATTATTCTGGCAATCCATCTGATCTCTAGTGTCAGTAACGAGGTAGCGTAGGTGGCAGTTGTTCATGAATGTCTGTAGTTTGTTGGAAATGTTGTTCGTAACGCGCCTAGTCTCTGATTCACATAGAAGCACTGACTTGATTGACATTGGTGTTGAAAATCGGGATGTTGTTCAGGCTTTGTGGTGAGTGCAGTGCAGTGCAGTGCAGTAGATCTTCACACTGGTTTCAGGTTAATGAGTGAAGGCGTGTGTTGCTGTATTTTCATTCCTGACTGATTTGACATCCTCGTCTGTGCCGCCATCTTCATTTAGTGAGAACTAATAACTCCTTTCACTTAGACTGTTATAAGAATTGCATCCTTGGTTTGAGTCCTAGCCACTGACACTCTGAGACTGTACATACTGTAAGTTGAAACTCTTTGGTAGTAAGTAATTCGTCCCAAACCAATGAACAACAAGGATTAATAAGCTAAATGATCAGTTTGCTGACTGCTGGAGGAGTGGCTATCGTTACAAAGTAACCTGGTAGGTAACGATGTTAGTTTAGAGAGTCCGCTGAGATAATAGCATTATAAGCAAGAGGTACATTCAGATAATGAATGCTAACTTGACCGGAATGCGTCTCGGATTCCTCTATTAGCCACTATTCATCATTTCTGTTGGAGAGATGGAATTTGAGAAAGAAGACTAGTTCATTCCTGTGGTACAGTTAACTTAGTTATGTGAAGCACTATTTTTCGGACTTCTACAACAGTCATCTACACAGCCAAGAGGTATAATGATGAGCCACTTTAATAATAATGTTTTCGACGATCGTATAAATAATATATAACTGTTTCAGAAGGATGAAACCTCGCCTGGTTAACTAGTTCACTAGTTACTAGCCGGTCCTAAGCCCTCCTCATTCAACAACTATATGAAGATGCCACATGCCAAGTAATTCACAATGGGAGGCTCAGTGATGCTTTTGAAGTGAAGACAGGAGTGAAACAAGGTTGCCTACTATCCCCCATGATATTCCTTATTGTGGTGGACTGGATCATGCAGCAAACAGTGGGGAGCTGTGAGAAAAGGGGGATAGACTGGCTGGACTGCGGAAAAGAACCTAGAAGACTTGGATTTCGCCGATGACTTGTGTTTGATGTCACATAAACTTGAAGATGTACAGGCGAAAACTAACAAGTTGACTGAAGAGGCAGCGAAGAATGGACTTCAAGTGAACGTAGAGAAGACAGAGGTGATGAAGATACCGCACCAACAACTCCAACAACAACAACAAACTCCAGTCACCATGAACGGGAGAAACTTAAAGGAAGTAACCTCCTTCACCTACTTAGGCAAGGTAGCACTGTTTCAGCTACAGGTGGTGGTGGCACAGACGAGGATGTCAAAGTCAGAATCGGAAAAGATAGGAAGACAGGCGTTCATTAGCCTGAAACCAGTGTGGAGATCTTCTGCACTCCACTCAGCATGTGGAACAAGATACGGATTTTCAACACCAACGTCAATTCAGTGCTTCTCTGTGATGGTTCAGAGACTTAGCGAGTTGCGAAAGGGATTTCCAATAAACTACAGACATTCATCGACAACTGCTTACGCTGGCTCGCTACTGAAGATCAGGTGGCCAGAACAATGAGAATAAGCAACAAGGAGCTCTGGGAACGAACCAACCAAGAACCTATCACGCAACAAATATGCAGGAAGAAGTGGAGATGGATTGGCCATGCACTGAGAAGGCCGAGTGGGGACATCACGCGTCAGGCCAGGTTGTCGAGTGGAAGCCAAGTGGAAAGCGATGAGTTGGACGTCCGAGGGTGACATGGAGGAGATCGTGCGAGGAGGAAATGAGAGCTTGTGGGCTGTCGTGGAACCGGGTTCAAAAGATCTCAGAGAACAGAGTTCACTGGAGACGTTCTACTGAAGCCCTATTTTCCACTAGGAACCCAAGGGACTAATAATAATAATAATAATAATCAGAAGGATGAAGAAATTCCTCTCATAATTATCAATATTTTCAATATCTTAGGTTTACCTGGTGGACGCTGCAGCATATGTAAACCGGGTATACCTGGAGCCAAAGGAGATAAAGGTGATCCTGGTCCAGCTGGTCTTCCAGGTCCTCGTGGTCGAGATGGTGCAAAAGGAGAACGAGGAAGTCGTGGTGCTCCTGGTAATCAAGGTCGTATGGGTTCACAGGGTTATGAGGTAAGTTTATTTTATTGAATAGATCATACAGAAAGTTCCCCATATTTTCCAGTAACGAATTACAGCAGCTACACTTATGGATTTAAAATGTAGAATTATGCAATTATGTAAGGTTACATGAGATGAACAGGAAATACCACAGACATGTGGGAAAGTAACCAACAGAAAAAAAAACGAAAATACAAGTTTGTCCATAAAGAATCTTAGTCATCCAAATTAGAAAATGATATAAATTGTTTTCTTCTATCGAATGAAATTACAAATTGGCAGTTCTGCTTACTTTTATTTGAAAGTAATGAACAGATAGAAAGTCTTTAGGAACTTATGATTTTCTTTGAAATGATGATGAGATGTAGACACATTTACCATGTCTTATAGGGATCACTTGATGGACAATGAACTTGCCTACTAATTGACACTTATTGATTATAGGTTGGTATTCATCATGGACCGATATCAATTGGAGAACCATTGGAAACCTGGAAGCACTGAACAGTTGTTTCGTCCTAGTACATGACTTGTCAGCGCTGTGCACTTATGATTTCGTCAGAGAACGAATCTACAACCTTCAGGTTTCACAGCCGGGTATGTTACCATTGAGCCACTGGATCAGGATCCGATTGTCCAAACTTTTTACCTCTGTCAGTTCATGATGAACCTCAACCTCCTACCAATGCCGTCATTGAGTAACTGTCCTCATGTTCGACTTGGTTAACTCCACTAATCACTACTTCTCAGTGGAAATTAGTTTCTAACGATGAGCTAAAAAGGGATACAGTGTCTCACTTAACTACAATGTCACGTAAATAAATGGAAGATGTAACTGTACTGTAGAGCTAGCATGAAAGTAATCGGAAAACTATTTTTATCACTACAACTACGTCCAACACATCTGCACAGTCCACGTTTTTACCACCGATGTTCAACTTACCAAAACTATCTCATTCTTATGAAGATACATAGACGATAACAACATAAATGTTGGGATATTGACTCCCCGCCCTAAGGAGCTGTTACTAAGATGCACATTCAACGTTAAGTTTACGTTTAACAACAGAAAGATGGAATAGCAATAGGATCCCTACTAGGTCCATTACTAGCAGACTGCTTTATAGTCAGTTTGGAGAACAGACCGTTGAAATCTACGATTGAAGGTTTCCACCTGTACAAAAGGTACATGGACGATGATGCTTTTATTATCTGTGATCATCAGTATGATTTGAATTATGTTTTATAACTGCCATTCGGTAATTAAATTCACCCTTGAGGTTGAAAATTGATCGAAAATTCACTTTCTTGATGTACAGCTGACAAGAACAGCTGATGGGACGTTAAGTAGATCAATTCACAGAAAACCAATAAGTGGATCCCTATGAGTCGTAAGCGAAATCTGATCATATCTCTTGCCACTTACATTAGACGAATCTGCAGTCATGATGTGTTAGAAGAGGAAATTTCTGTTCTAAAGAACATCCTGATTGAAAACGAATTTCCATCACGCTTCATAGACAAAAACATCAAGCCTAAACCTTACAAAGAGAACCTTACTACTACACCAAAAAAGACATTATATGAATCTAAACCTCAAAGGTGATTCTGCTAGTGAGACTCTAAGAAGGAGGATATCAAACTATCTAAGGAGAACATTCTTTGCATCAACGCTGAGACTAGTATTCTCTTGTTGCTTAACGATTTCTAACAACTCAAAAGAGAGACTTTCACATCTGATCACTTCTATGTGCATATATCAAGTTACCTGCTCTTCTGAAGTCAGATGTATAGGTCGTTCTATGCGACTATTATCCAGAAGGGTTCAAAAGCACTATCCTGTGTGGTTACAAAGAGGTAAATATGGAGTAATAAAGAGGGCTATAATTGAAGACATCGTGAAAACAAATCACCCCATCTCAAGAACCTCCTTATTCAAAGTCATCTATAAAGTGAAAAGAAACCTTCCAACAGCCATACGTCTTCGTATTCTCTGAATCGGCAAAGCTCTTGCCATCCATATGGAGAAACCTTAACTGTGTACTCAAAAGAAGAATGTTCAACCCCTTCTCCTTTCATGGTCTTAGTTTTCAGTCTTTGAAATCTCCTCTAACCTCTTCCTCCACCTTTTTCTTTTCATTTTTCTGTCTTAACACTTCTTAAGTAATTTACTACTCATTCTTGTTGCTACGCTCTGCCTGGTCACAATTCAGTTTCCAATTATGTCGTCATGTTACAAAACTTCATATCCAAACTTATTTTGATTAATATTCACTACTCATCAGTTTTTGGTTTTAATGACACCTTATATATTGACACTATTTGTGTTGTTAACCATGCTTGACAAACCGTTTTTAACCATCAAATCCTTAGAAGTAGTATTCATCATAGACTGACATCAGTTGAAGAACCATTGAAAATCTGGGAGCACTGGACCTGAGGGTCCTGAGTTCGATCTGTGGCCGGGTCGTGGGTGTGTACTGCTAAGGAGTCCCATACTAGGACGAAACAACTGTCCAGTGCTCCCAGATTTTCAATGGTTCCCCAACTGATGTCAGTCTATGATGAATACTACTTCTAAATTAAAAAATCCCCATTCATCTCAAAAATGTATCAAATCCTTACACTAGAAAAAACTGTATAAATTTGCGATTGTACAGCTTTGAAAATGAAATGGACGAAAAGAGACTCTTTGTTGATGAAGTATACTTGTTCTTCTTTTATATCCTAATGGGTATATTTCACACATTATTCTTATTTACTGAAGTCCAAAGAATAGAAGTTCCTAAGATCACTGGAAGATCTGCAGGCGAAAACTAACAAGTTGGCAGAAGAGGTGAGGCAGCGAAGACGGGACTACAAGTGAATATAGAGAAGACAGAGGTGATGAAGATACCCAACCAACGCCACCACTACCACCACCACCAACAACAACAACAACAACAAAATCCAATCACCATAAAGGGGAGGAACTTAGAGGAAGTAGCTTCCTTGACCTATCTAGGCAGCACTGTCTCAACTACAGGCGGCACAGGCACAGGCACAGACGAGGACGTCGAAGTCAGAATTGGAAAAGACAACAAGACAGGTGTTGATTAACCTGAAACCAGTGTGGGGATCTTCTTCACTTAGCATAAAGCGTGAACAAGATGCGGATTTTCAACACCAACGTCAATTAAGTCATTGCTTCTGTATGGTTGAGAGACTTGTCGCGTTAGGAAAGGGATTTCCAATAAACTACAGATATTCATGAACAACTGCCACCTACGCTGCCTCATTACTGACACTGACACTAGAGATCAGATGGATTGCCAGAATAATAAGAATAATCAGCAAGTTACTGTGTGAAGGAACCAACGACGAAGCTATCGCTGAAGAGATATGCAGTGGAAGGAAGTGGAGATGGATTGTAATGGGCATACACTGAGGAGACTGAGTAGGAACATCAGGCGTCAGGCCAGACCAGACCAGTGCAGTTGGTCGAGTGGAAGCCAAATGGGAAACGAAGAGTTGGGCGTCCGAGGCGGGGGTGACATAGAGGAGATCGTGTGAGGAGGAAATGAGAGTTACTGGGCTGTAGTGGAGCCAGGTTGAAAAGATTTCAGAGAAGAGAGTGTAATGGAGACGTGGTAGTTAATCCGTATGTTCCACTAGAAAGGAACCCAAGGGACAAATAATAATAGTAATAAGATCACTCAGTAAATGGATTTAATCTAACGGTCAAAATAAGCTACGTAAAGTATCTATCGTGAATGAATTTACTTGTACAAATCACAAGATGCTGCAAGTGAACACGTTTCTGTATTTTGTCCAAAACACTTATTCAACCTTCTTCAGGGAACTACTCAAAATCAGCACGTTCAACATATTAATGTTGATTTCGATTATTTTACTAAAGAATCTGAAACATAACTAGTAAGAAAATTCTTCCAGTTAGTTTTTAACAAAATACTGAGATTTATATTGTTTGCTTTCTATTGAGTATCCAGTCTTTGTAAGATTATAAGAACAGATCTTGAACTGCTTTATGATTTGCTTGTTGTACTTTATCTGATTAGGGTGATCAAGGTGAATATGGTATTCCTGGACCGAAAGGTTTTAAAGGTGAACCAGGTGAAACTAGAACCGAATACACTGGCATTCTTAAAGGTCCAAAAGGTTATCCTGGAGTGGATGGACCGAAAGGAGACAAAGGAATTAAAGGTATTCCAGGTTCTCCAGGTGAAAAAGGCGAGCGTGGATTAGAAGGACGACAGGTTAGTGAGGTTAAACACCTACTGGTTAACTGTCCGCCCAATTTGTTACCTATGACTTCTAAGAGTACACTGGATGAATCATTATTCTAATTAAAAACTATTCTGTTTTTCAGGGTGATCCTGGTTTACGCGGTTTACCTGGACAAAAAGGTCCTAAGGGTATATTAGGTGAAAAAGGCTACAAAGGTGCAACAGCAGAAGTTAGATTTGGAGTTAAAGGTGAAAAAGGTCAACCTGGACGTCCTGGACTAAAAGGTGAACTAGGAGATTTAGGAGAGCCTGGAAATTGTACTGTGAATGTTATCCAAAGTCGTAACTTAACTGGTAAGTTCATCAAAATTACACTGAACTTACAAAACACTGTACTAGTTTAAAAATTTAGGACATAAAATTGTCAAAAAGACTTCACATGAATTATGAACTGAAGATCGTAAGGCTAGCAACCCTACACCGTAAAATCAATCCAACCGCTAAAGAAACTTCAAAGCACAAACAAAGTACAAAAAATAAAAACCAAATTATTCCTCGCTGGAATCGGAGAGGTGAAATGATGCTGGTTGGTGAAAGCCTTCGGGAAGCCAATCGGCTGATGTGTCTTCTCTCGATGAAAGCGAAAGTAAACGTGGGGACATGGAATGTCCTCACCATGTTTGAACCTATCAAGGCTGCCCAGATTTCCAAAGAGATGAGAAGGTATCACATTGAAGTGTTAGGAATTTGTGAAAGTAAATGCAGTGGAAGTGGACTGTCAAAACTGTCAGCTGGAAAGTCAATAATCTACTCCGATATTGTCACCCAGACGACAACCACGAGCACACTGAGTTTTGGAGTGGCTGTCATGATGTCCCCAAGAGCATCGAAGGATCTCATGCAGTGGGAACCAATCTCCTACAGGATCATGACAGCAAGATGGATTCAACTCAAAAGGAAGGAACATCACAATCATACAATGCCCTCGAGTGGAACCCAGATGGGAAGCGGTGAGTTGGGCATCCGAGGCGAGGATGACATGCAGGAGATCGTATAAGGAAGGAATGAAAGCTTCTGGGCTGTCGTGGAGCTAGGTTCGAAAGATTTCAGAGAAGAGAGTGTAATGGAGACGTGCTAGTTAAGCCGTATGTTCCACTAGAAAGGAACCCAAGGGACAAATAATAGTAATAATGAACTGAAGATAAGAATTTTTACTTAAGTATGAAGTTTCTTAATTGTTGATTCACAAGTGAAATTCAACAGCCTTTGATGAAAAATGTATGACTATTATTTAGCATAAATGTGTGTTTCTTGGCGAAACATTCTAACTGTTGGTTAAATCAGTGAGATTAGTTTTCCTCCAAGTATAATGAAAAATTTACAAACCATCAGTTTGAACCAAAAAATATTTCTTTTCAATTAGTATCTCATCAACGTCTATTCACTAATAACGTCAATTTAAGTAATACAATATAACGTACCAATATACTAGGAAAAAATTAGTCAGTTTGAGATCCTCACTTCTGACATATTAGCAGTGTGATAATCAATGAACCAGATTACAACAGTATTTGTGGCATAGAATATATTCTTCTTCTTCTTCTTCTTCTTATTATTATTATTATTTGTCCCTTGATTTCTTTCCGAGTGGAACATAGAGTTTCAGTAGAACGTCTCCATTACACCCTCTTCTCTGAAATCTTTTCAACCTGGCTCCACGACAGCACAGAAGCTCTCATTTCTTCCTCACACTATCTCCTCCATGTCACCCATGCCTCGGACGCCCAACTCGTCGTTTCCCATTTGGCTTCCATTCGACGACCTGGACTGGTCTGTCGTGTGATGCCCCCGAATAGTGTTCTCAGTGTATGCCCAATCCCATCCATCTCCACTTCCTTCCACTGCATATTTGTTGAGTGATAGTTTGTTGGTTGGTTCGTTGCCAGCCAGCTAGCTAGTCAGTCAGCCAGCCAGCCAGAGTTCCTTGTTGCTTATTCTTATTATTCTGGCAATCCATCTGATCTCTAGTATCAGTAATGAGGTAGCCTAGGTGGCAGTTGTTGATGAATGTCTGTAGTTTGTTGGAAATGTTTTTCGTAACGCGCCTAGTCTCTGATCCATATAGAAGCACTGACTTGATTGATATTGGTGTTGAAAATCGGGATGTTGTTCAGGCTTTATGGTGAGTGCAATGCAGTGCAGCAGATCTGCACACTGGTTTCAGGTTAATGAATGAAGGCGTGTGTTGCTGTATTTCCATTCCTGACTGATTTGACATCCTCGTCTGTGCCTGTGCCGCCTGTAGTTGGGACGATACTGCCTAGTTGGTGGGTGAAAGATGCTACTTCCTCTAAAATGCTCTTGTTGACGGTGATTGGATTTTGTTGTTGTTGTTGGTGGTGGTGGTGGTGGTGGTGGTGTTGGTGGCGTTGTTTGGGTATCTTCATCACCTCTGTGTTCTCTACGTTCAGTTGAAGGAAGTCCCATCTTCGCTGCCCTACCACTTCTGTCAACTTGTTATTTTTCAACTGTAGATCTTCAAGTTTGTGTGACATTATACACAAGCGATCGGCGAAATCGAAATCTCCAAGTATCGTTTCCGTGGTCCAGCCAGGGTATCCCCCTCTTCTCGTTCCTCACTGTTTGTTGCATGATCCAGTGGAGTTTACCACAATGAGTAATATCATGTGTGATAGTAGACAGCCTTGTCTTACTCCTATCTTCACTAAGGCCAGGCATAGAATAATTGTACAGTTAAACTGGGAAGATTGAAGCCAGTTGCTACCTAACTGATAGTTTTTATTATAGTAGTTATTAGGGTGGATGAATAATCATATTGAGTGGTTAGTTCCTGACAGCAATTAAGAACAAGTAACTTCAGATGAAGCGAAAATAGTGAGGTAACTCAAACTGTAAGATGAATGAGTGAAATAGTCATCTTCGTATTGATGCATAGCTTTAACAAGGCCAAGGGCAAAGATTGTACAAATTTCTCCTGAAACATACAGGCTTAAAATATACGGTTGAATCATGCTGGCTTCCAGTGTAAGTAAAAGCTGACGTTGAATGGAATTCGATGAACAGTTTTACTGAGATTGCTAATTTCAACTCACCATCCAGTACTGACAAAATACGGGAACATGGCTTTTTAATCATACCAGAAGTCAATGAAGAAATCACTGAATACTACGCCCAACACAAGTGACTCCTCAAGAACAGCTGAACTGACTGATACATATAAAAGAGTCGAGATTAGATATCCTTTGTTTGGTTCACAAACTTATTATCCGCTGATTTAAGAGTATGCGACATAACTCTCCTGAAATGAATATTCTTATAGCAATTCTTAGATGCAATTTCACCTCGAAATCTTGAAGTTCAAGACCAAAGATTTCTCAATCTTTTGTTATTCTGATTTTATTGTTCCCTGAATTTATATACTTGGGATGAGAGATATGGTGCGTTGGCTGAAACACTTGATTTTCGATCATGTTATTCTATCTTCGACCTGAAAAACTTATTAGTATTCCAAGCCCTCAAAAAATTAGCATGGCTCAAATCCCAAACCATAAGTATCAGTACTTTTAAAATTAGGAAACACCTTAGATATGCACTACTAGTGACTAGATCATGGGTAACGATTTTATCGTAGAAGATATCATATGAACTGATAATTCTGTGTCCTTCCAACTAAACATTTGCTTAAATGTCGTCCGTATTGCAAGGATAAGAAACTTATGAATTTACTGACTGACTCATGTTCCCTTACGTTTAGTACTCCTTTTTATTGTTCCATCTATTTGTCTTGCCACTAATTTCTGCCTTTACAGGGGAACTGAATGATCATCAAGTAGAATACTTTATCGATATACCCGCTCAGAATGATTTTCATGTAACATATTTTCTACTATCGACTATTTATTCCACTTGCATGCTCTGTTTTACAAGTTTAAGGCTGAAGTACGCTCTTATCAAGTGGTGAATGAAATAACCTTAAATTCTTCCTATTATCATTACATTTGTTACCTAAGTGAAATAAGTGTAAACAGTACCGTTTATTTTACTTAAAATCTTTAAAAATGAATCTGCTTCAAATTGATAATAACTAATTGTTTGTATTATCTCCAGTGGAGAAGGGTGATCGTGGTCCTAAAGGAGAACCTGGACCAAGAGGAGATAAAGGAAAACCAGGTGATGAAGGCCCACCTGGGAAGCCTGGAGATAGTGGAATTCGAGGAGAAAAGGGTATTCCAGGAATACCTGGACCTCCTGGTGGAAAAGGAATAATGGGTGGACCAGGTAAGATAATATTTCACTGTAATTTGTGTACATTAACAATAACTCAGTGGTAAATTAAAGGTGAGAAACGAAGTTGATATTTCAGGCAGATTTTAATGAGATAGATTTTAGTTGAGTGGAAGCAATTGGCAGGAAACTCTGCTCCACCTAAGCTTTTTGCTTGTTGGCATTCATCCGAAAGGTGTATCTGTAACCGTGAGGGAACTGATATCACCTGTGAGGTTCGAACTCGCGTCATCCAATCTTCCAGTCAGCAACGTAACCACTGAGTTATTAGGGCTGCTATTGAAATCCTGTAACACTGGGTTAGGTTCACTGATTGGTTACTGAAGTGTAACCAACTTCATATAGTCTAGCCTTACGTGGTGATCTAATTTAAATTATCAAAACAAGATGTCGCAATAGCATCCTCACAAATCCTCAGTTTGCCCACCTATACTTGATTAAAATGTGTTTATCTTCATTTTTTATATTTTCTTTGTACCTTGAAGTTTCTTTAGCGATTGGATTGGTTTTACGGGGTAGGGTTGCTAGCCCTATGTCCAACCTTCTCTCTTTATCCGGGTTTAGGACGGGCTAGTAACTAGTGAACTAGTTAACTAGGCGAGGTTGATTAAAATGTGTAACTGGCGTGAAATGCTATGGAGATTATGGCCTTACACAGACTAAGGTGACTACAAGGAATACCTAATGGTACATTTTCTTTATCTTTCATCACTGAACTATCTAGTCACCAACTGATGAGTAATTTTCATACAATAATATTTTTATTGATAAACATCATTCAATTCACTGAGTTATTTTAACTTTTCAGGTGATGCCGGTGAACAGGGTAGCCCTGGTGAACCTGGATTATCCGGATTACCAGGACCAAAAGGGGATTTAGGCGATATTGGTCCGATAGGAGAACGTGGTTATCCAGGTAAGATTTCGGAATTTTATCATGAAATTCAGTCTTGAAAATAAAACTTTTTAATAACAGGATTCCTTAAGTTTTTAATCTAAAATCAGTTTACTTCAAATAATGCATAAATATGTTTTCTCCTTGACTATATGGGAGAATTTTATGACTTTAAATGCCACTGTGGAAAGGAAACCGAAATATTAACACGTAAATACACCCTAATTTAAACTAAGTACTTGTGGAGTGAGCGTTACGAAAGGGATTTCCAACAAACTACAGATATCGACAACTGCCACCTACGCTGCCTCGTTACTGACACTAGAGATCAGATGGATTGCCAGAGTAATAAGAATAATCAGCAAGGAACTGTGTGAAGGAACCAACCAGGAAGCTATCGCTGAAGAGATATGCAGTGGAAGGAAGTGGAGATGGATTGTAATGGGCATACACTGAGGAGACTGAGTAGGGACATCAGGCGTCAGGCCAGACCAGTCCAGTGCAGTTGGTCGAGTGGAAGTCAAATGGGAAACGACGAGTTGTGCGTCCGAGGTGAGGGTGACATTGAGGAGATCGTGTGAGGAGGAAATGAGAGTTACTGGGCTGTCGTGGAGCCAGGTTGAAAAGATTTCAGAGAAGAGAGTGTAATGGAGACGTGGTAGTTAAGCCGTATGTTCGACTAGAAAGGAAGCCAAGGGACAAATAATAATAATAATAATACTTGTGAAGTGAGAAGCAGATGAAAGCTTGATCGAAGTAACAAGAAGATTTTATGTCCTGTTGTTTTTTTCTTTTCTCTATGGTAAAATGTAATCGAAACATTCCTGTGAATCATTTCCAGGTCCAAAAGGTGCAAAAGGATTCCCTGGTCAGCCAGGAACTGGAATCCCTGGAGAACGTGGTGCACCTGGTCAACCAGGTATACCTGGTGAGAAAGGTACACCAGGAGACCCTGGTATGATAGGAGACCCAGGAGATCAAGGTAAGAACGATGTACTATCTGTGTTTAGTGTAGTTTTTCTTTTGATTTATGTTAAATTCAGTGCGAAAATAACTTACAACATGGTTTATGTCGAATTATTATCCCTACTTATCTGATATAATACACAACCTGAATACTGAATTTCAAGTATTTTAGTATTTTCATTGAGAAATTTAATTTTCATGCCAGTTTTTGACAACTTTACATAATATATGTTTGTATAATTCTTTTCAGGAATAGACGGAAGACCTGGATTACCTGGAGAGCGTGGAGATATTGGTTTGCCAGGATTTCAGGGTGATCCTGGTCCAAGTGGTGGAGTTGGAATAAAAGGAATTGTCGGTGATCCTGGAGATAGTGGAGAACCAGGTTCGTTGAATACGCAAATAAAAATTAGACTTAAAACTTTTAAAAAGTCTTGTTCAGAAAGTTCACCAGGTAAAAAATTCATAAAAATAGTTTAAAACAATTAGCCCGTTTTATGAAGTTAGACAATGTAACTAGAAGAAATAGATGATATCCATCCTTAGTGATGAAAGTAAGTTTATGGCTAATGTTCCATTGTACAACCCTTAGAAATTACAATGCAATTTAACATCCAGTCTAGTAAAAGTCTTGAATATGAGTGTTATCAGGAAGGAAGAATTCACTTCCCTAAAACCTATAGGATCCGAGCTACCTAATCTATATGGATTGTCTAAAATTCATATAACTAATAATCGTTCACATCCTATGCTCCCTATGTTCCGTTCATCTACATATAAATTGGCGAAATGGCTAGCAAAAAACTTTAATTCCTATTCTATATGAATTATGTAAGTTTTCTTCAAAAGATAATTACAAACTTGTTGATTATCATAATCATATTAATATCAAAGCTAAGAGGTTGTATTCTTTTCATATCAACTCCTTATTTACTAAGGTACCCCTCATTAAAACTATTGAAATTCTTTGTGATCATATGCCCTTCAGTAATTTATCTTTTCTTAACCCTTCAACGTGAAGGGGATACGCTGGACCGCAGAAAAGAACCTAGAAGACTTAGATTTCGCCAATGACTTGTGTTTGATGTCGCACAAACTGGAAGATCTACAGGCGAAAACTAACAAGTTGGCAGAAGAGGTGAGGCAGCGAAGACGGGACTACAAGTGAATATAGAGAAGACAGAGGTGATGAAGATACCCAACCAACGCCACCACTACCACCACCACCACCACCACCAACAACAACAACAACAAAATCCAATCACCATAAAGGGGAGGAACTTAGAGGAAGTAGCTTCCTTGACCTATCTAGGCAGCACTGTCTCAACTACAGGCGGCACAGGCACAGGCACAGACGAGGACGTCGAAGTCAGAATCGGAAAAGACAACAAGACAGGTGTTGATTAACCTGAAACCAGTGTGGGGATCTTCTTCACTCAGCATAAAGCGTGAACAAGATGCGGATTTTCAACACCAACGTCAATTAAGTCATTGCTTCTGTATGGTTGAGAGACTTGGCGCGCTACGAAAGGGATTTCCAATAAACTACAGATATTCATGAACAACTGCCACCTACGCTGCCTAATTACTGACACTAGAGATCAGATGGATTGCCAGAGTGATAAGAATAATCAGCAAGTTACTGTGTGAAGGAACCAACCAGGAAGCTATCACTGAAGAGATATGCAGTGGAAGGAAGTTGAGATGGATTGTAATGGGCATACACTGAGGAGACTGAGTAGGAACATCAGGCGTCAGGCCAGACCAGACCAGTGCAGTTGGTCGAGTGGAATCCAGATGGGAAACGAAGAGTTGTGCGTCCGAGGTGAGGGTGACATAGAGGAGATCGTGTGAGGAGGAAATGAGAGTTACTGGGCTGTCGTGGAGCCAGGTTGAAAAGATTTCAGAGAAGAGAGTGTAATGGAGACGTGGTAGTTAAGCCGTATGTTCGACTAGAAAGGAAGCCAAGGGACAAATAATAAAAATAATAATAACAACCCTTCAACGTGTTTGAGACAGCTGGTATTACTGCTTACTGATAAACTTCATTTCGCATCTGAAGGTGAACATTTTCGACAAATAGATGGTGTAGCAGTGGGGAGTCCCTTCATTTAACAATAGAGAGTGAAGTGGTTGAGTGTGTTAACCACTTCACTCACCTGGGAAGTAGGATCAACCCTGGTGGGTTAGTTGCCGATGAGATTTCGGCACGGATACAAAAGGCTCGATTGGCTTTTGCCAATTTGCGCCACCTATGGCGCCGCCATGATATCCGTTTGTCTATTAAGGGTCGCGTGTACTGCACAACAGTCCGGTCTGTTCTACTATATGACTGTGAAACATGGCCACTGAAAGTGGAGGATACAAAAAGGCTTCAGGTGTTTGATCACCGTTGCCTTCGTAATATAGGACGTATTCCGTGGTGTCACCACATGAGTAATGCAGAAGTTAGGTGTAGAGTTTTGGGGAGAAGAGGTAAGTCAGTTGACGAGGTTGTGAACCTTCATCGACTGAGATGGTTGGGACACGTACTACGTATGCCTAGTTGTCGATTGCCTCTTCACACAATGTTGGCTGAGGTGGGTGCAGGCTGGTAAAAGGCCCGAGGTGGCCAGACTAAAACATGGCACCAATGTATGAAGTCTCTGACTGTTGGTTTAGGCCATGTAGGACGATGCAGACTAGGTGGTTGGGGTCCGCAGGACAAGAGGAACCGGTGGTTGGAGACTCTAGGTGATATGGCTAATAACCGAAGTCAGTGGTGCAGATGAATACACACATTATCCTCATCTTAACAACGCTATACCGAATCTCACCATTTTGTCACTCCTCCTTCTTTTCTTTTCGTACTTTATATTTCTTTTGACTGCATCCATTTATCTTCATCCTTCACCTCACTACCTTTTTACTTGATGTGCTGATATGAGATGTGGCAACTCGGAGTGTTGCGCAGTAATGCCTGGTCCTATGTTGATAATGATGATGATGATGATGATGATGATGATGATGAGTCCTTTCAGACCATTCCTAGCTTTTATATTCACATGTCACATATAGAAGGCATGACTGACAATCTCATCAGTAAAGTTACTCTGTATACGAGATATGTTGATGATATGATTGTGATGTTGCTGTATTTCCGTTCCTGGCTGATTTGACATCCTCGTCTGTGCCTGTGCTGCCTGTAGTTGGGACGATACTGCCTAGTTGGTGGGTGAAAGATGCTACTTCCTCTTAGTTCCTCCCGTTGACGGTGATTGGAGGTTGTTGTTGTTGTTGTTGGTGGTGGTGGTGGACTGTTTTGGGTATCTTCATCACCTCTGTGTTCTCTACGTTCAGTTGAAGGAAGTCCCATCTTCGCTGCGCTACCACTTCTGTCAACTTGTTATTTTTCAACTGTAGATCTTCAAGTTTGTGTGACATTATACACAAGTGATCGGCGAAATCGAAATCTCCAAGTATCGTTTCCGTGGTCCAGCCAGGGTATCCCTCTCTTCTCGTTCCTCACTGTTTGTTGCATGATCCAGTGGAGTTTACCACAATGAGTAATATCATGTGTGATAGTAGACAGCCTTGTCTTACTCTTGTCTCCTGTATTCACTTCAAAGGCGTCACTGAGCTTCCCATTGTGAATTACTTGATATGTGGCGTCTTCATTTAGTTGTTGAATGAGATTGATAAAGGTCTATGGTATTGCATAGTGTTGAAGCGGGTGCCAAATTACTTCTTGATTGACGCTGTCGAAGTCCTTTTCAAAGTTGATGAAGTTGAGGTTGAGGCGATTTGACTGCCATTCTATGTTCTATTCTGTGATGATGCGTAGCGTTGCAATTTGGTCTGCACATGATTTATACTTTCTGAAGCCTGCCTGTTCGGGTCGTAGTTTTGAATCCAGCGCATCCGTTAATCTCTCCAGGATGACGCGGCCTAATGTTTTGCTTGGGGTGGACAGGAGCGTGATCCCGCGCCAGTGCTTGCAAATATTTAGGTGGCCCTTCTTTAGGAGTTTGACAAGAATGATCAGTATTTTCAGGAAGTCAAAGAGGAATCCGTAAATTCTGGGTAATGAAGTTAGCAAAAATGACAATTCCAAGTTGTCCCAAGAGATTTTAAAAAATGGAGTACAGATAACATTAGGAATGTCATTCACACCTAAGAAGTATGTTCAAATAAGATTTGAGTATTTTTTATAGTATAAGTATTTTAACGTTAAATTATAGATTGTCATTTGACTATCGTATTTTTGCAGACTAGTATTTAATCCTGGGTGGTGATTGAAGGTGAAATGACAATTTGAACCGCGGCTGGATTCGAATCAGTGACCAACGGGTTTCTGGCCTGATGCTTTATCATGAGGACCTCGTAGCTCAGTTAGCAGAGCGTTGGGATGGTAATTCGGTGGTCGCTGGTTCAAATCCGGCCTTTTGACTTTCAGTCATCACCCAGTATAAATGTTAAATTATACGGTAGAAGTTAATTTTATCTACTTCAGCAAGATCTGGTGATTTTCATTTCTGGTTCATGATAGAAATATATTTGAACAAAGCAAGAACATATAAATTTGTTGGAAACTATAAGTATATATTTCTAAGAAGGAACAGGAAGATTTATTACTGACTTTTCATCACCTCTTCAAGACAATCTCCTCAGAAAATCATAAGGTCTACCTCTTCTAAACTCGGAAAGCTAACGATTAGCAGGTGGACAAATTTTCATGAATCATAAGATAGTACACCTTGAATGTCACACTTTCTACTCAAATAGTATTTGCATATTTGAAATGAGGACCCCACATGCCAACTTCAGTTGTTCAGTTCCATTTGGTTATTAACATTAGATTAGTTTTCCATTCATGTATTAATGTTTTTCTTAAAACACTGAATTTCAGGTTTACCTGGACGTCCTGGAAGTCCTGGAGACAAAGGTAAATGTCTTGGACCAGCTGAAAAAGGAACACCTGGGGTCCCAGGTCCAGAAGGTCCAGAAGGTCCAAAGGGAGATCCTGGACCAAGAGGTGCAAAAGGAGAACAAGGACCTTCAGGTCCAGTTGGACGACCAGGTAAGATTTTTGCGATTATTCAGTCATTTGTGGTCTTTCGATACTATCAGATTGGTTTACTATAGGTGGATAGAACTATCTGTCATGTCAAAGATTACTTTGACCTATGTGCCACATGACTGGACATAAAAGCCAAGAGATTTAACCAGCAGTTGGTTTTACTTCCTAAACTGACGAGTTTAAAATCTTATATTATTCAGTAATATATTCAGTAATATATTATTCAGTAATTTTATTCACTATTTCCTGTATTGCAGGTGAAAAAGGTTTGAAGGGTGAAACTGGTTTGCCTGGACCAGATGGGCCTCCAGGTGAGACTGGTATTCCTGGTCGACCTGGAGCTCCAGGTCCTAAGGGTTTTGAAGGTGTTCCCGGACCAAAAGGATTTGAAGGACCTGCAGGTAATAAAGTATGATGTGTTTTGTGATGCTTACTATACAAATAAGTGGCTTTATTGATGTTAACCTAATTTTGAAGGTTTTCCAATGGATTTATTTCAGAATTGAGTAATCTAAGCTGCTTATGCAACCTTTTCTATCCAAGTTTACAAATAATTTTATTCAAAACAAAATATAAGGCTACTTTAACTGTGTAAGGGACTTCTCTCATCTTCAAATGGTATGACCTTCTAAGTGACTTGTTACTTAGTTTCAGTTGCAGAAACCTCGTCGCATCGAATCTTTCTTGATCATTCGAATACTTTGCTGTTACTGTGGTCTTATTCATATGCCTTCACAATTTTATTGGTAGATGTTGGTAAATACTTGCCCAGTTGTGTCCGTCAGTCAAATTCAGCTTAGGACCTAAAAACACAGCATAACGGTTCAAGTAACCAAGTTGCATAGTTGTATCATCTTCTTTTATAAGCCAAGACAACAAACAATATAAATTCTAAGTTTTCAAGAATCTATCCAGTTATTTTGCAAACCTATTACTTAACATTATATAACCCTTAGTGATTATCATGCATTATCTCAAATTTGCATATTCACCTCCCCCCCCCCATAAATATGTTCATCAAGAATATGAATTCTTATTTCTGCATACATTTGAGATATACTTAGTGAAATAGACCTAGTGTTAACTGTTTAGTCGTCACTTTTAAACAGCGAACTGTCTTCCTTACTTATTGATAGTCTTTTTGTTGTCACACAAGCAAAATCTAACTATGATATGGGATATTTAAAAAAAAAATCAAATTTCCCATTTTCACGAATCTAGGCAGTCCTGGAGACGAAGGTGAGCCTGGTCCAAAAGGTGAACCTGGTATTCCTGGCACAGATTCGTTTGGCGCTAAGGGTGAACCAGGAGAACGAGGTCCCCCAGGTGATATTGGCGAAAAGGGGTCGACTGGAAAACCAGGTTTACGTGGACCTCCAGGTGATGTGGGAACCAATGGTCAGGCAATTGTTGGGGATGTTGGTGACCCTGGAGATTTTGGAGAAAAAGGCTTGCCGGGGCTGCCTGGAGATCCTGGACCTCCAGGGCCTAAAGGTACTCTAGGTGTCCCGGGTTTGATAGGACCAAAGGTAAGTAAATATTCCTTCCATTTCGTTAGTAATTTTCCTATGTTAATTTCCAGTTTACTCAACGCCAAAATCCCAATTTTTACTTTCTAGGGTATAGTCGGAGATCCAGGTGTTCCTGGTCTTCAGGGTCGCCCAGGAAAACCAGGTCCTGAGGGTCCACCTGGCTTACTGGGTCCTAAAGGCTTTCCTGGAGAGAAGGGTCAAAGGGGGATAAAGGGTGAACGAGGAGAACCGGGAGAAACAATAGTTGGACGTGAAGGAGAGCCAGGCGACATAGGAGAGAGAGGTTTACCCGGAATTCCTGGACCTAAGGGAGATAGAGGATTACCAGGTAAGCTATTATTTCTTTCCTTCTCTTTATGTAAATAAAATTGACCTTAGCTACTGGCATATCATATATAATTTAAACTCCATTTCAGGTGACCTCGGACCAAAAGGCTTACGTGGTTTACCGGGTCGAGTAGGTGAAAAGGGTCAGTTGGGAATACCTGGCGATAAAGGGGAACCAGGCATCACTGGAGTCGATGGATATCCAGGTAGAAAGGGAGATAAAGGTGAATCTGGTGACATTGGACCTATTGGTGACTCCGGACCAAGAGGACAACCTGGGCCTAAAGGTTTTCCTGGTGCTCCTGGTCAGTGCACAGCAGCCGAGGAAAGTGCCGTCGGTGACCCTGGTCCACAAGGTCCTAGGGGACCACCTGGTGAAAAAGGCTTGACAGGTAAATATGTTGATATTTTTACAAAATTACGTTTTCCGCACTTCTACTTCTCGATAATACAATAATCATTTTTGAAGTACCTGTGTTTAGAAGTTGACCAAATAACCACAAGCGTTAAAGTTTCATGAATATTTACATCTTATAATATTTATTTATCAGTATACAAACTTCGTACAGCACCAAGAGATGTACGATCCAAAAGAACAGAGTAACATCATGAAGATGCAGGAAACGGAAGAGATAAGAGAGAAGGGAAACAAAAACAGAAGTGGATGGATAAAGAGTCTCTCCCATCTGAGGAGTTGTGAGGCACTGAACGATGCTAACTCAACAAAACAATCCTCCACCCACTGCATCATGTCACGCCCTGACCAGGATAAGCAAACAGCAAAAGATATGGAAGCGGTCTGTAAAAAATTTATAACATATGTCTAAGTCACTGAAGCCTGTATTTCAAGATCACTTCATTCAATGAACGAAGATTTCTATCACTCCCAGACACTCATCTAAGAATGCCTTACACAGTGTATCCACTGGATTATGGTAATTTTGTAGGGACAACAGTGATCGGAAGTGCAGTCGTCACATATAGGCATAGAACAGAAATGCCCAAGGCTACACATTGAATACACGATCTCTTACTCCAATGTTAACATCAGGATGGGATTTAATATGGTCCAAATTGGTTTATGCTACTCTTGCTTTTGATATGCGTTTGAAAATCTCATCAGTCACGCCGCTACCAACACAAACAACCACCTAAATACCCATACTTTTCAACAACTTTTAGTGGTTCACCATGGAAGATGAGCGAAGGTACAGGCTCCTGCATTAATTTAGAAGTATCTTTAACTTTGAAAGTACAAAGTAAATACCATGCTTACAGATATTGACCGTCAACTGATTGAGTGCGATCTGAGTAGTCATTATGTTGTCACAGAGTTAAGACGATATCGTCCTTATAGTGGAGGTCAAGAAATCTTCCACCCGATAACATGTCTAGACCACCACCGCACACTTCCTCCGAGACTGTCCTGAGAATATCATCAACAGTAAGGTTGAAGAGGAATGATGAAATTGTTCAGCCCTATCTCATCCCACTGTTTGTTTGGAGCAGTATAGATAGGTGGCTGTATATTTTCACTCTATTTTTGATGTTCAATTATAGGGTTTGCCAGATGTTAACAAAATTCTCGGGAACACTTCTATTCAGCAGACAGTTGCAGAGTGCAGTCTTATTCAAAAAATCGAAAGTATCGCTAATATTGAGGAATGCAAAGATCATTGACTCGCAGTATATATGACGATGTTCAAACTTCTAACTGAAGGTGAGCACATGACCAGTGTCGACAGCAGATATATAGTGTTGCCATCCCAAAGTTGCCGGTGACCGAGATAAGTTAATAAGTCATTCTTCCGTTCTCGATGATGTGACTCTTGTGCACCAGTGATTAAAGATCAGGTTTTTCCAACTCTTGTATTGACTGAAATCATGTTTAAAGACTCAGAACTGTAATATAACTTTAAGTTCAAATGTATCAAATTACTAATTTGTTTTTAGGGATTATACTTATCACATTTGTTGTATGTAACTTTGGATAACTTCACTTTTATCTTATGATAGGATTACCGGGCAAAGTGGGTAAAACTGGTGATCCTGGTCCACCTGGAAGAGGTATTCCCGGTCCTAAAGGTCAAAGAGGTGAACCTGGTTTTCGTGGTCTTACCGGTAAGTTATAAGGTTATTCTGTTATTTGTTGAATCATATATGTACACACAGAATAAGCTGAAAGTTACATATATTAGAAGCTGTGACCTGTGTGGTCAACCAGTCGGATGTGAAGTGGATACTAACTGAAGACCTTGGGTGATAGTCGCACTATGTCGTGAATTGACAGAAGTTGAAAATTGTGAACCACTGAAAACCGACCCAGTGGCTGAATGGTTAACGCCTGATGAATGTAAACATCGGGCACTGTTAAGTCAGTATCCGGACCTGTTGTTCATTTAAAATCTTATTCAAACTTGTGGTCATATTCAAAGGTAGTGGTAATCTAGCCCAACATTACCTCACAGCATCTGACAAACTGTGCTCTTCCTACCACTTAAAAACACCGGATAGTCAGGAACATGAAGTTCCTGTTTAATTATGTAGAAGACTGTATTCATTATTGCTTTAGTCTACTTTTAATGTTGCTTTTTTAACTACTTATTATTATTAAGTAGCATAGATTATCAATTATCAATTTTGGACATTTTGGAAAGTGGAAGTAGTAAAAGTGGGATATTTTCTGAACTATAAGAATTTGGAGTTGTTTCATAATGAACTAGTAATTGGTGTTTGTGACTCCACTATGTATATCCACATTCGTATCTAACTTTCATTTCACTGATAATCGATCTAATTCATCTGTAGCAACAATGAGTCACTGAAGTAGAAAACACTGACTAGAAATGAAACTCTATTAGCTTTTCTACTGATGACCTTATCGTATCCTTATTTTATAGTTATTGCTGCCTACATTAACTCCAGTCTTTTAGTCTTTAAATTCAGTGGAACTAGAAGTAAATTTTATTTGAAATAGTGACCTCTAAACAATTCTCAGATAAATTCAAATACTTATTAATAAATACACATTAAATGTTATTATATACTAATGTTTGAATACCTTCGTTGAACAGGGTGACGATCTGTGTACGTCACCTTTAAGAGTACAAATTCTCTTTTGTCTTTACAACTTCACAAAACTTGTTATTTATTTGATTAAGAGAGTGATATTTGTGGTAACTTCATATTTTACTGCATATTCTCGTAATTTAGGTCCGAAAGGGGAAAGAGGAGAAATGGGAGATCCGGGTGATATGGCCCTACCTGGAGCCAAAGGTCAAAGAGGTTTTCCTGGTGCTAAAGGTGAAAAGGTGAACTAGGTATATCAGGAGACACAGGCCCAAGAGGTCCTGTTGGCGACCCAGGTCCTCCAGGAGATGTTGGACTATCAGGTGATGATGGTAGACCAGGCCTTCAGGGGCCTCGAGGAGATAAGGGAGATACCGGTTTCCCTGGAATAGTTGGGATGAAAGGTGAAACTGGAGACGTTGGTGATCCCGGACCAATGGGCCCGCCTGGTAGTCCTGGAGACGATGCTACTGGTCTTCCTGGACTTAAAGGAGATAAAGGTGAACCAGGGTCACCAGGTCAAAAAGGTATGATGGGTGAACCGGCATCACGTGGATTGAAAGGCGCTAAAGGAGAAATGGATTACCCGGTCCTACTGGTAAAGAACCTGGAGAACCAGGACCAAAAGGAGAACCAGGATTGAAAGGACCTCCTGGAGATATTGGCCCTAGAGGATTACCCGGAGATATTGGTCCCCAGGGGCCTGAAGGATTTAGTGGCCCTCCTGGACAAGCACTACAAAGTACTTATCTTTTCACAAGACATTTCCAGAATCCTGACACTGAACCTGTATGTCCTCCTGGCTCACAAAAGATATCAGAAGGATACAGTTTTGTAATGGCCAATGGTAACGGTGAACTTGTCACAATGGATCTAGGTACGTGTGTTTTCTTGACTTATTTCTGTGTTGATAAGTTTTTTCCATCAATGTAACATGAGACAATCTCCCTAGAGGTAACACTTGAACCTGATAAAAGATATTGCTAGTGGGTTGATGTGATTGTTCTGATAGATTAATTTTGATAGTATGAATGTGAGTGGTGAATTTGTCTTTACGTTTAACAGTTTACGACTGTGTTTTCATTGTTCATGAACTCTTATCTCATAGTCAAAATACAATGTGATAAATATTCTTACTACATGTAATGAGCTTGAAATGAATGATGAGTGAACGCTACTTTTATAAGATTAAGTGGGATAGGAGATGAATGGATGGATTCAATGAACTTAAGGTTATGATAACGCTTCAAATTCTGCTTCTTAGCTATTAAACAACCCAATAACTTAATATTCATTTCAACTTGGTTTATAATGAATGTTTTAAACTATGTTAATGATAGATGGTGGCTAGCAGTAGAATCCAGGATGAGCATTTCGTCCTATTTAGGACTTGTCAGCTGGATGTACCTGCTTCCCAGTGAGTGATATTGTTCCCACCGAGATTCGGACTTGACTACTTATCTATTTATTTTCATTCAATGTGCAAATAAGAGCATTAGATCTCTCAATCTTTTTTTCAGGTTCACACAGTTCATGTTTAAATATGTTCAGTATAATGCCATTTTTCCAATGCCTTCGTGATGGATCATGTCAACTTGGTGTTCGAGCTGATCGTTCATATTGGCTAGCTACCACAGAACCACTTCCTATGATGCCATTGGATGTAAGTGAAGTTCGTCGTAGAGTTGCACGTTGTGTTGTCTGTGAAGCACCAACACAGCCTTATGCTTTTCATGCACAAGCAAATCAACTTCAAGAAGTTAACTGTCCTGATGGTTGGGCAAGACTTTGGGATGGATATAGCTTCGTGATGGTAAGTTATTAACACAAAAATATTTTTCACCTTAAAATAGATTCAGTTAACTTCATAGCTATTAAAATTACCGCCTATACTCTTGTGTGTCATAGTAGTACGTTCAAACAGAATTCTACAGAAATCAAAGTAATTCAGTATTTATACAAAAGATGGTGATAATATAATTAGGGTTATTGAATTCTTGGATTATCTTTTAATCTAAAGAAGGAGAAGACACAGAAAGGGTTGTTCATTATGGACATCTTGTACAGTAGTCATCAAATATTGTACACCTTGCAGTAAAACAGTCATTTGCATAATGTACTTCATTTCCTCTTCTGCTTCTATCTCGATTTGCTCTTAATATGCCTACATTGTTTCTTGCGTTTCTGTGGGCAGGATCTTTACCCATTGCTAGTAATTCTCTATGATTTCTGCCTCCCTTTCAACATATACTACTAATATCCATCCTGATCAGTAGTCCCCACTGTAGTATCAACTTGTAAAACCACACCTAACTAGTATATATTCGAAGGAAAAAGATTCAACATTTGTAGAACGTGTACATCATCGAATTTCTTCATGCATACACTAAACTCATAAAGCGGAGAATAATGTTAGTTCAACACAAATTCATTCTAAAGTTTGTGCTGATTATGTTGTCTAGAATGACAATGAAAGCTTCCTGAATAAACTATGCAGTTCAGCGAACACAACACTATCAGAAATTTGTATTGTTTATTATTTAGTGCTTATTGGTGATTAGCCTCAAAAGGCGATTCCCAAGGTTCCAATGAAAACTCATGACCAGTGGAGCCAACCAAGTTGAAGATGAGAACAGCTACGCAACGATGAAATTGGATGGACGTCGTGCTGTATTATGGACTGAAAGAAGCAGAAAATATGGACCACTGAGTTCTGACCAAGTGGTTCAATGATGACGTACTCCCCAAGAAATTCGGAACTCCTGGGTTTGATCCCTGGCGAGGTCAAGGCTTCACACTGCTGAGGAGTCTCTCACTAGGACGAAATGGCTATTCAGTGCTCTCAGGTTTGCAATGTTCCTCCAACTTTTATCAGTCTGTGATAAATTACAGCCTGAAGACAATTATATGAGATTTTATGAATTTTAGGCAGGTATTTATCATGGTCTGAGACCAGTTACAGAGCCATTGAAAACCCTCAGAGCACTAGGCAGATATTTCGTTCTAGTATTGCACTCCTCAATAAAGGATAAATCGCTAGACTTAACATTTTACGTTAATCTTTTATCATAATAAGTACCTATTGTTCAGGTGTTGGAAAAATTCTGGTAATCTTAGTCTCCATTAAACATTCATTTTCAAGTGTTACTTTGAAAATGACTTCCAAACTGAAGTTGAAACATTCTCCTTTAAAATATGAAGCCTATATTATAGTATTATTATTATTTGTCCCTTGGGTTCCTTTCTAGTGGAACATAGGGTTTCAGTAGAACGTTTACATTACACCCTCTTCTCTGCAATCTTTTCAACCTGGATCCACGACAGCACAGAAGCTCTCATTTCTCCCTCACACGATCTCCTCAATGTCAACCATGCCTCGGACGCCCCACTCATCGTTTCTCTTCTGGGTTCCACTCGACCTCAGTGTATGCCCATTACAATCCATCTCCTCTTCCTTCCACTGCATATTTGTTGAGTGATAGATTGTTGGTTGGTTGGTTCGTTGCCAGCCAGCCAGCCAGCCAGCCAGCCAGCCAGCCAGCCAGCCAGCCAGCCAGCCAGCCAGCCAGCCAGCCAGCCAGCCAGCCAGCCAGCCAGCCAGCCAGCCAGCCAGCCAGCCAGCCAGCCAGCCAGCCAGCCAGCCAGCCAGCCAGCCAGAGTTCCTTGTTGCTTATTCTTATTATTCTGGCAATCCATCTGATCTCTAGTATCAGTAACGAGGTAGCGCAGGTTGATGAATATGAAGCCTATACAGGTACCAATGCTATCAAGATAAACTAATCTATACAGTCGGAATTTAGATAGAATCTTTTAGGGGGTTAGTTTCTACCTGTCTACCAAGAACTCGGAATAATAATGCCTATGATTTATTCACTATATGTATATATATATATATTTTTTCTTTGTTTAACAGCATAGTGTTGGAAGTACTGGTGGTGGTCAACAACTTTCATCTCCAGGCAGTTGTCTTGAATATTTTAGTTATTCACCATTATTAGAATGTAATAATGGTATGAGTTTATGTAATTATTGGTCTGATGCAAAAGCTTATTATCTACGTCATGTGAGTAATAATACAGAATTTCAAAAACCTATAGGACAATATATTACAGATCATTTACCAGATGAGACAAAAGTATTACGAGAGATAAGTCGATGTCGTGTTTGTGTGAAATCACGATTTCAATCATATTTTGTTTAATTTTATTCAATCACAATTAATTAAGAGATTAGATAATAACAATAATATCTAACAGTTAATATACCTTTTAAATTATATATAGAAAAAGATAAACTACTACAATTTATTACATATACACATATATATATGCATTGCTTAGTAAATTTTTTTTTTCAATTTTTTATGCATTTTATGCCTTAATTTAATTATTTGTTTCATATTTTATCTTCTTGTTAAAAAAGTTATTAACAATATTGTTCACCTCTTCTTTTAATGTGTTAACTTTTCTTCAGTAAGTGATAGATGCATTTTTTCCGGGTGAATTCGTCTTATTACTATTATTATTATTATTATTATCATTACCATCAGTACTATTACTATTATTATCATTATTATTATTATTATTTAATTACAGAACTTTAAAGCTTTTAGAGAAATCTCATTTTATCTTCTAAACATAACCTTCAGTTTGATTTTCTCACTTGTTCAATAAATTAGATGGAGACTTTTAGTGTTCAGTGGTTGTTCAAACTGACTTCATAACCTTACCGTCAAAAGCTTATTAGGTATTAAATTATATTTCCATGAATATATATATATATATATATATATATATATATATATATGCTCATGAAAATAGTTCTATAGGGATTTTTCTTTTAAGATTGTCCTATGTAATCATTCAGGATATTCGAATTTCTTTCAACTCCTTTAAACCTGTTTGCATCTGTTTTGCGCGTTGTAATCATAATATTATATTATGCTAAACTGTTTAATAACATAAATAATATCAGTTCAGAAATTATTACTTATTCAGTGTTATTAATATTCACATAAAGTAGCTTAGTTGCCTAGCAGTACATGTCAAAAGTGTATTAACCCGAAAATTTCAACTACCTCCCAATCCCTCACAAAAAAAGATCCTAAAAGATTTGGATTTCGCCGATCACTTGTGTATAGTGTCACACAAACTTGAAGATCTACAGTTGGAAAATAACAAGTTGTCAGAAGTGGTAGGGCAGCGAAGATGGGACTTCCTTCAACTGAACGTAGAGAAAACAGAGGTGATGAAGATACCCAAACAACCCCACCAACACCACCACCACCACCAACAACAACAACCTCCAATCACCGTCAACGGGAGGAACTTAGAGGAAGTAGCATCTTTCACCCACCAACTAGGCAGTATCGTCCCAACTACAGGCAGCACAGGCACAGGCACAGACGAGGATGTCAAATCAGTCAGGAATGGGAATACAGTAACACACGCCTTCATTCATTAACCTGAAACCAGTGTGCAGATCTGCTGCACTGCATTGCACTCACCATAAAGCCTGAACAACATCCCGATTTTCAACACCAATATCAATCAAGTCAGTGCTTCTGTATGGATCAGAGACTCGGCGCGTTACGAAAAACATTTCCAACAAACTACAGATATTCATGAACAACTGCCACCTAGGCTACCTCGTTACTGATACTAGAGATCAGATGGATTTCCAGAATAATAAGCATAATCAGCAAGGAACTGTGTGAAGGAACCAACCAGGAAGCTATTGCTGAAGAGATATGCAGTGGAAGGAAGTGGAGATGGATTGGAATGGGCATGCACTGAAAAGACCATTCGGAGACATCACGCACCTTGCCAGCCAGGCACTTGAGTGGAAGCCAAATGGGAAAAGACGAGTTGGGCCTCCCAGCTGAGGGTGACACGGAGGAGATCTTGTGAGGGAGAAATGAGAGCTTGTGGGCTGTTGTGGAACCAGGTTGAAAAGACTGCAGAGAAGAGAGTGTAATGGGGACGTTCTACTGAAGCCCTATGTCCCACTAGAAAGGAACCCAAGAGTAAAATCACAGTAATAATAATAATAATACTTTTTTGTTGATGTGTTACTCATTAATGATGGGTAGTGGCTAACAGTAAGATACAAGGTATGGGTTTCGTCCCACTTCGGACTCATCAGTTGGGTTTACCTGTCTCCCAGTGAGTGGTGTTGTCCTAACTGAGATTTCGACCCTAGGAACAACATTAATCGCTGGAAAGTGGTTAAATCCAGCTGACGAGTCTCAAGTTAGGATGAAACACACATCTTTGATTTCACTGCTAGCCATTACACGTCATTAATATCGAAAGTGTAAATCTCGTCAGTACCAAGGCATCCGCATAGGAGCCTATATATCAATAGCGGACGATCATTTCGGTTCAATCAATAAAAGAGACTTACACGCTATAAATATATTAATCAGACTTATATCCCTAAATATGGGCTGTTAGCAACATGATCTTGAAAATAATACCATCATTTTTGACTGGAATATTAATTTTTTCTTACGTACATAGTTGCAAACAAAATAATCTTAGTAGCCTATCGATTATTTATCACTAACATAATATTGTTCTATCAGTTTCAAAAATTTCTTCATAAATCCTATAAATGTTATCCATTCAGATCATAGTAAAGTGGTATACAGGCAAGTAGAGGGATGAAATCACAATGGCAACAGCTATAAGGTAATATAAGAAACGAAGACCTTTCATTATGTATTGATGTATCTAGCTATTGAAACACCATTCAGATTATATAATAAAGTCTTTGTATTGCACTGAAATGGAATATATCTACTTAGATATAGCAAAATGTTTTAAAGAAAACAGAATATTTATAGTTCAAAACAATAAATAAACATTATACATTACAAAGAAACTTCATTGATATCTAACCAAGTACAACACTCGGAAACTGAAGGATGAAACTACAAAGGAGATCTTCAAGGCAGCCATCAAGACAAAATGGGAGATATCCAGCAACATCCCTGAAGAAACCTGTGTGGAAGAACACTGGAAGTCTTTGAAAGCTATGTGGAAAGAAACCTGCACAACAGTATTAGGAAGGAAGAAGAAAGAAGATAGGACAGGGAATGGATCTCGATGGATACGTGGAAGCTGATAGAGCAAGGAGAGGAGGATGGTGGAGCAGAAGATAAACCAGTGCAAGGACGCTCAACGACAAGAGAAACTGAGCACAATGTATAAAACACTACACTGGACAAAAAAGTGAAGAAGAATGCACGCAAAGACAAAAGACACTTCTACGAAACACTGGCAAGTGAAGCAGAACACGCTGCAGGTAGGAGAGACAGTGTCCTGACGACATTGTATCAAATAACCAGGTTACTATCTGGTAGGGAAGAGATCAACACAGATGAAACAATAAAAGATGATGACGGAAATTTAATTAAGAAAGCAGAGAAACAAAGGAAACGATGAGCCGACCACTTCAAGAAGCTCTTCAATCGACCACCACCTGCACTTCGTGGGAAAGCAATAATAATAATAATAATAATAATAACCAATCAAAATTCATTCTTTCAGGAAGAAAAAAAAAGCCCATTGTCATGATTACTGAATATTTTAAAAGACAATGAAATGAAACCAACCTTGTATACCTACTATACTTATAATCTCCTTAGCAAGTTCTTTATAAGACTTTTATATTTCCATTTTCATAATCATCATTATATTATCTCTGATGTATTTGTTTGCTTTTTTATCACATTCCTATAACTTGTCGTTAAAATAAGGATACTTCAAGATCAAATTACAAAACATGAAACTTTTGTTTAAAGACATTCAAACATTAAGCCATGCTACATACAATATTGTAGTAACACATTTGATGATTTTTGAGAACTATGTTTATCCATAAATAGTAACAGAATCTTGTAAATTATTGAAGTATACGCTAATTAGATTCATTTCTAAAATTGATTTTGAAATAACGGAGAATATTTGTAGCTTAGATGGATGATCTTGGTTGTATTGTGTCCTCTGAGCTGGGTTGTTTAATCATAAAGTTTTCATCGTTTTCCTCCTAGACGACAACATCAGCACTAACTTCAGTATGAAGTGACCTGTCAATATCTCTCCATCAGTGATTCAGTGGCTTGCTCTGACGATGTGGTCTGTGATTGGTTGTTTCCTTCGATTGTTGCGCCACTGACTGACTGTATAGACTTTCCTGTTGGCTGTTCCTATGCTTGACCTGATATCTGACCTTTCTGTAGTTTATCATCTTTCTTATTGGTTGATAGATTGGGTCTTTGTCTATCCCTCTGTTGATTGCTGACTGACTGACTGACTGACCTGAATGCCAAGCTTCTAGGAATTCTCTCATATTCTTTGTGTTTCCTCTGTCCATCCAACATTTCTACATTGTCGAAGTTGAATTCATGTCCACAGTTATTATCCACGTACATTGAAATGAGCGATGAAATGCCGTGACGTTTAATAGCTAATTGGTGTTCATGTAGACGAAGGTGAAGATGGCGACCACTTTGTCCAATGTAGTGTTGACTACAGTTATAGCAGTTGATTTTGTGAATAATATTCAGTTTGTCTTCTTTGGTTGTTGCATCATTTGGTCTGCATAATAGTGTTTGAAGAGAATTTATTGGTTTATGAGCCACATTAATTCCATCAAGTGGTTTCCGTAATCTTGTTGTGATTTCTGATATATTCTTTATGTATGGTAGGACGATGGAGACCATAGGATGCAACAATCAAAGAAGACAAACTGAATATCATTTACAAAATCAACTACAATAACTGTAGTCAACACTACATTGGACAAAGTGGTCGCCATCTTCACCTTCGCCTACATGAACATCAATTAGCTATTAAACACCATGACATTTCATCATTCATTTCAATGTATGTGGATAACAACTATGGATATGAATTCAATTTCGACAATGTAGAAATTTTGAAGGGAGAAAGGAAACTCAAAGATTACCAGAGAATTCCTAGAAGCTTGGCATTCAGGTCAGTCAGTCAGTCAGCAATCAATAGATGTATAGACATAGACCCGATCTACCAACCAATAAGAAAGATGATAAACAACAGAATGGTCAGAGATCAGGTCAAGCAGAGGAACAACCAACAGGAAAGTCTATACAGTTAGTCAATGACACAACAATCGAAGGAAGCAACCAATCACAGATCACATCGTCAGATCACAACA